TCTTCGCCTCCCGCAGACACCTTGCTCCCGTGCATGCCGTCGTTATTTCCGCCCTTGCTCTGCATCGGTGGCTTCGCATCACTGGCTCATCGGCCACTGGAACGCCCCGTGCTCCGCGGCGCGGATAGACGCGACTGGCAATTATCAACGACGGGCCAGCTTCAGCCTTCAGGCCCCAGGACGGGAAGGCCAGCCGGCGCGGCAGGGGTTGCTGATCCTTTGTGCTTGGTAGCGAGCAGAGCTCGCAAGCCTCGGAGCCTCAGGGAGAGAATACCTACTGCGTAGAGGTGAATGCTTGTCAATGCAGATCTCTGCAACCCTTGGGCCGCAAAGGGTGATAATTATCCAGCAAGACCTTGATCGAGCTGCCGTCCCCTTCATCAGTATGCAGAAAACCGTTCATTCATGATCCGTATTCCAGAGTCCGTGGATAATGAAGGTCATTCTCGTCGCCCTCTTCCGCTGACCCCTGCCAACCAGACAGGCAGACCCATGTCCCCCATTAGTTGTCGTCCAACGCTCGGCTTGTCTTCATCCGGCCAGAGCCGTCTTTTTTAATAAAGAATGGTGCTGAAGCAGCGACACATTGAGCGTCACAGGCAGCCCCATCAAACGCAGTTGGTCGTACTCTGTGCATGTTTAAACTCGGAAGCCTCCCGGGATTGTCCAGAGTCGCTGCGACCACCACGTCCTGATGAGGCAGTTGTACCAGCCTCACTTGTTGATACGTAGTAGTTCATACAACGGAGGCAGGCAGGCACCGCGACCTGACGATCGATCGACAGACGCAGTACTCCGTATCATCAAGCTCGCCGCTCGCGCAGAGAGGCCATGGGACATTGGGGTTTCGGGTGCCCCAATCAATCGCCAGCACAACTGCCGCGTCCTCAGTGGCCGTCGGTTGACACCTGTTGGCACATCAATCATCAATATGTTGCCGATGGTGGTGGATAGGACGTCTGGTCCGTGTGAGTGAGTAATAAGTAAGCGGACGAGTCCCCCCTCCCCCCCCGACCCGCGTATGCCTGCATGGTGTCTCAGTCCTGACTCCTGCTTCAGGCTTCAGCAAGTAGCCAACGTCGGGTCCCAGAACCTTATGTATTGGGCATCAAGGCTGATCAAAGCAGGTAGTGAGTGTTCCACGGTGAGTGGAGTGGCAGCCTGGCGGGCAGAACGTAATCTGCCGAGGCCAATAGAGAGAAGGGGCAAGCAAGCGAATCAATCCAGGTCGATGGTATTGGTTAGGTCCGAGCCTTCCAGCCAGCCCAGCGTTGGCTGCTGCCGAGGGCATTCGACAAAGAAACCTCTTGGTCGGGAAGTGCTGCTGCACGATCGACAAACATAACAATGAGCAAGGCCCCCAGTGACGACTGACGGGCGAGAAGCTCTCCCGAACGAGAGAAGAGCGACAGCGAGCTACATTTTGCTTTGCATCGCTAATCTGTCGGGGAAGACCATCCGGGCGTCCGCTCGTCGGTCTCCCGTTGATGGTCGCCAGGTTCTTCTTGACAAGGCGACGGGCGCCAACAAACACAAGCCCATCATGATCCGTTCGTCGGGGGCCTGGACCTCCGTACATGGTCATACCCTGAATTCCGATAACCCCAAAGTCTCCCGTAGTCGTAGCTGATGTCAACTAGCAGCCCAAAAGTCCTGTAGCACGCAGATGGCAGAACAAATGTCGGCCGCGGCTGATGTAACTCCCATTGCAGCCGGCCTGCAAGCCGGACGCCCACAAAAAGCCAACCATCCCGAGGCGTTCCAACAAGCTCTTCAAGGTTGTCCCCTTTGCCGTGTGGCTCGATCTTTGAGGCTTAAGGTGTCTCCCTGCCGTTATTGAGTTCGGCAAAAGCATATCGCCTCTTCTTGGTTTCAGGGTGGCGTCTGCAACCAGGATTCAACGACATTCCGGATTGATTGACACGACACCCATCAAGCATCCATGCAGCTTGGCTCCCGCTGTTCGCCTCACATTCGAACGATTCGTGTTAAATGCATACGCTGCTACAGTACGTACCCCCCTATAGCGGGCAAAGAGGCATCAGAGTGAATGACTTTGGGCTAGGAGCGAGGCAGCCAGCGGCCATCTCTCCCATCGACCGCTTAGTGCTGGACCCCTTTGTGCCATTTTGCCTGGGCCAACAGATGTCAGCTCGGGCAACGCGACGACGTACGTTCTGTAGAGGAAATTTTCAATGACTAGGTCGGAATACTGGCCGGTTTTGTGAACCTCTGTCACTCACACCAGATGATTACAAGTGGCCTGAATAAGCGCCGCATGCAAGCCAAGCACAACATTGATCCCTGACGCGCTTGTGGTTGCTCTACCCTCCCCATTCTGCAGAATGCAGGATTTGCTGCCCTCGACCTGGGGCACGCAAGTGTTCCCACGTTTCTTTTTGCTAGAACAGGCGGCCGCAGAAACAGAGGCCCACGGATATGCGGGCTGGATGCGCTCACTATGCAGCAGTAAGTCGACATACATCAGGGCGAAGCTTGCTAGTCCAACAGACAAACACCACATGCGCTGGCCGTTACGACGGTGGTGAGACACAAAATTGAAGGGTGCGGGCGGATATACACTGCGGGTAATATTGATCTTGATAGAGCAGGAGTCCGAGGACCAATACTTGAATCCACTGCCCGACTGCTGTCGGCTATTACCTTATCTCGCAAGGCAGACTACAGAGTCTTCGCGAAGGTAGCGGTCTGCTTGTGGTCGCCGTCCTTGCGTGATGGGCAGCACCGTGAGCTTTGCGAGGCGAGGCGCATAACGCGAGGCGTGTCGTTCTGCGGCCCAAGGGCTCCAAGTGGCACACGGTGATGTGCCGGGAGGTTGAGCAGCGCGTTCTTGGGAATTCGAACGCACTGTCTTGGAAATCGAAGCGCTCATCGCTTGACAATGGTGACTTGAGACCGTCAGTATGCCTGTAAAGCATAAAGGGCAGAGCGGGGAATCTACTCACCAACGTCTTCGTCTTCCAGCAGGTGGCCCAGGCCGACACGCTGCGGCTGGTGTTTGACGGACTTGCCGTACACAATGGCTGTTTTAAACTGTTCTGTGATGGTTCGATGGATGGCGTTACACTATTCGGCACGCGTCAGATACCATGATTATACAAATCGCTGGACACCATGAAACTCACAAAATCTTCGACTGTACTCCTGTTGGACCGGAGCACCACGGGCGAGGAGTAATCTGGCGCCTTGCCCTTGGGCTTGGTATAGACTCGCTTCAGAGCGAGCTTGTTCCACATGGCCTCCATGAGCTCGTCCAAGTTCCAGCCATGCTCTGAGCTGATGGGCACAGAGTGCGGGATTCGGTAGAGGAGATCAAGCTCTTCAATACTGATGGAGTCGATCTTGTTGAGACAGTAGACGACGGGGATATAACTAAATCTGTTAGCAGGATCCAAGTACCGGACAGCGATTGAATGTCATACCTACGACTCCTGGCTTCAAGGACGTCGATGAGGTCGTCCACCGTTGCATCACAGCGAATCGTGATATCTGCTGAATTGATGCGATACTCACTCATCACAGCCTTGATCTCGCCGTGATCGATATGCGTCAGAGGGACGGTGTTGGTGATGTTCAGACCTCCCTTGTCCTTCTTCTTGAATGTGATGTTTGGTGGCTCCTTGTTGATGCGGATACCGAAACCTTCCAGCTCGGACTCGATGACTCTCTTGTCGGTCAGGGGTTTGTTGACATCCAGGACAATGAAAATTAGATGGCAAGTCTTGGCCACAGCGATGACTTGACGACCTCGACCGCGGCCGTCTTTGGCACCTTCGATAATACCAGGTAGATCGATAATCTGTAAAGGAGCGCCTGCAAATGCCATCAGTTTTACTCTACAAGAGCCAAACCAGCCCGACGCCCTGGAAGTTACCCACCGTTGTAGACAACCTGACCAGGAACCGAGGTCAGGGTCGTAAACTCATAAGCAGCCGCCTCGGAGTGCTGGCCAGTCAATTTGCTCATCAGTGTACTCTTGCCGACGGACGGGAATCCGATGAAGCCAATACTGGCCACACCCGTCCTCGCAACGTCGAAACCAGCACCTCCGCCACCACCGCCTCCTGACGGAGTGAGTAATTCTCTTTTCAACTTGGCCAATTTTGCTTTGAGTTGACCCAAATGAAATGAAGTATTCTTGTTCTTTTGAGTTCGAGCCATCTGTTGTTAAGGCAGTTAGATACTGGGTCTAGCGGTGGACAGTTTCATCGATTCGAGGGCTTGCATATTACGTGTACGTACTTCTGACTCGATCTCCTTGATCTACAAAATAATTAGTATTCGATCCAACCGGCTTCGATGCTCCCACTAGGCGGGACATACCTTGTCCACTGTTGTCGACATGGTGGGCGAAGTTGCACGACAGCGGCCGTGATCTCTGGGAGTAGTCTTCGCAGAACTAGTAATTCGAATGGTTTGATCTTATTTGGGCAAACGGGATTCAGCACGCGTGCAGAATCGAGGACTAGGATGATGAAGTTTGGTTGTTGGTGGAAAGTAGTCACAGTAATTTCTTGGTGGGGTAAATTTTGCGCCTGCCGCCAAGTTCAAGTACCACCCACCAGTGATGTCAGCAGCTGCCAAGGCTCTTAGCGGCGCCAAACTTTATGTCTGCCAAATCCAGTTATATCATGTTAAAGTCAGTCAGTGCACCCCACCGTGTGCCGTGGATTTGCATTCTCACAATATGAGAAGCGTCAAGTCAAGGCGCTCCTTGCAGAATGGCTGTCAATTGAACTCACGACACCTGCACATGCACCAAGAGATCCTATGCCACTTGCTATAACTCCACAGGTATCTTAGCAGAATGCTTCCAAAACGCCGCAGTAGATGCATCGTTCGACTCGTCCATTGTGTCCGCCTCCAACTTCCGGACTCACTGTGCCACTGATGTCTCTACAGTGCCAAGCAGAGCTCAGCCGTGCCCGGCGGAATACTTGTGTAGACCTGCTCGTCGTATACAGAAAAAGAAAAAGAATTCAGTGACCATTCGAAGTGAGGCCATTTGAGATGTACCCGTTCATAATTGAACGCGACTCGTTGAGAGACTCAGCGTGTGCGTCATCCTCTGCCTCTGCGCTTGGTGTATCAGCCCGATGGCTGATGGGCGGTGAGTGAACCCCGTTAGGAATCAGATGCTGCTTGGGTCTGTTTACAAGATGCTCCAGTCCCTGGTCCAGACATCGCTGTGTATAGTCCGGATCACTAGGGAACACCTGTATCAGACCCCGACGAGGCACTGGTTGTTCGGGAAACGGTACTGGGCTCGTTTCGGCCGGCTGTGGCATATCTTCGCCAACGAGGCGTCCGGTGATATAGTACTTGTTGCGCGGGGCGAAGAAACCGCCATACCTGTTCGCGTCGGGATCATGCTTCCACTTCTGCGCTGGTACCCATCCCAGCCGTTGGGTATCGTTCTCGATCAGTTCACGATACGTGACCACAATCTTGGTGTTGCGCAAATGAGGAATGTTGGGTATCGTATACAGTAAATCGGACACCTGTTGCAGTCGTCAGTTGTCGTAGTCAAACGTCCTCGCCATCAAACTTACCCTGACAAAGAACAAGTCCATGTTGCGGAACCTTTCCCAAGCAGCCTCCCGCAGCCTCTCCCTAGCAGGCAAGGACATTGAGAGAGGACTCGCGCCTTCGTAGTAGTGGGGCAACTGCTGACCCAGTTCCCAAGTCTTTTTGTCCAACAACGAGTATAGGAGACTCTCGATCCGCCAAAGGGTGATTTTGGCAAGGTTGGAGACAGGGACGCGCTGCCAGTCAGTGTCTGTATGAGGAGTCAGCAACTGTTGTTTACGCATGGAATCGTGGCATACTGACATCTTGTGAGACTTAGATCCTGTTCGCCCAGTAGAAGCGCCGCGTGAGTGTTCAGAACCCATTGCTCTCGACCCTCCGCCGTATGGTTGAATTCTGGGCGAATGGTGTCGTAGCGTACTCCCTGCAGCGTTCTGAACTTGTCGGCCAACGCAGGTAGTTTTGGGTTGGGGCACGTGTCGAGCCAGCGCAACAATGGAGGGAGTTTGTCCAGGCGGGCAGCTTCGTGCTCCTCCCGTAGGCGTCTTTGTTCCGCCTCGCGAGCTGCCCGCTTGCGCTCCACCTCTTCGCGGTGTGCCTTGTCACGACGCTCACGCTCACGACGCTCTTCTTCCTCACGCAAACGCCGAATCTCTTCGGCAGCCTCCCGCTCCCTCTGTAGTCGCACCTCCTCTTCACGGCGCTTTTGCTCGTCCGCCTCTTTACGCTTCCGGGCGGCTTCGACGCGCTTAGCCTCCTCTTTGTCGCGGCGGGCCTTTTCCTCGGCTTCGCGCTGGGCTTTCTCCTCGGCAACGCGTTGCTTGCGCATTTCTTCCTGGTGCATTCGCTCCAGGTCCTCCTTACGCTTCTTGTCCTCGTTCTCTCTTTGGTTGGATAAATCGGCGCGATGCTCTTCTTCTTTGCTTTGATGACAATTGCCCAGTTGATCCCGGTCGTCTGTTGCATTGCCGTTATCGCGTCGAACGTCTGGGTTCGGCTGATTCTGTGATACCTCTGACGAGGTCGCGGTTGCCGCTCTCTTGTCATTGTTCTCGGTCTCAACGCTTGCGGCAACATGTTCCGGGCGAGATTCAGCGTCCGGCATATCGACATCGGTATCTTCTGCTTTGATTCGGACGGACGCGTCGTCTGACTGTGTCTTGGAATCCCCGGGTTTGTCGCCAGTGGGCAAGTCGTGTTCCCGTCGACTGCTGGACTGTGCGGACTTTGCCTGAGAGAAAGTGCTGTTCGAAGTGTCCCTAGCCCCGCTCTGGGAAAGCGGGCGTTTTGCCCGCTTCTGCTTTTCTGAGGTTTCGGTTTCTGGTTTGCGACGTTTGATTGGAACCTCGCCTTGGCTTTTGTCTCCGTTTGCTGGTCTGTCGGGAGTCAGACTGTTGCGATGTCTTTTGATCGCGCCGTCATGTGTGTTCGAAGAATCTTTGGACTCCTCTCGCTTGAGTGCCTTCGCTCTATCATGGTACTTCTCAGTAAATTTAGTCTTGTCGGGCGCATCGTCGTGGCGGTTCTCATGCGGACTAGAATGCTCTTGGATGGCAGACGCGCTCGAGGTGACGCTGGGGCGCCTATGGGTGTCCCGTTCTCCTCGCAGGGCCCCTTTCGATACAAGCTTGCGCCTAGGCTTAGACGTCTCGCCTTCGGAAGAGAGCGCAATTTCAGACTCAGTGCGTCTCGCCTTGAGAGCGTACTGCCTGGCCGCCGTATCCTGATCAGACGCGTTGGCAGGCATCGTGCGCTCATCTCTCTTCCGTACGCGTCTCTCATCGCTAACGTTGGAGTGCTGCTCGGGTTTACGCGATTGGTGTGGACTGGTGGCCTTGGCCGAGCGTCTCGGGGCTTCCCCTTCACGCGAGGGACTGCGAGAGTGATGGTTGCCTGAGACAAGATCAGATCGATCATTCTTCTTTAGCCGCTTCTCATCTCTGTCCCTCTCCCGACCTCGGCGACCCGGTGACTTTGTCTTTGCAGATGACTTGAAGGCATCGTATGCGTTTTTGAGCATTTGCTCTTCGTCCTTCCAGTTGGTGCCCTGCCGGCGTCGAGCAATTTCATAGTAGGTTTCGCCGCGAAAGCGCTTGGTGGGGTCGACTTGTGGCTGCTCAATCAGCAACTCCAAAACCTTGATGTTCTCTTGTCCAATCGCAGCTAGAATTGGTGTTGCAAATTCAGCGGGCTGAGAGGACACCGGGCTAGGGTCGGGATTTGCCTCGCCTAGCCCCAGTAGCAATTGCATAACAAGGTCGTGTCCCCCCCGTGCTGCTGCCACCATAGGTTCTGCATCCTCGCAACTCCCCTTCACCTGTAAGATACGGGCTACCATCTCCTCGTCCCCCCTGCCGGCGGCCTGCAGTAACGTTTTGTCGTCGAGCGGCTGATACAAAAGATCGTTCCGAGTCTTGGTGGATCTGACCGTGCCTCCCCGACGATTTGATGCGCTATTGGTTGGTTGAGGCGACCGCCGGGGGCTATCACATCCCTCATTCTTGTCAATGTGGGAATGCCTGTCTTCAGATGTCTTTGTCCGCCCCCCGAATCGTTTCCTCGCTTCGTTCAGCGCCTCACGAATCTCGTCATAGTCATCAGCCTCTTCGCTCAACAGATCAATAGGCTCCCTGCCATAGGCATTGGCCTTTCTGGGGTTAACGCCTGCATCGAGCAGGAGTTTGATGACCTCAAAATGACCGTTTTCGACCGCATCGAGCAAAGGTGTTTCTTTATCATAATTGACACAATCCAGATTGCAACCAGCGTCGATCAGAAGCTTGACAATGTCCTCACAACCGTTGAGGGCCGCGATTTGAAGAGGTGTATTGCCCGCATAATCGGCAATGTTGAGATCCTCTGGGCTGTCTCGCAAGCGTTGCTTCGCAATTTCGAATTCGCTTTTCGCACAGGCACGGGCGAGTAGCGTTCTCCCATGGGCATCAAGGTGTTTCTTGTGCGTTGTGGTTTTAGCTGGAGAAGCGGTGGTCTCCGCCATGCTCGAGGCTGCCAAACTCCTGGCTTTGGGCTTGCGGGGGTAGGGGCTTCCACTAGCGGAGGATTCGTCTGACTGATCCGTTGGCTGCAGAGGCGGCGGTAGGCGTTTCTTCTTCATGCTCAACCCAGTTGACGACGAAAACTGGGTCGAGGCACTTCTGCGGTGAGACCTAGGCGATCGCAAAGGCGGAGATGGAGAGCGATACTGAGCTTGCAGATATTGCGCTTTCGAGGTGGACGGCCGACGATCTCTCTGCCTACGGTCTGCGTCCAGCCCGACGCTGGCCGTACGCTGGCGGCGAACTTTCCGAGCGTGCTCCTCATCCTCGGAGTCCGATTTGGGGACTTTCCGCTTGTGCGAATGGATAACATCGATTGGGCGACGCGTTTCGAGGGTCGATCGTTTCGTTGCCGAGCCATCGCGGAAGCCAGGCTGATCGTCTTCTGAAGATCCGCTATCGACTGACGGGGCTCTGGAGGGTATCCTTGGTGAGGTATGTGCCGAGCTCAGAACGCTGGACTCATCTTTATTCCGTATTCGATTGAAAGTCAGCTTAGCATCACCGTTCGAATTGTCGCGCTGATGGTTCCTCGCTTCCGGCTCGGGGACATCGCCACGATCCTCTCGATTCGACGTGCTCTCTGTGGTTCCGTCCATGTCGATGTCGCTCTTATCCTCCTGTCTGACCTTGCGAACCTTGGAGGGAGATTGTCCATCCTTGCCAGCTAGTACGATAGTCTCGGCATCCGAGTCGCTGTCGTCGTGTTGAAAGCTGTCACTATTGCGTCGTTGTCTGGCCGGGCCAGGGCTGCCCGATGCCGGCCTGTGCTGCGTTACCGAGCTTTCGTCCAGAGGATCTTCTTGTGGTAACGATGCTTTGCCAGCGAGGCTAGTATCGGGCCTGGTTTGCTGCGGCTGCTGTCTGGGTGATTGGGCGTCAGCAGGCCTCGTCTGATCCGGCTCGGCAGCATTGCGCGCATCCATATTAATTCTATCTGGACCAGAGAATGATGCCTGGCAACATCCTGCACACAATCGAGCCGGTGCTGTTCGTACAAAATGCAGGTGCGAGAGCGGCAAGAACAACAAAGCGAGTCTCGTTCAGTGAACGGCCTTGCCAAGGGGCGTTGTGACCGCACTAATTCGCCTCGTACTGGTGAGTGTATGAGTGACAAGAGCGAAATTGGCGATCTTCGACGGGAGCGGGCAGAGGCAAGGCAATCAGGAATGCTATCGTACAAGCGTCTCGATCGGTGTCGTTATACAGGTCGTCGTGGTCGTGTCTGTCTGTACTGCCAGTGTGGTAACGAATAACCAGAGCGGGCGGTGGGGAGATGTTTGAAAGTCGAGGAAAGGCGGGCTCCAAGGTACGCTCTGTTGTCGGCTGGCTAACTGCTCCTGTGCTTGGCTGGGCTGGGCTGGGCTACTGCCGGTTTTGGGTACACTGTTAAGAGATTGTAAGGGACATCACCCACTTGCTTAGCGCAAGCTCAATCAACGCAAGCTCCACCTGCGCGCAGCCGCGTCCATCGACAAAAATCTGCGCCAGACCATGTCGCTCAGCCACCCCTCTCATTGGTTCTCACAAAGAAGCTAACTTCCCAAGGGCTCCACCCTTGCCAGCACTGGCAGTCGCAGAAGGAGCGAGTGTCTTAATTGCGTAACCATCCTCTACGCCATCTTCTTGCGGCACATAGTGGGCTCTATCCTGCTGCTTTCAGCCCTCCCAAGAATCGCCAGACGCTTTCAATCTGAGTTGTCGCGTCGAGTCCAAGACTTACATGCCCTGTGCAACAATGAGCGTCTGAGCGGTCGTCCGTTCGTGAAACGCCCCAATCGAGTTCCCGCGGCCGACCTACTGACACAAGTGATGATTGGCGTCATCCGAGTCTCAACCAGCCACCAGTCCTTCTTCATCACTCCGCCTTCTTCAATAAAACAATCTCTATTACCTGCCCGAGCCAACGACAGCGCAACATGGCTGAGCGCCATAACGCAGAACTGCCGCGCATCCTCGAGCACGCTCGGGTCTCTAAGCTTCCAAACACCGCTTACTACATACCCAACTTTATCACAGAAGACGAGGAGAGACTCCTTCTCGATAAGATTGCAAGCGCGCCCAAACCGCGATGGAAGCAGCTGACCCATCGGAGGCTACAAGCGTGGCCATCGGAGCTTGTGCAGAATAAGCTCCTGCATGCACCATTACCAGCTTGGTTGGATGACCCCGTGGTGACACGGCTAAAATCCATCCCGCTGTCTGATGCAGACCAGTCCTGGTTGTTCGAAGACAGTCCACATAAGGGTCCGAACCATGTCTTGATCAACGAGTATCCGCCTGGTGTGGGCATTATGCCTCATAAGTTGAGTGGCCTTAAGCAGTGAGCGAGCCGGCACCATGCTCATGTTTCGTAGGATGGCACTGCGTACTGGCCTGTCGTCTGCACCGTCAGTCTAGGTGATAGCTTGTGCCTGAGCTTGTACCGTAGCAAGGAAGAAGGCACCGTTGAGACGGAGCCAGCCTGGCGAATACTGCAAGAGCCCCGGAGTATCCTCATCACCATGGGAGATCTGTATACTGATTATCTGCACGGTATCGAGGAGACATTGGAAGAGGTCAACCTCGGTGAGGAGAGTGTGGTCAATTGGCCTCTATTGAATGACTGTCGTGCCTTCTCATCAGGTCGGCACATTCGCCAGACACGCACTAGCCTAACGTATCGAGACGTGCTCAAAGTCTCAAAGGTCGGTGGCAAGCTTGGTCTCCTCACGAAGAAGTGACTCGTAACCTCAAAACACGAAAGGAATCATCTTCCATCTCGGAGCCACCTTCGCGGCCCCAAACTTCTCTGCATACCACTTTTTGGTGGTGTTCGCCGTTGTGCCTAAGTTTACCGCAACGAAGAGTAGACCTGTAAAGACGGTTCTGTTGACCACCGTGTCCGGCGGCGAAGCTACGAGAGACAGCGCCACATAGATCAGACACTCGCTTGTATAGTGTGGACAGATGATGTGCTGGAACCACCCTTGGTGTGGCAGCGTGTACTTTTTGAGTCCTGACAGATGTTTGTGGCATTCATTCTGCTTCAAAGACGCAAAAACGAAAAGGATAACTCCAAGGACGGCGCGCGTAGAGGGAAGGCTGGGCGCGTGGGAGGTGGTCCAGGACTCCAAAATTGCATCTACCAATATAAGTCAGCAATGCTCAGCAATGTTTGATAAAACCGCCTCACCGGATCCCTCAACCCATACGGAGACGCTCATGCAAGCATAGTAGGCCAGCCCAACGATCCAGTGAATACTAGACATGGGAGATTTGCCAGCCTTCATAATCATCAGACTCTCGTACAGCCTCCGAAGCCCTTGGACTGCCATCAGTGTCCAGGCAACAAACACACTGCCAAGTTCCACACTTTGGCTCCCATCTTTAGCTTGGGCCTGGGCCTGGGCTACAGCCTCCATGATGGCGCCTCTCGTGACAAATTGCCATGCCCAAAATGCGGAGCCAGCTACAGAAAGAACATAGAAGTGCAAAAACCAAGAGTGCGGAACCTCCAGACAACTAAGTAGCGATGTCAGGGTCTTCTTGATCCACGTGCTACTATTGATCCCTGGGGTGTCGTTTGGTTTCTGCTGCCTCGCGCCGTAGTCCAGCAACGCACTTTGCAGCTCCCTAGGGAGAACATTGACGCTGAGAATGACACCCGCGCCAAACAGGTAGTACGTCTGACAATACTGGGCGGGTGTGAAGTTGCCCAGGAAGACGGTCAAAGCATGGATCGTTTCCATCTTCAACGCACTTCTACGGTGGAATTGGGGTGTGTGTTGATCGAAGGCCCTAAGGGAAGAAGCTTGTCGTTGAAAGAAAGGGTCTGTCTGGTCGGAAATCCATGCTGCAGTTGACCAAGCCATGCGAGCGGATCATGCTACCCTATTCATATTTATTACCTAACATCACAACATCGCAATAACGTTCAAAACCCCGCTATACAACTCTGCTTCTTTCGAATCATACATAATTTGACTCATGAACATCTCGGAGATGCAAACAACTGGGCAACTAAGCATCAGAAGTATATATTCTGACTTGGAGCACCCCCAATTACACCATTAGGCAACATATGTACATACTGACAACGGGCCATTCAATTTGCTTCGTTATGTAAATGTCCTATTCAACCAAATGTCGTGACTCGGATACATAAGCAGTCGAGCACGACTTTCATCGATGGCGTATGCATCAAGTGAATCAATTCTCATTCATCGGACTAGACTGAAAGGTCGCAGCCCTAGCATCTTTGAAAATCCCCCAACGCCAAAATCATTACATCCCCAACTCCCACTCGCACAGTCCTACTTCCTCAGATGACGGGGCACGTACTTGCCGGCGCCACCTGAAGGCAGCTTCTCTTGTGGAGCGGGCGACTCGCGCCCACTATCACCGCGGCTCGAGTTGCCCCGATCCATGGGAGCACCACGGGGAGCTTCGAACCGACGGGGTGGTGCACTGTCCGCGGTGAGCGGGGGGGTGCCAGCGTCGCCAGACGAGGCAGCCTTGGCAGCCTCACGCTCACGCCAGCTCGGCTTGGTGCCAGCCAGAGGGAGACGAGGAGCACCAGAAGGACGATCGTTGGAGTCGCTGCGCTCGACGAAAGGAGCCGCACGAGCAGGTGGTGGCTGATCGCCATCTGTGGGACCAGAGGCTTCACGCTCGCGCCATTTGCCAGCACCAAACACAGGAGGGCGACGGCCTTCAGAGGTCTCAGCAGCGCCACGGATGGGCACAGCTGGACCACGCTCCTTCTCCGCCTTGCGACGAGCGAGGGCTTCCTCTTCGCGACGCTGTTGGAGTGCAACCTTTTCGGACATCTCTTGACGCTCCTTCTCACGCTGCTCCTTGAGCTTGGCCATTTCAGCCTTCCTGGCCTCCTCGCGAGCAGCACGCTCCTCGGCTTCACGGGCAGCGCGCTCTTCAGCCTCGCGCAGTTCCCTCTCGCGTTCCTCTTGCTCGCGCTTCTCGCGCAGCTTTCGTTCGCGATGCTCCTTCTTGCGGTTGGCGATCTGCTTCTCCAACTCACGCTCCGCGTCACGCCTCCTCTTCTCAAACTCATCGCGGCGACGCTCGTGGAGCGAAGAACGGAAGGACTCGTACTCTGGCACCAGGCGGCTGAGACGGTGCTTGAGCTCGACACTTTCCTTGTGCTTCGCCTCGGCTTCCCTAAGGGTCTTCTCCTTGACAGTCTCGTAGATAGCACGGTCCTGCTCAATCTGCTTCTCGTAATCGGCGTTCAACTTCTTCGCCTCCTCCTGACGGTAGGCTCGTTCGAGATGGTCGATACGCTTGCCAGTGATACGGAGACGCTCGTTAACATCATTCTTCTCTCTCTCAAGCTGAGCCAGCTTCATGGCTCGGATACGGTTGGTATCAATGTTGTCAATATCGTTGAGGTCGAGCTCAATGGCCTTGTCGTTCATGTTGAGCTCAGCAATCTGCTTCTTAATCTCTTCCTTGCGCACACGATCGTGCTCGGCCTTGATGCGCTTCTCTTCGCGCTCTTTCTGCTCGGCAGCCAGACGCTTGGCCTCAGCCTCAGCAAGTGCTTGCTCACGCAGCATCTTCTGCCGAGCGTTCTCTCTGTCGCGGTCGGCTTGAATCTTGGAGGCATCAGCCTTGCGCTTCTCAATGATATCTTTGCGAGCGAAAGTGTCGATGTGCTCCTGCTCTGCGCCGGCCTTTGCCCTCGCAAGTGCGGCATTACGCCTGGCAATGCGATCCTTGTTCATTTCGGGATCGATGTAGTGGCATGTGGTGAACAGACTCTTCGCCAGGCGAGTGAGCTGCGAGCGAACGATTTCAGATGGCGTGTTCTGGAGACGCTGCACGGCACCAGTCTCGCTCTCCGCCGAACCGGCGCCAGATCCTGTGTGGCCGGCCTTGGAGGAAGAGAAGACATCGTTGTCGAAGCTGAGAACGCCAGTGGAGTGATCCATACGGACGGCCAGGTCGCCCTTCTTGTTGCCGTTCATGATGAACTTTTCGATAGTACTGCGGTCAACTTGGTAAGGCTCAGGGAACTGAGCGAGGCTCTGCACAAAGCTCAGGTCAACGGTCTCGTACACTTGAGACAGTTGCTGGAAAAGCCTTGTGAGGATGACCTGCTGCAGGGGCTGGATGTAGCGCTCCATACCGGCATCCGCTCCGATCTTGGTCAGGATGGGCGAGATTTTCTTGCAGATGGAAAGCGGGTGGAAGTCAACCTCCAGGATGTTGTATAGATCCTTGATCTCCGGGCGGGCGCGCTGGAGCAGGGACTTGGAAAGGGCATCCTTGAACAGACGTCCGCGAGTGGGGGCCTGGTTCATGCCAAGCAGGTGTGTCAAACGGGAGTTCTTGTTCTTGCGGGCCTCGTCAAAGTCAACCATGGCGCCGCGGGAGCGCGATGTGCTAATGACAGGGATGGCCAATGCCGACAACAGCACGAACGACGCGGCCTTCTGAAGGTCTGCGTCTGTAGCCGGAGGGTTGTCAGACTTCTTGCTCTGCCCTGTGGCAATCGACGAGGCAGAGTGGCACAATAGAGTGTAGTACTTGGACCAAGCGGCAGCGTGGAACAAGTAGTTCTCACCGACCAGGAAGATGCGTGTCAGCTTCTCGTAGTAGTTTGCCATCATGATGTTCTTGGCAGGACGCTTGCTGAGGTTGAGCAGAGTGTGGATATCCTCCACGCTGCGGAACGCCTCTTGCCACAACTCGAGCTCAACAGCTACGTTGAGCTGCTGGAACCTTGTCTCAAGATGACGCTGCAAGGTATCGGGGTCGCTCAGGTTGATAGCGTGCATCTGCGACGAGTACTTGGCGGCAGTCTGGACATGGTTCCTCAAAAGCTCACAGAGACGACGGAATTCAGTCTTGCGAAGGTGCTTGAGGCAGAAATCGAGAGCCTGGAAAGTTGTAGCCTGATAAAGGATCTCGAGGCGGGCATTGTTGCGGAGAATGTCGAGGACTGTGCGGTAAGCCTCCCACAAGAACTTGAGGCAAGGTGTGACAATGGCACGATCGGTGCGGTCGCGGGACTGCTCGCCGGAGACAGTAGCCAGAAGGATGGACTCGGGGGTCTCGCTGGCCTCCAGATCATCGACGTTCGATGTGTTCGCCTCGATGCTGGACTGCACTTCGTCGGCCTTCTTCTGAGCTGTGGTAACCTTTTCGACTGCAAGCTCGATGAAACGCTTCACTACCGACTATTGACGAAAATTAGGATACGCACGCCCCGAAACGGCAAAAGATTCAGCATACCTCGATGGTTGCAATGTTCGTGTTTTGTGACATGTTCTTGTATTGATACAGCGCATCCTTGGCGATTTTGCCCTTTCGCTGCTCAACCGCCAGCTCCAGGAGCTGGAGGATGACGGGCTCGAGACTGGCACTCGGCGCATTGCGCGATCGTTTGTTGGTGATGTGCTCGTGAAGAAGATTGAGAGCCGCTGGGGCCTGGTTGACCCCGATGAGCTCTTGTGCTCGTTTGAGCACATTCTCGGGTTTCTGCAAAGGTGGCGGCGGCTGGAAAGTTCGTTAGCCAGGATCTTTGACGACGAGGGGTAGCAATAGCCAGGCTATTCTGGAATAGGCGACAGCTGAGTACACTTGGAAAAACGTACCATGATGGGCGATACCCTCTTGCACGGCTGGAGGATATGTGGACAATCGGTTTCCCGTCGCTGGCCAGGGAGTGGGAGGAATTGTCGGGCACTCAGTCGAGATGGCGTGGGCTAGGGTGAACGAATTTTGTTTCCGTGTGTGCAGAGTCGCGGGGTTACTGCACCGGCGACTCATTATTTGATCCACAATCACGTGCCGCTTACGTGAGGCTCGGCAACGCGCCCTCAGACACTACCAATACACGGGCCCTTCCGTATTCTTCAACACTTGCTAGGAGATCAAGCCAGACCTCGAACTTGCATGCACGGGAACGGAGGAGAAACCTCATCAGAGTGAGGCAGAGGCATTGCACTGAACTACCCACAAGTAAACTCAAAACGGGGCGCTGTCTCAGTCACGTGATCACCATCTGGTGTCTCACGCAGTGAGAAGCTACAAAGCTTGGCGCACGATTGCATCACCTCATCTTCGACAGCAGTACCGCACTGCACGAGCTTCGTTCTGCATCCAATTATGGCGGACAGACGCCACGAGGATCGCTCACGCTCACCTCCCCGCCGTGGTCGGGGAGGCCGAGGAGGTTTTAGGTGGAAAGACGTTGGTCGTTCGAACAACGACCGGGACGATCGAGCCGAACGGGGAGGCCGGAAGGAGTATCGCGACCGATCGCCACCTCGATATCGAGACTCAGATCGATTTGACCAGACAAGGGAAAGAGTCAATCGTGACCGACCTGGGGACAATGGTCGCAATGAAGGCTCGAGGGAGGAACGTCGACCCCGATCTCCCAGAGGAATGTCCCGGGACCACCATGCGACTACTGAAACCGAGAAATCACGGAAAGAGAAGAAGGAAAAGAAGGACAGGAAAGAAAGAAAGGCAGCTGCTGCCATACCAACTGGGCAGGAAATGATCATCGTCAACGTCAACGATCGCCTTGGAACCAAATCTGCCATCCCATGCTTGCCCGCCGACACAGTCGGCCAACTTAAGTTGATGGTCGCAGCACGGATAGGCCGAGAGCCCGGACAGATCATGTTGAAGCGTCAAGGCGAGCGGCCCTTCAAGGATCACATCACCCTAGAAGATTACGGCATCTCGAACGGTGTCCAGCTTGATCTTGAGGTCGACACTGGCGATTGAAATCCGCTGGGTCTGAACATCAACGGCGCTCCTCAAAACGACCATAAGATTGCAGATGGTAAGAGTCGCCTAAGCACCTGAAGGTCAGCGCTGTCACAGAGTCCTGACTGTTGTAGAGCGCCCAGCCATGTGCCAAAGCATGTCATTGTCCCCCATGAGCAATGCGCAGATGAAGTTTCTACGATCTTGTCACTTTACGCAATTTGTGGCTGGTTTTCAAAGGATGCGCTGTCATTAGACTGGGGTGTCGAGCCATCTATTATAGGATTGTAGACTGCGCTCTTCATTTCTACAGGGTATCAATGAGTTTTGCCATGCAGCCTACGCTACACCGAGAGCATACCGAATGCTATACGAATTAATGCCAGGTTTGCTAGAGCACAGGTGGCGGGCTGAGGGTCGACGGAGGGTAAAGAGTACCAACATCAAGGAATCAGGTCTTTGATCTCATCTTAAGGACGGACCATCGAAGATCTCCAGATCTGATCTGGTGTTTGTTTCACTGTTGCCGAGCAACATGAATCGTCTTGACTACCAGGTAGTACTTGCTTAATTTCCGAGCAGTGAAAACTCTCCCAACTGATCAGGCCTTCCAAACGTGACACTGCCTTCGTCAACGATATGCTGGAATATTGTCAATAGCTTCTATTGAAACGGCGGTCGGTCTCTTGACAGTTTGTGGTAACATCAAGGGTAAATCTTGCCCCAGTCACCTGGTTAGTTTATTAGGAAGACAGCTTGGTTCTGAACCACTAACAGCAACATGAGTGAAGTCCCATAGAGTACTACTGATTGGTATTGTTGATTGCTGTAGCTTTCTCAGATTGACGGTGCCTCCATCAAGACCTAATGAGCATGGATTACAAGACTTTATCCTTGGGATGAAAAGGAATTAAAAGGCGGTCATTATTAGTCTATTAGTCTTTACTCTGAGGAAGAACCGCTGCAGATGACCTGCATGAGCGCATCCTCACAATTTCATTCTCCAACGCCGCTTTAACATTTCCATTAATCCGCTTGTGGATGTGTGAGCGGCAGCCGCGGGGAGATCTGCCCGTTCGAGGCTGGTGGTGGAAAGCGGCACGAGATTTTAAGAGAATCGGGACTAGCTCAAGCAAATCAACCACGCCGAGGCGCTGCTAACCCTCCTCGTCTGGGTTGCGCTTCTAGTCCCCCACCCCCCCTGAGGCTTGCTGCTTCGAGCTCTGATAATGAGCCCACTCAGGTCAGACCCACCCTGGTCACTCCTGCCTGCGCTGACTCGCTCGAGTTGCACCTTTCGCCAGGCCCCCAATTCCAGTCCCAATTCCCAATTCCCAATTCCAGTTCCCCGTGACATCCTCGTTCGAGTTCCTCCTCCGTCGACGCTGGCATCTCTTCGCCATCCATTCCTTCAAGCACAACGCGAGTACTATTAATGTAAGTTCTACTCATTTTCCAATTAAATGAACTGGCGGATCTGGACTGCTGGACAACCCTTGCATTCCGACACCATCGAACGAAGCCACTACGCAACGGACAGGAACTAGAGCCATCGCAGACAGCCATTAGCAGCAGCACCCAATGCTTCTGCGGCAGAAACGCTCTACTACAAACACTCAGTCACGCCCAGGCTTTGACTACTTCAGACAGCGATCGCCATCCATCGAGCTTGCCGAAAGCGACGCGACAGGCTCGCGGCACGGGAAGGGATTGACCATGCGAGCTTTTCTGCCACACTGACAGACGGCTTGTGCAAACTGTGGCCGAGTTCCAGCTCTGCACGACCAGGGTCGCATACTTCGCTGTCAATCGACGGCCTGAACCTCCGTGGCTCAGCCTGGTTGTACGACTACCGATAGATGGACAAGCGCGCTGCGCGAATATTCACATCTACGGTGGCCTTGAACTGTAATGAACCGTTGCTAACACGCTGCATTAGCAGACGCTTCTATCAACACTGTCACGAGCCAAACGATAATCAACGTCTCCAACTCAACTCGGTCGGACAGGCATCTGCCGATCACTCCCACCGACTTTATCTTCTCAATTTCGATCCAATTTCCATAATTCAAAATGCCCCAGTACACGTCTCGTGACGTTGGCGACCCGTCGCAGATCAAGAAAACTAGGCAGTCGATGGCCGACTTGAAGTTGAGGCGATTGACGGAGCTGAACAACCGCTTGAGGGAGGATCTCGACCGTGAGCGCATCCCTGTCAGCACTGCCGCGAAGAGGTAATTCATGTAACCCGCGTCAGAGAGGTGCAATGCTGATGATCCATGCAGCATCATTGCATACTGCAACGGCACGAGAGATTACATGGTGCCTTCGACTTGGGGTGCTGTCCCCAAGGGCGAGGACCCCTACGCTCCACAACAATCCGGTGGCTGCTGTGTCGTCATGTGAAATGAGGAACTCAAGAGAATAGTCACAGCCTGGGCGTTTAGGAAGCGATCCGAAGCAATCGAAACCCAAGGAGAGAGGTACGACGAGGTACCACGACCGTCGATGATGATATACCAAGCGTTGTGCGTGCGCGGGAGGCACATTCACGCGCCAATCTTTCTGCAATGTACTTCTCTGATGCGCATTTCCTTTTAAAACTCATGCGTTGGGCGAATTTGCAAGCTAGGACCAGGTTTGGGTACAGACTGCACGCGGCAGCAGGTACCGGAGGATATACGAGAGGGTCTGCAAAGGTCCTTGTTCATGAAATGATATATACGCGCTCGAGCCGGTTGCATTGTGGTTGGCAAGATACCAACACCGGCAGCGTACATGATAGCTTCCTGTCTGGAAATCCGGTTGGCTAGTCAGCGTGTAATAATTCCCATCAAATCCAGTATTTCATTTTGTTCACCAGCGTCATGTACCGATAAAGGGGTCGTCGTCTACTGTCTTTGTCATCTCCATATGGTGCTGTGCTTACTTGGGGCTCGGGTTTCCTCCATGTTTCCTCCACAGTAATAATGCCCTCACGTCATTTATTCGGCACCTACAACGAAGACTAAATAAGCGCTATCAACACCTACAATCCTTCACAGACCGGCCTCATTGAGACAAGTGACCCCGCCGGACGAGGAATCTACATTACCTTAGCCTGCTATTGTCATCGCCATTGCAACCGCCTAGTTCAGCAGTCAAGCTTAGCAAGATTGCATGAACATGTCGACCGATGCCGCTCCGTCGAGCATCACGACCCAGGCCATAGCCTGCCCCCTGCCTAGGGTCACCATCCAGTTCTGCACCCAGTGCAAGTGGCTTCTTCGAGCTGCCTATGTGAATTCCCCCCCAGGGTTCCTCGACATCAACCCCCCCATCCTCATATAGTCCATGTTCGTGCCCATGCTGACGAATCCCCTCAAGTACGCCCAAGAGCTGCTGAGCACGTTTTCTACCTCGCTGGGAGAAGTTGCCCTGCAACCTTCCACGGGCGGGACGTTTGTCGTCCAGATATATCATGGCACGGCGGAGGCGAAGACGCTATGGGACAGAAAGACGGACGGGGGCTTTCCAGAGACCAAGGAATTGAAGAGAAGAGTGAGAGACGTGATTGAGCCTGACAGAAATCTTGGACACGTGGACAGGGATTATGGCAAGAAGGATGAACAGAAGGATGAACAGGCCGTCAGGGAGGACAAGGACGCAAAGAACAAAACGGCTGAACCGCAGGGCAACGAGCCAAAGTGTGAAGACTGCGCAACATGACGAGGTAGGACATGGTCATGAGAATTAGATTCAGATTTAGGTATGTTTCATTAGGCTTCTGGTAGATACAAATGTACCAGACGCCGCTAAATATCTCAATGGTGCCGTGTCATGTTCCGCGTGGGGAAAACGAAGCTAATTGAAAGTCAAAAGCGATTTTTATGTATATTTATTGGTGAGCTAAGAAACAGCCGTTGTCGTGATCCACGTTGCAAATTGGGCATGATACGACCAAAGCTCGCCGAGTTCAACACAGGCTTGCCAGGCACGCTCGATGGACCGATCTCTCGAGATTGCTCGACAACTAACTCCGACGTCATGTCGGACCCGGCGAGAGGAGGATTATGCGGAATGGACCGAGATTACGAGACGCGCAAGAGGATCGCAGATTTACAGAAGCCGGAGCGCCGGATACTGCTTGCCGCTGTGGCTAGCAGCCGGCGCGGCGAGGGGACTTGTTCGTCGAGGGTGCGATAGAAGTAGTACATTGCTTGCTTATCGCCGTCCGAACTTCTGCTTCTTCTCGGCAGGCTTGAGGATCTGGAACCCAACATCAGCAACTAGTATGACCAAAATTCGCGGAGCTCGCATACCTGGAACGAGCACAGTAGACTCTCATCGACGCTCATCATGGCGCCAGCATTGTCGAATTCTCCACAGTAGTTGGGAGCACTGAAGAGGGTGACAAGTTGGCGTTTGCTGAAGAACTCGTAGCCATCCTCCACGACCTGGTGAGCGCGGCAGATGAGATCCATGTCGTGCTTCTGGAGGAAGCGCGATACGACATCAGGACCGAAGGTGAAGGATACACCACGGTCATTTTCACTCCATCCCGTGATGTCCTTGTCCGGGTCTGACCACAACAGGTCGCACAGCAACCCACAGTCGGGGATCTTGGAAAGTCAGCATGACATGCGCAACGTTGCATCGCTCGGGATATCGTCTTACATCTGTAGGGCGCATCACGCGGCGAATCTGCTCCATGGAGTTCAAATCAGGGCTCAGGCCACCGTGCATGGTGAAGATTTTCTCGTCGATGATAGCGGCGATGGGTAGGCAGTTGAAGCAGTCCGTGAAGGTCTTCCACAATTTGATGTTGTAGCGACGCTTGCACTCGTCGTAAAAACCGTAGATGCGGTTAATGGAGGCACACTCATGGTTGCCACGCAGGACGAAGAAGTTCTCGGGATACTTGATCTTGTAGGCCAGCAACAAGCAGATGGTTTCGAGCGATTGCTTGCCTCTGTCAACGTAGTCGCCAAGGAAGAGGTAGTTGGCTTCGGGGGGGAATCCACCGTATTCAAACAGGCGCAAGAGATCGTAGTACTGCCCGTGGATGTCGCCGCAAATCTGAGGCCGGTGTTAGCATGGCATGATGGGATTTTCTGACTGTTGCCCATGTTCACCTTGATGGGAGCCTCAAGCTCGAGGAGGATAGGCTGCGAGATGAAAATCTCCCGAGCCTTGGTGCACAGATACCGAATCTCGGCCTCGAGGAGCTGAACCTGCTTGCCGGGGCGGCTGCCGCGAACTTCCAGGAGTCGGTCGATTATGGAGTCGAGATCGACCTCGTGTTCTGCCATCGTAACAAGCCCTCGATGGGAGATGGCAGGCTACAAGGAAAGGTTGGGTGGGCGGCGGTAAGGGAATGGAATCCAGGCGATGCGCAGGGTTGACGCAGCTGCGGGGACTCAGTCAGTTGACGGCGATGTTCGTAACTGATTGCTGCTGCTTATGCGCTAGGTTGGCGGTACTCGAATCGAGCCTGCAGACCGCAATTGCGGCTCGTCAGCAAGCTGCGGAATACGTCGCATGGTGCAAATTGCATAGTGTGCAGACTTGCAAAGACAAGCAGAGAAATAGACCGCACAAATGGGCTATCTTGTGGTGAGGGCAAGACGAGCGAAATCTTCTTGACTCAAATGTGAATGATGGGGGGAGCGGGAGGAGGGGTTTGTCGATTTTATCGAGAGGCTAAGCCATCACGGAACTGGGAATGATTCGACTCACTGTGGCGGTAGCGTAGCTCCAAGCAGGAGAAGATTCCCGTCGCAAGATTTCTCGTTACTGTACAAGGTATTGCTTGTTAAGAGAATGACGATCAGTGTGGGCTGTTAGTCGTCGTCGTCGTCGTCGCAGTTGCCTTGGGAGGCGATGTGGTGATTGCGGGTGTGGAGGTCTTCGTCACCCAGTGAGTGGAGGCTGGCGTCTTGGAATGCAGGTTCGCAAATACGTCGTGGATTGTACGCTTTCGCGCTATCGCCTTGATTTTTTTTTTTTTTTTTTTGGTAGAATCAGGTCGTCCGTGGACGATGTCGTCTTGTATGAGTTTGAGAGAGATCTGGGAGGATCGATATCACCAGGTGGGCGGTTGGTGATGCCTCCAGTCGATGTTGGCGGTAGGCTGCCACGAGGACTGAGGAAAGAGTCAGGATGGACGTTTTCGGCCGCGCGCGTTTGACGCTGTCGTGAGGAGTAAAAGCTGCTCACAAGAATCGCAAGTGTTTAATATCGAGATCAAAGACCTTTCTTATGTAAGACGCAGGCGGCGCTGTGTCGTTGTCGTCTGTTGATTTCGCGTGTCAACTCTGTCGAGTGGTGGCAGAAGAGTAGGAAGAGGGATGGGTGATGGGACTTGTGCGTTTTTTTCGTCGCGTGCAAAGAGCAAAGGGGGGCCCCTCGGAAAACCCAGCAACTGTATCGACTGGATCGTCTGGCTCCGGCGCGCCGCTGGGTAAGGGACTTTGGTGCTGAAGGGAGGAGCTGGGCGCTGATTTAGGCGGCTATAGGCTGGAGCCCAGTGGGCTGGGCCACCGACTGGACGTGGACTGGATCTCACCTCAGGACAATTAGTAAGGGCGCGCCTCTGCCAGTGGGGGCTTCAGTCCCGTATAAGGCGCTGCAGCCAGAACAACAGCGATCTCTTCCGTGTCGACGAGGGATCTAGACTACACTGCCAGCGTACTACTTACTTCTGTGCCGAATAGGGTAAAGCAATATAGTTCACACGTGAATGCCACTCTATACCACTACTTGCTGACCACGGCTACTGACCCGGCTGCCTGGTCTGGCCTGTCCTTCCATCTCGCCCGAGGAGCCCACAGGCCGAAACCATTGCCCCAGCATACGTTTGTAGACTGCGACGTGAATCAGAAAACACATCGACCCAAAGCTTGCTCAGCCTCTGGCCCGCTTTGCAGATCAATTGTAACTAGAACCTTGCGATTCTTACTCCTCGATTTTGTTGATTACTTGTCCTACTACTCCACTGGAGCTCCAGAGCTTGCGGCCAACGCCTGGGAAGAACGGACACCACAATACCCCATAGACGCTCAGCACAGCCACTATCAAGTCGATGCTAACCACCCGGCCACCATTGTACAGTATCAAGACATGCACATATACCGAGCATCATTGCAGCAAGCAATCGCAACAAGACGCGGCAGCTGATGCTCCCCAGTGTGCGTGGCAGGAAAGTTGCCACTCGGGGCTTGCACAAGGCAAACGGCACCGAGCAAGATACGTAGACAACTGATGATCGTGCTAGCGTGGCCGCTCACCCCCAAACGCAGTCATCTTCTCTCTTGTCTGTTCCCTACCACGTTGTGGCTGACGATCCGAGACCGAAGATGCCTCTGCTACCCTTGATTACCCCTGAGACGACGTCGTTTCAGTTACAGATCGCCGTATTCTCTGCACTCAGTGACCAAGGCGTCTCGACTCGCAAGCTGCAGGGCTCGTCCACAGCCCACCGGTCCACGCCGATTAAGATGGGGGCCCCAGAAAAGCTTGGCCTTTGGTCAGTTGCACCACGCAACCTGGCGCCAATAGTGCTGCAGCAAGTGGACGACAACTCAGGCCCTGATCTTCAGTCGTCGTAAGCCGGGACCCACTTAAAGTTCGCGAAGGCATCGGTAGCACGCTTTGTTCATGTTGACATGCCATCTTCAGCTGATAGCTGGGCCTACGAGGAGGCTCTCGGCAGAACGTGGATACTTCATGGCGTGATCAGCGTGAGAGTTCGGAATACAGAGTAGCTGGTAGATATTTATAGAAATTTCCACCTTCAAAGTGCAAAAGCCTATACGTCCTCCGTACACATTGCGCCCCTGACTGTCCACGGATGTGATGAAAACATCGCGTGTGACGTCGCTTGACAGGAAGCACCGCGTCTCTGGTGTGTACGATTTGCAAACAAAGCTGCCAATCAATATTGCAGACTGCGGACCTGTGCTGTGGAATGACCTCAAACGTTGTCCCACGCTCCTCAGTTCTGCTTCGCATTGTGATACCAAGGGCGCCCTCTATACTCCCGCCAACGCCCAGCTTAATTTGACTACTAAAACAGCAAACATGTGTGTGTGTAATAGACCTCCAAGGTGCCCTTCCCATGATACGCCTCCCTGTGACTTTCCGCAGCACCCATTCGCTAACGTCTTCTGGCAGACGTTCTCCGGGTACTCGCAACCGCCGGCGCCGCTCTCCGGGCCTTGCTCCTAGACGCGACCGCGGCAGCCGGGACGCCCTTGTCCCCAATGGCCGATTCGAGACCCTCAGTGACTTCAGCCCCAAGCGCCTTAAGCTCTTCGTCGTCCATGTCCGTGAGATCTTCGCTTTGCATGTCCACATCGCTCTGCTCCGCCGCCTCGTGGTCAACACAAACAGTGGTCCCAACAGGATCAAAGGGTTTGAAGTACCACGGTATACCGCCGTCAGAGAGGGGATCAATGACTTTCCCCAGGCTACCATTAGACTGGGGCGGTGTTGGAGGGCCAGTCTGGGCGGCACCCGGCTTGGTGTTGATACTGAACTCATTTTTGTCGCTGTTGGGAGGTGTTTCTGAGGCGATTGCGCCGTCAGGAAGCTGGGATGTCGTGTCGGCCGCATCTGCCATTTGGACGTCCTCAGACTCGGCCGTGCCCTCGACAGGCTCCCCAGGAGCATCGACTTCCTCGGCGGTCGGGCCTGTGCCCTCTCCCATCGCAATGTCGCTTGCTTCGATCGCCTTTTCGGCTGAAGCGATCGCGTGCCCCAGAGCCTGAGTATCCTCCCGACTGCGGAGGATGATCTCTTCCTGCACATTGAGACTATGCTCGATGCGACTTGCCAGCTCTTGCTGTAGAATCTTGAAAGGTTTGCCGTCCACTATCGTGGACTCGAGATGAAGCGCGCTTTCGAGATGCGGCTGCGCCGCCTTGAGGATGCGCCTCCCCAGCTTTCGCCGCTCGCGGATGTCGGCAAGCGTGTGCTTTGGAGAAGGCTCATTCAAGGATTCTGTGCCTGCGCCCTCGTGTGCAGTGGCAATGCCGGTACGGATGACATTACCAAGGTCATGCGCGAAGACCATGGCTTTTGTATAATGTCGCTCTCTTGTCCGGCGCTCTACACTACGAAGACCCTCCTCAAACAATTGCCTGTCAAGCCTGTACACTGTCAGAAACTGTAGCGATGGACACCCTGGGCGTTTTACTTACGATATAGCCTTATCAATAGCCGCCAGCAGGTGTTTTGTGACCGGAAAGTAGCACTCGTCGACAAAGTCTTGTTCCACTTCCGCAGCAGACAACTTCTCTTGCTCGCGCAGCACAGTGTCACTTGTCAGAGTCTTCAGGCGCTCCATATCCTGGATGAGCATCTCGGCGAACTGTATCCGCCTCGCCAGCCGCTCTTTGCCATCTGGGCCCATGGCTGCAAAATCCCTGCGGGTGAGCTCCATGGAAGAGAAAGAGTCCATCTGTAGCTGCAGGCGCTTCAGCAAGGCGGCTCCCTTGCGGGACTCGCGCTTCAGGGTCCAGTAACGACAAGCTTCAGCCAGGAACTCTTTGCGCTTCCTGATGGAAAATCTCTGCAAGGATATTTCAACAGTATCAAAGACGGCTTGGGGTATAACAGGCGCTCCAGAGGGAAGACGCCAGACATTCTTGGGTTGTTGGTTCTTCTTCTTCTCGCCATGCGACCCGGCAATGCCCACAAATGCGCCATCTGCCTGATTTTCGTCCACGTTGACCCGTTGCTGAGCAGCAATGACATTCGCGACGGCATAATTATCAGCCCAAATGCGACCTTTCATGTTCTTCTTGTAGAACCGTTTAGCTGCCTTTGTCGCCTCAGCTACACGTTGCTCGGCTGTGTAGTCGGGAGGACCGTGTTTGTTGCAGTATGCCTTCAAGACCATGTTCCCGTCGAGCACGGCCAACTGGCCTGTGGGGGTCTTCATCTTGAGATAGAAGCGAGCGCGCCGAGCGCACGTAACATGAAACGCCTGGTAGCAATTCTTGTTGCTGCACTGGATGCACGCCCCCATCCTCTGGTTGCAGATGAAGCAGTTCAACTTCCATCGTGTCTTTGGGACCTTTTCAACGTCCTGGACAGGTTCCATGAATGTGTGGTTGGCCAAGGACACTTCGGGTATCCACATGGCACACAGGAGATGGGACCATTGATTGGCAGCAGTTTGCTTGAAAGCGCCATCTGTGTTCGGGCAGAATATACAAGTCTGTGCATGTTAGCAAGAAGAATTTGTTCCATCGAATGCGCAACTTACCGGAACACCTCTACCGCATGCAACACATTTCCGGCACAGCCACTGGCCTTCAGGAATAAATGGGACACCATAGCACTCCTGGTGAACGGCCAAGTTACAGCCGTCGCAAAACACAATGGCGTTCGTGTTTTCGCAGTCGCCGTCGTCGCAGATGACGCATTTGATATCAGGTTCCTCGCCGGCTTGATGCTCGCCATTCACGGCAGCGGCTGAGCTCGAACGTGGACGGTGAGTTTGAGGGGGCTTCGGGTTTGGCTTTGGTATTCGTTTCTCCAGACCGTGCCATTCTTTTTCGATCTTGGTCATTGTGATCTCAAAGATTTCGCGCGTCACAGGTTCGAGCTGGCTCTGTTTTCGCTGGGCATTGTAATGTTCCAGCCACATGTCATCTTGCTCATCCATGTCATACTCTACGCGGAAGAACTTTGACAAGTGTGAACCGTCGTCAGCAGTGGGTGAGGACGACTGCTCTGGATCTTCTTCTGCGCCTGCATTGCCGGCCTTGATGAGTTGTCGATCGGGCCGGGCAAAGTGGTCGCTTTCTTGGTATCCAACATTACTCATAGCTTTGTCGACATAGCGAGCTTGCCCAAACGTCTTGCTCTCAAAGATTTCTATACGATTGGTTCGCCGGTACGAAGGTTGCTTGAGGTCAAGTTTCTCTTTCGCAGTCTGATTCTTGATGGGCAGCACTTGCGGTTTTTTTGGTGTTCCGGGTACGGGGAGTTCAGCCGGACGGGTACCGTAGAAGCTGATTACGTCCCTCGTCGGTCGTCGCGAGCGCCTCGTCGGTGTGCCGTTCAGCGCGTCGAATGGGTTCGTATCATGTTTGGTCGAGGCAGCAGGTGTATTGCCTGTCGAGGCGGGGTTGATATGCCGCGACGGCGTCTCAGAGCCCCCTTCAGAAGATTCCAACGGTGGCCCGAGTACAGGTGTGCTTGGACGCTCTTGAGCTATACCGTCAACCTCCTCTGATCGAAAGACCTTGAAGCACTGCTCTATGTCGAGATTCGGGTGGAATTCCTCCCAGCTACGCTCTTCGCGGGGCTTGTAGTCGTCCGCGTGGTGCACTGAAGCAGCGACTGCGGCGGCAAAGCCAAACGGCTTGTTGTTGGAAACAGGGTTCCGAGTGCGTGTGCTGCGCTCACGTGGCGGGAGTACACTGGGCGTACTGATGTTGACCGTGCTGCGGACGCGCGTGCGCGCGACGGTCGCCGCGCCGTTGGGCACGGGGGTATCTTGGTCGCTTGTATCGCACCACCGCCCACCGCCACCTGCGCCTCCGGGAACATACCGACGCTTCTTAAGAGGTGGTTCCGAGGCAGCAAGTGCGCCAAATGCGCCCAACGAGTCTGAGCGAGCGGCTCGAAGCGCACTCGAAGTGCCGGGCGGGCGACCGCGTCGGCGACCAGTCGGAGTTCGACGCGAGGGAGATTCGATCGAACCCATCGCTCTTCAAGTTATCGTCTTATTCGGGGAGCTCTTTTGGAAGCTAGCGCAATGTCAAAATGCTTATATCGTGACGCTGAGAGAGTGGCGGATGATAAAGAGCGTATTCCATCTGGCAGCGCCGTGGCAGCCTTCCAGTGGGGTTTGAAGAGCCGCAAATTTGCTCATACCGCCCTGGAAAGGAGCAAGATGCGCGGTTCGTGACCTGCTTCGTGATATCTCGATGGTATTCGTTGCTAGGAGCCACCTTGTTGCTGAGTTAAGGAAAACAGCCAACGCGTGAAGTTGAAAGCACGGACCACCCCCTTGAATGCTGGGTCGCGGGGATGAGTCAGCAAGCACACTTTCGCTGAAGGTAGCCTGGTGGGGTTGCCGAATCAAGATTAGCGACCCAACTAGTGCCTGAGCGTACTTGGACGTATAAGACAGCCTGGCAGGACCATGCGGTTGGAGCTTGGACCACATCCGTGCTATTTATTACACAAGTACTCCGTACACGGTTTGCAATCAGACCAGTGGCACTCAAATGGAGGGTATTTCAGACAGTCCTTGAAGTCTCTATGCCAGCCGGAGCAGTTCAGCGTTGGCTCCAAAGTGGGGCTTGGCAATACGCAACGTGAGGCGTTGAACTACTACACAGAGATCGAGATGGGTGTATAATGTAATCCATAAACATCATATGAAGAATCCCGAAGATGCTTTTCTGAGCCGGTCGCACATGCGTCTGTAGTATGCATTCATGTATCTTGGGTTGCCCTCGATCGTGCAGGGACCAGCCTCCACGTCATGCCTTGGAGGATCACGCACTCCCTTCGGCCATGTATATAAAGCAACCAAAACCCCTCGCGGCACCCCAAACGCCGCCCGCAGATCCCTCCAACATATGTAACAAATGCCAACGCCGAAATTCAATGCTCCGCAAAATCGCAATATGGTATAGCTACTGCCTGAGAGGCATTCTAAGCAACAATCAAGTGAAGTGATATAATGCTTCAACGAGAACTCCCCGCATTGGAACAACAAAGTTCTACCCGAGAGAGGGTCTCAAAAGAAAAGGTTGCTATCAGCGGGTTTGAGCACCACGCTGATTGGCAACTGAGAAGTATCGCCAGCAATGGGCAGGGAGCGGGCGCCCAGGAGGGGAGAGGGGGTATCATAAATAGGTATCGTGGTTGATGGCGGGATTTGAGACTTATCAAGGGCTCACGGACTGACCTAAGGTCCGACCGCCTTGAAACGCCTGCAGAGAGTGGGCCAGCTGGTCCTCTTGTCCTGGAGCGATTGAATTTCTAGACTCCCAATCGCTGTCTCCAAGAACACTAAGGTAGCCATCGCCAACCTTGTCTCGCAGTGTCTCGATTTTCAGTCGGTAATTCTGCGCATCAGAGTCCCAACTCTGACCAGACTGCCAGCTTGGTCGTGGATCATTGGAATCTCTCTGCGGTACCGGGCGAACAGCGGTGGCTTGCTCGCCCCGAGGCACTGCTGCGGGTGCTGTATTGTTTGGGGTGTACGCATCAGCTGGGGGCGTCGTAGTTGACGCTTGTGGTGGCTTGGGGGCGACTTGGTAGTTGCCCTCGGGCGTGATCGCACTCGATCGATCAATAGGTGATGTGGTGCTACGCACATCGCCGGGCAATGGAGCGGATAGATCATTGGTAGCGAGATCTACAATGCGACGCTTGGGTGTCTTCTTTCTTCGTGTAGAGCCCGTGTTGATTTCGCTCATGACGGCCTTCGGTACCGGGCGTTCGCGACGACCGCTAGGACTCTGGGGAGATCCATATACGATTGTTGGTTTTGCAACGTCAACGGTAGGAACCTCGGGAGCCTTGGGCTTCACCACTGGCACTGATTCTGGCATCGGTGGACGTTCCACCAGATAGCGACGTTCGTTGCTTCCTGGTCCGGTTCCATCAATGATGATATCATCAGTGTACCCAGGCGTTTTGCGAAACAGATTCAAGATTGCAATGCGATAGTCTTTGTGTGTCCGCGTGAAAGGGTTCCCTTCAACCCAGATCTCCCGGATGTCAGGTATACCTGTCAAGCGAGCGATCTCGGAAGGGTCAGTCAAGTTATTGTCTCGCAAATCAAGTCTTTCAAGCGGATAGAGCTTCTCAACACCCGCTAGGGACGAGAGACGATTGCCCCGAAGATTCAAAGCCGTGATTGCGGGCAAGGGGTTGCGCGTCAGAGACTGCAGCGAGTCGATCATACAATGCGAGAGATTGAGAGCGCGAAGCGCGGTCAAGGTTGCCAGGCTGTCGGGGATCTGGGTGAACAGGTTGGAGGAGATATCCAGGGAATACAGCGTATTGGACAACGGCGCTAGGCTAGTGGGCAAGATTGCGGTCATCGCATTGTCGGCCAGGCTCAAATGGCGAAGGAAGCGCCACTTTGTTGCAGGAAGGATGCCCGTAACTAGGGTGTTGCCAGAGCTACTACCTCTGCCATGATGGTGCCATGAGTCGGACATGCTCGAATTTGAGCTTCCCGAGCCAGAGCGCCTGATGCGTTGCTGCGAGGAGCGAAGCTGATTGGAATGGCTGCGGCCATTGCTCGGGCGTGACGGCGAATTGCTGCGGGGCCGACTAGACTTGGCAGGCGACTTTGAAAGTTCGTCGCTGGTTGTGACGGCAGCGTACGGGCGTGTAGTATCTGAGGCACTGCTGTCTTCAATGGCATGTTCACTCGGCGTCAATGACCCAACGCGCACTTCAGAAGTTAATAACCTCGTCTCGCCAAGGCCTGGCGCAGTCATGGATCGCTGGAGCTCAGCCGGGGGCACAACAGACCCACGACGGGAACTGCCGGCAAAGCCCCATGAGGTTCCTGGAGAAGACTGAGTCTTCGAGGTTCGGCGCCGGCGTTTGTCCATGTCATCCAGGACGATGTCGATCAGGATATCGGCGGGATCTTCGATCCCGGCTCGTTTCAGAGTCAGAGACCGAAGTTGATCAGCCACGCGGTCCCAGCCAAAGAACTGTCGAAAGTCTATACTGCTAACCTCCAAAGCCTGGAGATTCTTGAAGATATAGAGGGGGACGGCAGAATCAAACGGAAATTCCTCGTAGCCCCTTATCAGACGGGCGCGCCAATCAGGAGCTAATCGGAGGCAGGGGATCTTGGTGAAGGCGGAGTACAAGTATTTCAGGTCAGACTGAACCGCAGCCTTCTGACGTTCAGTTCGAGCAGCAGATATGCTCGCGCCGATGCCCAAACTGGCCCACAGAGCCGACATGCCGGACATGACACTTCGGACGCTGGACACGGACCGTATTGAGCCTACGTCAGACTCCCGACTCCGAGACCTCTGGGTATCCCCGAGAAATGAGACATAGTTGGCGGCTGTCGTCGTGTCGTGCAAGTTCTCCAGGCGAACCTTCATGGGACCCACAGCAATACCGAGTTCTTCGAATCGAGACAGCAGGTAGAATAAATGGTGAGGCGTGAGAGCCAACCTGGCTGACTTGACATTGTTCGAGGTTAGGTTCAGGGCACCCAGTGAAAATGTAGCTGCTAGCGTTGAGGCGGAGGAGGATGTTGCCGGCCGATCGGGGAGGGACGGCGACTTGGGACCCGTGGAAACGGAGCTGGTGCTCTGCGAAGGCCGATGGCGAGTTTCTCTCCGCTGGAACTGTAGGGCGTTTGCCAGCGCCTTCTCGTGTGTGCGGACGAAGCTGGCTAGTTGCTGCTGCCGTCAGTACAGGATGCTGCTATAGGAAATGGCTGCCCACTTTGACAAAGAACTCGCCATCTTCGGAGTCCATTTTGATGTTCGCAAGCGCATGCGGCGCCAGCCTCTGTAGGCGTGAAGGATGGCCGGGATGTGAACAGCTTTGGTTGTTCGTGTGTGTCGCATGAAAATAGGAGCGTACACTGATCGCAAGCGGGTTATAGCAGCTCTGTCATGAACTGGATAGCCTGACAGTTCAAGGTTAGGTAAGTGACATAACATTTGTGAGTGACTCAATGGGGAGTTTCCGGCTGCCAAAGGAAGGCAAACATGGCGTATCTGGTCTTGTAACACTGCAGGCTTCCGCTCCACCAGCCGGCGTGGGATTCGAGCACAATGTGCATTGCCGCCGCACTGCGATTGAGTCACGCAAAATGCTCGACTTGTTGCACGTCTTTCCCTTCTCCGAGACGCTGACGGGCTGAGCGACCAGAAATACACATTGGACGGGCTACTTCGAAGATCTGTGCTTGCTGAGGCAGCGGGGACCTGTCGAGCCGGCAATTACCGCAAAGCACAGCGCGGTGTTACAACGGAGCAGCGATGAAGGTCGACAAGAGAAGTTGTACGCGCATGGCTAGCTGTAGTCGAAGAGGATTGCACTCGATGGGCACTATGGGTATGATATCGATCGCAGGGCTTCACGCGCCAAGTCGTGAACGCTTCGTGTCGTCGAGGTTCGAGTTGATCGGGGTGTACCTCGCAGGGGAAGGCACTTGACGAACACCGCTGACGACGGAGAATTGCACGCGAGACGAAGGGCAGAAGACACAATTGAGAAGATCAAGGCTTGGGAAGGAGATGAAAGCATCACTCACCTGTAGCGTGGAGCTGGTGGACAGACCCGGGGTCCAACTGTTTCAAAGGAATGTGAGGCTCGCCGCGATTAAGGTCGCCCGTCGTCTGCGCGGCAAGGTATCTTTGCAAGTCGACCAGTGTCCCGGCATGCACTGTGAGAAGCTCCCCCAAGATGGCCTCACGCTTCGCTCGCTCCTCTGGGCAGCGAGGGTGCAGAAGCAAAAGCGAACAGGCAGAAAAAATGAGAGAGAGTCCCGCGATATTAACAACCCGGCGTGAGGGATCCAATCCTAAATAACACAGACCGAAGGGGGGGGGCCGCTGGTGGGGGGGGAATTTGCAGAGGCTCTTGCATGTCTTGGCGCTAGCTGCTCACTGGCGAACCAGGATCAGGCTCCAGTCCAGTCCGGTCCATGTGTTGGGCAACCGCAGCTCAAGCGCGTCAAGCCCTCAATTGCCTGCAGTCGATTTCTGTGGAGCCTATATCGTAGCGGGCTCTCCACCGACTGACAGGGGGTGCGGTCCAACAGCGCCTGGAGCCTCCACTGATAGCCACTGCATCCACACTGCTCAGTGCTATGGGCATTTCAGTTTTCCCGTCTTGTTCCATGGCGTCCATCTCCAGTCCATGACTTGCCGGTCGGTAGAACAGCTTTATTGAGAGGAGTTATTATTTTTTGTCAAGTAACGACGATAGGCATAGTCCAATCATTTGCTGTCGATGAATAGTCATTCCTGCAGTCAGCAGCACAAAAAATCGGTTCGTCAGCCCCGACGTTCTAGGCGACATGATCTATCATCCTGGCCGTGGTTCCCAGCCCGTGATCACGACGAAGCACACTGTCTCGAATCTCCCAGCCTAGTGACCACCACCAGTCCACCACCCTGTTGCTCACAAGGTGCGTTCACAATTGCGCGAGCATTTGCACAGTCGGGAATGGAATGGATCCTCTCCTGCCCATCCGAGCTTCTGTTGCTCAGTGCCAGGCATCCTTTCACGTCACACTGGAGACTTCGTCGAAATGAAGAGGGGATGACACCGAAAATCAGGGGCGGGATATAAGGCCAATAACGGCGGCGCAGAGTCGCTGGCCAAGAGAAGATCTACGTAAACAGTGCTTCGTGCGCCTCGTTAGCTGATATAGCTCTACGTAGTCGTTACACGCCTGCGAGGAAACTGTCGTGCGAGTACCGTGACGAACGTGCAATGGGGTTTTCGGGGGCCACAGTTTTCGATGTTCAACAAAAGTGAGAGCAATTCATATTATGGAGTAATCTGACGGTCCCTTCAAGCTGCAGACAGCTTGCATCAGCACTTGCATCATTTCGCATTGAAGCGCCAAGCTGATGCGGCTGGTACGAAAACCTCTGACGTTAATAAACCCACATGCGCTCGCTGTTTGTGTAAATCTGGCCAACCCGAAACTCGTTGATGACTTTGGTGTCGTGCAGGTATTGCATACCTTCAGAGGAAAAGGTATTGATAAGAGGCCAGACAGCAAGAAGCCGCTCAAATGGTGGTAGTAAACATCTTCGAACGCGTGTTCGCGCTGGGCGGGTATGGGAGGTCAGTAACGGCTCTTCAAGGCAATATTTACACTGAACAGTACCGTATAATATTAAAGCACGAAGTAATAATACATCAGTCACTCTGGGGCTACAATCGCCGGGTCGGCCGCGCCAAGCGTGGAAGAAGTCGGCCAAGCCAGTCCAAACACATCCAAGAGACCGAAATGATGCTCGGGAGCGCAGGGTCCCCACTGGCGCCAACCCCTACCGGGACGATGCGCGGGGCCAAGAGTTCTAACAACAACGCGAACGACGCTGATGCTGTTTGTTCCGCTGAGTGACGATGGCTTCATCACATTCTGCCTCAGCACATAGCACGTCCGCTGTACTTGACTAGGCTCTATACTCTCAACTTCTTTCTGTCAGGACAGAGGTGCACAAACGCGCAACGGAAGTCATCCTTTGATCATGGAGCTCGATGCACTTTTGTCATAGCGACAAAGCCGTCGTTGATTGTCCGTCGCAAAATCGCCCACGGGCAGCAACCGCAAACAGAGCGAACACAAATGAAAGCCCCCCCCCAGGATGCGGCAAGCCTCGCCAGCTAGCTCCCCCTTGGCATGGTATTGGTCGATTCTTTCAAATACAGAAAGAACATGTCACACAATTGAAAGGCACCGTGACGTTTGGCTCATGCCAGCTGATGAAGATGGCTGGCAGCTGCCGTCGTGTCTTTGGCAAACCTCTGAAAAGGGTGCGACAGGGGGTGGTCATGCTCCGCCAAGACATTCCATTCATGCGGAAGCGTTCGCTAATTAGGGTACGAGCACATCCTGGATCATCACATCCTGACCTTCACCAGTTTTTATCACTACCTTGCAACAGTATTGATATGCGGCAAGCACCGGGAAAGTCAATAATATACGCCACACCACTCAGAGTCGTAGAAGACGCTTGGCGCGACAGAGCATCGCTGGTCAAGACCAGCGGGCCGTTGTGGAAACCGCACCATGACAACCAAGAGGACCAGCCCTAGGAGACTGGTCGTTCGCGCCCTGTCCCGGCGTGAGAAGCTGTCTGTCATCATGTAGGCATCGGCGCATCGCAGCAGGCATCGCAGCCGTCAGAGTGCGCTCCAATCGTCAATGTTCCAACATAGTGTGCGTCGCAATCACTCGCCCAAAGATGCCAAATGTGCACTGGTCCCTGCCCAATCCATTAGGCCTACGCTGCAGTGCTGCTGCAAATCCGTCAACTACATGTCGTCCATGGGCACATCTTTGGCAGCCAAGGCCACCGGTTATGTCATTTCCCCCACTAGCCTGCTCGCGCTACAGTTGTTGTGGTTGGGCTTGTGTGATCTTATCACATCATCTCGCCTTGCCCAGGCCCCAGCCCCCGCGAGCCCCTCCCTCCACTTGACCACGCACTCGCAGCTCCCCACCACGATGGCGCCAGATTGGCTGCGAGTGCAACATCATCAGACATGTCTCTTGAACCTCATGCGCTTGCACCAGACGTCACGGATTGTTCCTAAAAGTCTCGTCCACCTCGTGCTCGCTCCCATGCGTGGTTGGGGCTGGTCTCGAACAAGTGTCACTTCCCTACGGATATTATGCCAAGACATTCGGGGCTGAGGATACTCACTTTGGAATGAGATTGCCTGACCAACCGCTGTCAGACGATGCCTTTAGCCTATCGGCCAAGAGTCAGGGTCCTGTACTCCATCTCTACAGTACGTACTCTAACTCCGTATCCGTACAGCAGCCATATCTCGCAAGCGGATGGCCCGCCTCTCGACCCAACATCAACTGCCAGAAGCTGATCCTTCACTTTTTATTTGGCCCGGCCTTCCAACGTGTCTCATACATGTCTCCGCTGAGATGAGACTTTATGTCCTGTACACAGCTGAGCGCATGCAGCCATCTTGGATCTTCAAAGCGCAAACCGAGCCCCCTCGTTCCACAACAGTCCATACGTAGCGGCGAGGCCACCCAACCCCAGGTCACTAGCACTGCGCGCAACATGCACACCGCCTCCATGTCCTGCGCGGCTTGCCACTCAGCGCAGAGCTGCTGCGTTCCGCAATTGCCCAGGACGCACGTATCCGTACTCGCCGGCGAGTGAGAGAGCGGAAGCACATGATCTGCGCCAATGTTGGCCAGATTGGCGCCGAGAAACCTCTGCGGAGAGACCTTGTGATTCGACGGTCGCCCGCGCAGGTCGCAGCCGTGGCTTCAAGCACACCTGGGCTCTCTCGAGCAACAAGACACACTGCCACCAGATTTGCCGCTGCCTCGAGACATGTCTATGCAAGGCTCTGGTTCTTGAGTATGAGCCCGCTTTTGTTGCGTTCACCGCTCAACGCGGGAGAAGACCTAGGGTCCATCCATTTCGTTATGGCGATGCACGAAACGACCATCGTCAAATTGCCATGTCTCGAGGATCTCCGACGAGCGACAGAAGCGGAGATACTTGGATGGAAGCCTATCTTTGCTCGGCGACCCTTTTCAGCAGCGTGTACGTGCCGTAGATCTCCGTCTAATCAGTCGCAGGACTTGAGGCCCAGGTGACCTTCGGGTTACCGCATGCGGCAATGCGGCTGGCTGACCACTTTCGCAACCTTGAGCAGCCCACCATGGAGTGCACGCTACGGGCCGGGGTGTCATCATTGCCGCCGCTCTGGACCTCTGGTGGACACGTACGGAGTACATTGGATATCTTCCATGGTGATATGACAGCACCTCATCTGCCGAGGGCTATCCTCGCATCTGTAATAGTGATCTGACACAACATCACGACCAAGTGGGCCCTAAAGCATGCAAGGCTCTTCTCGGACGATTCTCTTCCCCACTCCCCAAGATTGAACGATCCTCCGATTGCGCATAAACTGTTGCGGGACTCTGTCTTGCGGTAGGTTATCACACTAGCTTCCAAACTAAACGGTCAGTTTCCGTTCGTGGGGGCGGCACTACTTGCGGTTGCGGCGCATGTGCCAATGGATGGCTAGTCTAGCTGGGTAGCCATGAGATCATGCGCCAGCGTGAATTCCGTATTAGGCAAGGAGGCTCTAGACAGGGTCAAGGCTAACTAATGGTGGGATCGAAACGCACCGCCAGAGTTGTCATTCTGTAGTTTCCGTGGCCTGCAACCACAAAACATCCTGGTGCCGGGTAGGCTATCTCATCCATGCGCAGCATGAATTCAGAACCAACGTCCAAGAAACCCCACTCACTATCCATCAAGCTAGAAGCCAACTTTCGGACGATTTCACTTATGCTCGAATGGAGATCACTCTTTCAGGAAACAAATGACATAATGGCACTGACTAGAGCCGTTATGGCGTGACAGGGTTCCACAGTTGACAGCTCGCTGACCGCTAGATCGCAGCCCACTTCGCCGTTCATGTGGAGGAGGGGTGGTGGTGATTGCTTCAAGTCGCTCTGCCACAGGCGCGCGCCAAACGAACGACCCCTTTAATCAGTATGAAAGAGCGCGAAGACCATGAGGCATTTGTTTGATTTGACGAGCAAAGTCGCGTCGAGGGAGCCAATGCGCGAGAAAAGCCTTTGACGAGCATAGAGGGGAAGTTCTTGGGTGAGGCGAGTATGGAGTGGTTGGGTCTGGTGCTAGTGCTGTGTTCTTGATCGTCTCGGACGCGTTCATCGAGAATACTATGGCCATCTTGTGAAAGCGATGCAGCACACCGATTTTTACCACAATGATTCTCTAGATCACGAGCAGGATCAATCCGCTTGTTGGCGATGGAGATGGTTGAGTTCCGTACATGAATGACGTGGCCGTTCAATGCGAGCATCTTGTTTCGCTAGGCGAGAAGCCCTGCACAGCAGATTTGGTTTTCAGAAGATACTGGTCATTACCCACCAAAACTATCAGACGACAAGGGGACTACGGAGGCCAAAAGTCCGGCAGCCAGTTCCGCCTATATCGTTTCTATCAGTGCGTACATCTTGTCTACATTGTTTGAATGGTACAGACTGGGTTCACAGATGGACATATTCCTGCCTGCTGGATTACGCTTCCTTCTTGATAGGCACGAGCCTCTCGAGTGTCTTGAAGCCATCCAGCGCAAATCCCCTCTCGACGTTGACCCTGTACTGCTTGCCGTCCACGTTGATCACCGCGTAGCCCATGTCCGTCCAAGCCGACCTCGTGGCCCGGAAGAAACCAGAGAAGCCACGGCCAATCTTACGGAACGGCATGGTGAAGAGATGCTCCATGTCGTACTTTTTCAAGGCCTTGGCCTTCTCCTCGGCCTCGAGAGCGTTTTGCCGGCTCAGCTCAGGGACCATCTCCTTGGGAAGGGAGAATCTTGTCTTGAGCGAGACTTTGTCGAGGTCCGTGACGATCTTCTTGGGCTTGAGGAAGGGCAGGCTGTTGTTGACGGACACCTCGAGCTTGGGCGTGGAGGCAGTGGTTGCTGGCAGACCCGTGGTGGCGGCGCCGACGGGCGCAGCGCGCACTGTCTGCGTGCTGGTCTGGGGAAGAAGTCGGATCATGGACACTATCCCCCTTGTCTTGAGGATCAGGAAGAAGCCCATGCCCGCAAAGAGGATGTAGGAGATGTTGTACACCCAGTTAATCCATGCCGCGAAACCCTCCAGATGCGGCACCCACCAAGAGGGCCCTGTCAGCGCAGCCCACGCAATCAGGGTGAGGCCCGATGTCCAGCAAGCCGTCCTGAACCAGAAGTGAGACGGTCCCTCGTAGAGGACAGTTGGTTTCGATTTCGCGGCCAGCGTCCGTAGCAGACCATAGCTCGTGGGCGGAGGAGCAGCAGGCTTTGCCGGTTGCGCCTTGGGTATTGACTTGGCTGGCTGCGATTTCGGCGCTTGTGGTGGCACTTTAGCTTTCGAAGCGTATGCTCGTGCTGAAGGCCTTGCTTTCAAGATGTCGCGAAGTAGTATAGATCGTGGGGCGCTAAAGGACTGTGCTGGTCGAAGTAGTGGCTGAAGACCGGGCTGAAAGAGGCCCCGACAAAAGGAAGCCATGGTGATGTCTGCGCTCGCCGCGCGTGTGTATCGCAGAAATTGGTGATTGAAATGTTTAAATAATGATTCAAGTCAGAGAGAGGCAACGATCAGATGTCGTCAGAGCACGGATCAGGGCCCATCAAGAAAATCACCAAGCAGGGAAACGCGCAGCAGATTGCGTGGGTGAACGCGATGGGTGGACATAATTCCTGGGGTCACTTACCCTCACAGTCTGTGGCGGATGCCGTCCTGCTAGAAATAAGTCACCCAATTCCGAGCCAATCCGGCACAGGTCCCGCCAAAAAGTTGGATGGTCCGTGCATCCTCAACAGCTTCATCAATTCCTCCGAAGATCCAAGCTCACTACCATCACCGCCAGCCAACGCCCTGATCCCCGAGCGAGCCACCGCCCATCTTACGACCATCCATCTCCCTTCCCAATTGCGCAGTCGCAAGCGCTCAGGATGGCGTCCCTCGCGGCAGCATGCCGGGCCACTGCCCGTCTCACCTCGTCGTCTCGCGCCGCCGCAACCCGCAGTACGTCCCTCCAAATGGCGCACCAACCCACGTAGACCGCGAACATGACTGATGGCAAGACAGACCTCTCGACGACGACCCGCGCCCTCGCTGCCCACAACTTTACCATGCCTGCCCTCTCGCCCACCATGACGGAAGGCAACATTGCTTCCTGGAACGTGAAGGAGGGCGATACATTCAGCGCAGGCGACGTACTCCTCGAGATTGAGACCGACAAGGCGACCATGGATGTCGAGGCCCAGGACGACGGGATCATGATGAAGATTATGAGCCAGAGCGGAAGCAAGGCCGTGCAAGTGGGCTCGAGGATCGCCGTCGTCGCGGAGAGTGGGGATGACATCTCGAGCCTAGAGATCCCTGCAGACGAGAGCCCCAAGCAGCAGCAATCCTCTTCATCGTCGTCCTCTGCGCCCGAGGAGCAGGAGGTCAAGCGGGACGAGGAGAACCGGGAGCCGCAGAGGGTCGCCAAGGACGGAGAGGCACATGTCGTGCGGTACCCCTTGTTGCCCTCTGTTGGTCATCTCGCCAAGCAAAAGGGCCTTGGAGACGAGGACCTCAGCAAGATCAAGCCTACAGGGCCCGGCGGCCGTCTGCTCAAGGGTGATGTTCTTGCCTACATTGGCAGCATCGGCAGCGAATCTCCCGCTACACAGTCCAGCCGCTTTGACAAGTTGGCCCATCTCGACCTCAGCAACATCAAGGTGGCCGAGAAGAAGGCACCGTCTGCCGCGCCCAAGGAAGACAAGGTTGCGCCGCAAGCGCCCGTCATCGAGAGCCTGGAACTTCGCATTCCCGTCTCGCTGGCCAAGGTTGTTGAGGTGCAGAACAAGATCAACGACACGCTGGGCGTCTTCCTGCCCCTTTCGACCTTTATCAACCGGGTGGCCGACATGGCCAACGACGAGCTGCCTGCTGCCAAGCGCACGCCTACGGCCGATGAGCTATTCGACCAGGTCCTCGGCCTCGACAAGGTCAAGGCCGCCAAGGGTTCGCGCGGTATCTACCTTCCACAGATCTCCGCCATCCCACCTCCCTCCGCCTTCCCACCGGCCGCCGCCCGTCCTGCCAAGAAGGCCGACATTTTTGACGTTTTGTCCTCCAAGGCCACCAAGAGGGCCTCGCCCTCCTCGATAGCCGCAGTCCCTGGAGTCTCCAGCGGCGCGAATGTGTTTAGCCTGGTGGTGCCCAAGACGGAGGAGAAGAGGGCGCAGCTTTTCCTGGAGCGCTGCAAGTTGATCTTGGAGAGCGAGCCCGGGCGGCTCGTGCTATGAGAGCCCCTTGTCTTCGCCATCCCTGTTGTATTACCTTTTAGACTTGAATATATACCTGGAGATGCCAGTGGTGGGAGCTGACCATAATTGAAAGTGGCATTGTGCCGCCTTTTGCTTGTTCATTCACTCATTGATTCATTCCTTTGTGTCTTGCGTTGTTTCATCCAACGAATCCACCGTGGTAGCCATTGCCATGTGCTGCTCCTCCACATGGCATTTGCGGGATGTGTACCGAACTGTCGGCCGGGGCTTCTGTGGCTGGCCGAGAAGCAACAGGATCACCATACGGCATATTCCCTGAGGGGGTACGCCATGCTAAAGCCTACCTGCTGCCCTTGTACGTACCCAAAGCCCGGCGCCATCGCCGTCGCCGGCCCTGCTATTCGTCCAGCTGCTCCGTGCTCCCACCAGTGTTGGCTGCAGTTCTAGATTCCCGTTGGATGGTACTACACGGACATCTGTCGCACCACCACCAGGGCGAGCTCGTATGGCATCGCGGGGCATGTTGACCTCACCAAGGAGATCACCAGCGTAGCCGTCCACTTCACCCTCCATAAAGGCAACATTCTGAAGGATGAAGGTGGCCTGTGGAAGGCGAGCGGCACTCTCCTCCTTTGGCGGGGCAGGCAAGACTTCGTTGCTCATAAGCAGTACCGCCGCACAGAACAGGACGTGCCTACGAAAGATCAGCATGATACGACACAATGGTCCAGGTAACCCACAGAAAGACGTGGTTACGGGGCGCGAGCCTCCCCTGCCTGCGCCCACGCCGCGGAGAGGAGCGCAATCGTCCTGTGACAGGCAGAGAGACAAGACGTGGAAAGCCGTTGCATATGCTCCATGGCAAGTTGGTCGGAAGTGGGGAGATCGGCCTGATGTTGGATCAGGTGTACCAGGTACGGCCGCGATGCCAGCATGACGCCGTAGTCCTCTACCAGATCGAGCCATAATACCGCCATGAAGTCGGGGAGAGAAGCCTGCGCTTGCTGCATGTGCGGAGGGCACTCGGTCTGGCAGAGTCGAATCCATTCTGCGCTGTGTTTTATCGATGGGAGCCGTCCTCGTCTCCGACGCGCATGCTTGGGCTGACCGCTCGGTAGGAGAGAAGTCATGGACTCGCGATTGAATGCTATGCAAGCCTGGCACGGAACGGCTGTTAGTTCAGACAAGCCTCTTAAGAGGCTCAAGGGGGCTGGTGATCCCCGGGGTGGGAGCCTTGGGAGACGTATCTGTCCCCGCCGTGACTCTCCAGCTCGTGTTTTCCAGTGCCGCGGATCTTCTGATACGGCTCATCCCGAGCAGGAATCGGTTGATAGGTCTATAAGGACAGGGATAGACGATGGGCTGCAATTGATGTCGCTCAGGCCAAATGCAAGGGCCCAATACCCTGGATTGCCTCTAGTTCATCATACTCAACGTGCCTCAGTTTCATGTATGTGCCGACCGCGGTAGCCGCATGGGAGTCGAGACTATTGGGAGTATGTGCATTCATCACGCATCTCTACGATTCCGCTTTCAAAGATGCGCTATCATACATGACATGCCGATACAGTCTGGAGTAGTGTCATGGAGGATACGCTGCACTCGTCATGATGGATCCAAATTCAGTTTCGGCGGACTGGAGATATGGGCATTTGTACCGGCTCTCGCTGACCACATCAGACATCAACTTGCCGTGTCGCGTACATGTAGGCTGTATGCATATGATCCTGCCGATAGACTGCATCTCATCACTTCTCGGCGCCTCGCGCATGACTGGCCGCCTGCCACCTGGACCGTTGAAGCCACACGCTACCAAACATCCGGCCCAAACCTCGTCTGACCGTCCATGACCTTCACCTGAATGGCTGTACCCTGCATATCCATGGTCGAGTCCACGACGGTGTTGCCCCACCACTGGGGTGGCTCAATCTCGTGCATCGTGAAGGCAAAGAAGATGAAGAGAGTCGCGAGGGCCAGTCCCAGATCCAGGCCGGAGGACGTGAGGAAATTGAGACGGCTCCACCACGCAAAGTGGCGCTTCTTGATCCAGAACTGGAAGATAAAGCCGACGATGCCCCAGGAGAGGTAGTTGAGGGGCGTGGCGGGCGGGATGGCCCCAGCGCCGCCAAAGATGATGGGGGCCATGGCGTACCGGATGGGGCTCTTGGGCCACCTTTTGATGGCAAAGTAGATGCCGACGGGGACGACGGCACCAATGACGAAGAAGACAAAGAGACCAGAGTAGATGCTGCCTGGGGAGAACATGCGGTCTGGGCCGATGAGGCCCCAGATGACCGAGGCTGCGAAGAAGACGCGCCCGCCGGGGCAGGTGAAGTGGTCCGCCTGGTCGGGCTCGCACACGTTGGGGATGCTCCCGAGGGCGAGGTTGAGGACGAGGATCTGGATGAAGCAGGAAAAGGTGGTCGCCACCACCTGGGCCATGAACATGGTGCGCGGGGGAATCTTCATGTAGTGGCCAAACTTGAGGTCACCGACGAAGCTGAGGGCCTGGGACCTGCGGGATGACCACCGTTAGTCTGGTGACACTGAAGATTAGCGAGCGAGGACAGAAGGCACGCACATGGTGATGTAGCCAAAGGTCTTGAAGATCATGAGCGCCAGGGGCCGGCCTGGCTGGATGTAGCCGTAGATGAACTCGGTCAGTACGTTGAGACCGATGCGGTTGTTGGTGATGGCCTCGATGATGCCAATCGGCAGCGAGAAACCAAAGGAGATGGCGACCGCGAGCAGGAAGGCCCACCAAGTCAGGTTGGTCGGGTAGGCGAGGACGGTCACGAAGCCGAGGAGCAGCATCTATTGGTTCTAGTGTCAGCAGAGAGTTCCCAGCACGAGCCGATGAGACATACCAGCCCAAACAAGGACATGTACCACCACGTAGGGGCCTCCTTGTACTTTTGCATGAGCTTCATGTGGATGTCTGGCGATTCCGTGGTGCTGTTGCGGTACTGCTTCCAGATCTGCTTGCGGTTGTGCAGATATGTGTATACGATCAAGGATGAAATGGCCGCAAACGAGAGACCGTACGACATGGCAAACGTAGTGCTGATGAACAAGGGTGAATAGTTCTTGTACGCCGCCTCGTCGAGCGTAAAGTCGGCAGTCAAGATGCGGGAAGTGTCGTACCGGTTGCCCATGTTGTCATACGTGTTGGAGTCGCTCATGGGGAGAAAGTTCCCATACCAAGCCCCGTTGAAATGCAGCACGGCCGAACCGAAGCAGAAGAAGACGATGACGCCGACCAGGGTGTTGGCGATGGCATGCCAGGGCGGGATGAGCGGTGACCCGACGTAGCCTGCAATCTGCGTCCAGTCAAAAGTGATGGGCAGCAGGGACAGGCCCGTCTGGCCGCCAAAGAGCTGGTTGACGACGGCATTCTGCGGCGCCAGCCAAGTGGCAAAGGCAAAGACGCTGAGGAACTGCGCCAGGAAACCGGGAATAAAGTAGTAGAAGAAGGCAGCCACCGTGACGAGGCCAAACCAGCGATAGCGCGGCATGGAGCCGCCGAGCACCGTTGGGTCCGGTGTGTCGTTTGTCTCGTGCATTGCGTTGAGGAGTGTGACGGAGACGAGGTTGCCCGGCCAGATCATGGACGCTGGGTAGACGAGGAAGCGGCGCATCATGCCAGCGATCCCGTAGCCCAGGGATTGCGTCGAGATGGTGAGGAGTAGCTGGAACAGCATCCCAAAGTCCTGCTTGTAGAAGACGAGCTGCGCGAGGATGATGTCTGTGGCGTAGGCGACAGAGAAGGACACGCCGGCCATAACCACGACGATGGAGTGCTCCTTGATGTTGAACGGCCCCGGGTTGAGGGGGATGGGTTTCCCGCGGAAGTAAAAGGTCTTTTCGGGCATGAACCTGTGCCAGCCATGGCCCATGGGCCACGAGATGATCTGGGCAATCAGGGGCCCGACAGAGATGGAGGGCTGGCGCAGTGAGAAGAGCGTGTTCATGGACGCACCCAGCACAACGAGCATGAGTCCAATGGTCCAGGCCCGCAAGGTGTTGCAGGGCAGATCCTCGTCGTAGTTGCGCACAGCCGCCCTGACCTCTGGATACGGCGAGTCCTCAGCCTCGTGCGCTTTACCATCCGCGTCTTCGCCGCCAGCGACAAATGCCTCCTCGGCATGGGAGCGCCTGCGCTCGCGAGGATCGTCAGGTAGGTTTGGATCAAGGAGCAGCTCGTCTTCCGAGCCCTCGTCCTCGTCGTTGCGCAGGCCCGTGTCCGCGTACGGATTGCTGGCGTCGCCGCTGGGGCGCTCGCGGTCTTCTGACGCTGAGGTGCGTGCAGTAGGGTACTCGCCCAGCTCAAGCGCGCTGGTGTGGCCATCTCGTGAGCCTCCCATCCGACTCGAGCTCATTGCAGCAACCTCCTGGCGCCTCAATTGGCGCTACGGTGGTTTGGCTGCAGCTTTATTATGGCGACCGAGGTGAGGATGGCCAAGGCAGGGAGACGAGAGTTCGTTCCAGGCTCGATTGATTGGATTATGGTGCAAGCACTAGGTGCAGACAGACACAGCAGGACTGTACAGGATCGTATACTCAGCCGTGTGGTCGACAGCATGCGAGGCGCGTGTCCTGTCCTTTTGAGGCCCTATAGAGAAGCGGAAGCAACCACGCTCGGACCTCCAACTCTCAGAACCCGGTCATTGCCGTGGATGGAACAGAAGCAGGAAGATCAGCAAGTGGTGCAACGCGTCGCTCAAAAGATCGTACAAGTGTGTGAAGGATCCGAGTGGCTCGAAGGTGACAAGCTTGTCTTGAGCTGGCTGGGGTCCAGAGCCGAGCTGGGACACGCTGGATCCGGCGCACTGTGTGCACTGTACAAATACCCAGAAGAAGGAGCGCATCACAGTGCGCATTAGCCATTCGATTTCGACCCAGATCTCATGAATGCTTTTCTCATTCTCACTAGACACACAGACATCACACCCCAGTCTCCCACAAGACTTCGCAACCAGCACACGGACAGGCAGAGGAGACAGACCGCACAGGCAGGCCATGATATAATGCGCCGAGTCGTCGTGACTGGCCTAGGTGCCATCACCCCCTTGGGCACCAACATTGCCCGTACCTGGACGCGCCTCCTCGCCGGCGACTCTGGCCTGACTAGCGTCCTCGAGCGCTTCCCCTCGGATCCGCGATGGCGAGAGCTCACAAGTACTGTCGCGGGCCTCGTGCCCGAGGGCAAGGATGGGTGGGTCGCGGACGACTGGTTGGACAAGATTGAGCAGAGGCGCATGTCAAGGTTCACGCAGTATGCCCTGGCGGCGGGCGAGATGGCACTGAAGGATGCCAAGCTGGAGGGCATGAGCAGCGAGACAAAAGAAGAGACGGGGGTCTGTCTGGGTAGTGGCATTGGGAACCTGGATGAGATGTACGAGACCAGTCTTGCTCATCAATCGGGAGTGCGTGAGAACTTGCCATCATTGCGCAAGTCCCCTTGGCTAACCCGACGAACAGGGCTACAAGAAAGTCTCACCACTCTTCGTCCCCAAGATCCTGATCAACATGGCTGCTGGGCACATTGCCATCAAGTACGGTCTCCACGGCCCCAATCACGCAGCCACCACGGCCTGCACGACAGGTGCTCATTCCATCGGCGACGCAGCGCGCTTCATCGCCTTGGGCGACGCCTCCGTCATGGTCGCCGGCGGATCAGAGTCGTGCATCCACCCACTTACCTTTGCTGGCTTTGGCCGGGCACGATCGCTCTCGACGGCATACAACAATGACCCGTCCGGGAGCTGCCGCCCGTTCGACAAGGGACGAAACGGCTTCGTCGTGTCCGAGGGCGCGGCCGTCTGTGTCCTCGAGGAGCTGGAGCACGCCCGGGCCCGCGGCGCGAGGATCTACGCCGAGGTCAGGGGCTATGGCTGCAGCGGCGACGCGTACCACATGACCGCGCCGCGCGAGGACGGCCACGGGGCCTTTCTGGCCATGAAGAGGGCGCTGCGCAACGCGGGGATCCGACCGGCCGAGGTGGGTTACATCAACGCGCACGGCACAGGGACGCAGGTGGGGGACGTGGCCGAGGCCATGGCCATTCGACGCCTCATGCTGGGCGAGGATGGCGTGCGGAGGGAGTCGGACGTGACGGTCAGCAGCACCAAGGGTGCCCTGGGCCACTTGCTCGGCGCTGCTGGCGCCATCGAGGCCATGTTTGCCATACTTGCTCTCCACGAGGGAGTGGTGCCAGCGACAGCCAACCTAGAGCAGCCGGATGTCGGAGTCGCCTTCAACTTTGTGCCCAAGGCTGCGCAGTACAAGAAGATGGACGTGGCCGTGTCCAACAGCTTTGGGTTTGGGGGTACCAACAGCTCGCTGGTGTTCTCCAGGCTGATCTGAGACTGGAGGTGTTTGGTGTGTAGTGGCGTGTACACAACTGTAGTATCATTGTACTTTTTGTATCATATACCCCCCAGATATCACAGGCAGCGGATTAGTTCCCCCAAGTTGTTCAGACTCAGGAGTCACTTCTCGACACAAGCAGCCCAATGGCTTAGGGTAAGCATTTTGTCAAGGCTCAAAGGTACGTACCGCAAGGTGCATCAGTTCCTGCCCTGTGATTGGCCAGTGAGCTTCATAGGGTCAGTCCCTTCGCGCGTCCTGCGATGGAATTTCTCTGCACGACCGACTGACTCCGAGTCCAAGTCGATGCTGTCATGCACTCCCGTCTCACCCATTGATTCCCTCACTCACTCGACCAGCACGATAATGACGTGAGCGACAATCACAGCGCCAATCCGATCCACTCTCGACGCTCCGACATAGGCAATTATCGTGCACATAGATTCGTTCGGCCTCCCACGCTTTCACCATGGCTTGCCAGAACTGCCAGAGCCAGGCGCGGTTGCTCGTCCGCGCTGCCACCCGCGCTGGACCAAGTGCTCCCTCCTCGAAACGATACCTGACGACAGCGGCTTCCAAGGCGACGATCTCCCCCTCCTCTTCCTCCTCCTCCTCTTCTCCCTCTTCTACGGCGCCTGCAAATGCCAGGCTCTTCTCGACATCCCACCGCAAAGCCCTCTTTGGCGGCATGGCGTCGCCGTACTTTGTCGTCGGCGCAACGGAGCGCCTGTACAAGTTCTGCGGCCCCGTGGCAGACTACCACATCAACCAGAAGCTACGAGACCAGGACGAGGTGCCAAAGCTCGAGGACGGCGAGGAAGTGGGAGAGTCTCTCAACCCAGGCAACCCGTGGCACACATGTACGTTCCACCTGCTCTCTTGAGCAGGAGCTCCCTTTCGGGGGCCAAGGCAAAGAGAGAGAGAGAGAGAGAGAGAGAGATGTTAACCATCCGACCACAGTGTTCAACATGCCGCCGACATTCAGCACCTGGTCCCACGTCACGATGCTCCACCTGTACCTCCTCAACGCGCGCATCCGGTGCTTCGACCGCGACGCCTTTGCCAACTGGCGCCAGCAGCTCATCGACCACTTCTCCTTTGAGGCCGAGAAGAAGATGCACGTCGAGCACAACATCACCTCGAGCGCCCTGCGCCAGCGCTACCTCAAGGACATGTTCACCCAGTGGCGCGGCATCATGGTCGCCTACGACGAGGGCGTGGTCAAGGGGGACGCCATCCTGGCCGCCGCCGTGTGGCGGAACCTGTTCAAGGGCGCCGCGGACGCCGACCCCCGCGCGCTCGCGGCCATTGTCGGCTGGATGCGCGCCTGCATGAAGAGCCTCGAGGGTGTCAGCGACGAGGCCTTTGCCACGCGCGCCGGCGAGGTCCTCGCCCTGCCTGTCGAGAGCTTTTGGCAGGGCATCGAGAAGGCTAGCAAGGCCCAGGCCAGCGCGGCCACGGCCAAGCCGGCGGTGGGGAGCACGACGGCGGGACCTGTCAAGGAGCGGATCGTGGCGGAACCGATCGTTGGCAAGGGGCAATGAGTGATGTGTCTGCGCCATCTGTGCGCAGAGAGGGGCAATGAAATCCCTTGTATATATACATATACTATGCATGTTGTATCATTATCATCGTGGCTTCTTTATAGACATGGGTACGTTGGATATATGGACCGTACCGTTCCAAGACGTGTGTTTATCTACTCGTCTCGCTCCCACATCTCAAAGTGGTACTTGGTATCATTTTCCACCTGCCCATCCTCCTCGATATCCTCTCCCGTCCATGCCCTCACGTCGTCTCTGCTCCTCTTGGTCCACCCCGCGCTCTGCGTGCCCTCGAGCTTGATGGGGAAGAACGTGTCGCACTCAAAGTCCCTCTCGATCCTTGTGAGCAGCACGCGCGTCGCCTTCTGCGCCGCCATGTCGTAGATCTGGGCGCCGCCAATGACAAACACCCTGGCAATGCCATGCTCGCGCGCATACGCCAGCGCCTGGTCCAAGGTCGACACCCTGACGGGCTGTGTGGCGGGGGCGTCACTTGGGGGCTGCGCGGGCGCCGACCTCGTGATGACAATGTTGAGCCGATCCTTGAGGGGCCGAAACTGGGGCGGAATGGAGTCCCAGGTCTTGCGGCCCATGATGACGGCATTGGGCGGCGACCCTGATGATGCCTGCCGGCGTGTGAGTGTCTGGATTTCATATCAAACGGACGGGTGAATGACGAACGAGGGTGCGCGTGGTGACGCGTCGAAAGTAGGCCATCTCCTTGCGCAGGCCGGTCCAGGGCATCGTGCCGTGCAGGCCAATGCCCATTCGACGCGTCGCAGCGACGATGAGCGTGATTTCGAGGGGCGCCATGGTGTGTGGTTGAGGATGGGTTGACAGCTTGGGAGAAGATGAGACGTTTGGCACACTTCAATTCAGGTTGGAGCTCAGGTGGAGCGAGCGCTTTGAGGGGGGTGTCTCCTAGTCTAGGGCGGCAAATGCTGTGTACCATATCTATGGTGGTCTACATGACAAAGAGACAGATCGCATTCAATGCGCATTCTTGTAAATGAGCAATCCAATTTGTTCCACCATGTCAGCTGTTCCAACAGCCTCCTCGCTGTGGCTTGAGGGTTCAAGCGCAAGCAATAACTACCTGCCTGACCTTACAACTTGGACGGTGGCAGCAGAGCCACGTCCTGGTGCGGCACACCCAGAAATTCATAGACATGGTTGAACCTGTACAAGTCAGCCTTGCATTTCTTCGATAGTACCCTCGACGTACCGGTCGCTGCCAAAGAAGGGCTGGCTCTTCCCACTGTCGTTGGTGACCCATAGCCATGGGGCCCCAAATGCACCGAGCTCAACCGCCTTTTGCGTCGTGTTCTTGAGCCTCTCCTTCATCTCCTCTCGGCCCTTCATGATCCTCTCCACATCGTCCTGCGTGAAGACCCTGTTCCCTTGCTCCCCACCATCGGTGACCTCGCGCAGCACCTGGGCTAGGTTCTCGTCAATGGTGAGGTTGACGTGCGGCGGTGTCCAGAACTTCGCCATCAGAGTGGCCGTGGTCGCGACGAGGATCTCGTGAGAGTAGTGCTGCTTAACAAAGTGCAGCGCTCTCTGGGTTGAGACCGTCAGCGCCCTCTTCACAAAGTCCTCGGGCGTCTTGAGGTTCGTCAGCCCGACACGCTCTGCGGCGCGACGGGAGTCAATGGCTAGGTATTTCCCCTTGGCTGGGACGACCCATGGCGGCTTGTTGCCTTTGGACGGTCAGAATGTTCGGGCTGGTCAATGTATATGATAGGCACATACCGGAGAGGTTGTTGATGGCCGCGATCAAAACAGGGTGAAACCTACACATCCAATGTCAGCCTCGTGGCCTACCCAAGGCAGAGGTGGATACCCACTCGACGGTAACGCCATGGCTCTGGAGGGTCTCCAGATTCTGTCTCAGCTCATGGAAAGCAACATAACTGAAGAACGACGCTGCTCAACTGTTAGCGGAGTTCGCCAGGCTACAATGGGGGAGACGACGCCGTACCAACGTCGACGTAGGCATCAATTCGTCCACCCATCTTGACAAATCAGATAGCAGTCTTTCAATTGGAAAGATGATAATAAAGCTTCGACTGTTCTCGCGTCATTCAAACACACAGGATTGCGATTGATGCTTGACGAGAGAGATGGAATCCGGGGAAGCGAGCACGAAGCTGGGGAATGATGCCCACAGACATGACATGCCGAGGTACGACCCACTCCACTTGGACAACTCCGTCCGAGTCTGTCTTATACAAGACGCACCTTGGCTTCAACGTTTGCTTCATGCTGATTTGAAGTCATTCATTCATGGTATTTCCATTTTGCTCTCTGTAGCATAATCTGGTCATTGCAGTTCGAAGCAAAACAAACATTACAATGGCCATGTCCACAAAACCTGTGGCGATCGTCGTCGGCGCTTCCAGAGGATTGGGTCGCCAGATCGCCCTTTCACTCGCAAGCAACAACTACGCAGGTCAAGACCCTTGATCAATGAGACATATCCCCCTGTAAAAGATTCCTTGTCTCTCACACACACACAGTCGTCGTCGCTGCAAAGACAACCAGCGCTCCTGGGACGACCACGGAGACCCCGGACCCAAACTCGCCAGCCTCGACGATCACGACCGTGACCAACGAGATTAGAAAGGCAGGCGGAGACGCCACAGCCATCCAGGTGGACGTCCGCTTCGAAGAGAGCATCAAGTCGTTGATCTCGCAGACCATATCCGTCAGCAGTATCCCCTCCCTCACGATGAAACACGCGCTGAACACATCCCAAAGACCCATGGCCGCCTCGACGTGCTCGTCTACAACTCGGGCGCCATCCACTGGGCCCCCGTCAAGAACACCCCGCTCGCCAAGTTCAAGCTCATGCAGAGCATCAACCCCACGGGCCTCTTCACCACCGTCCACTTTGCCCTGCCGCACCTGCTGGCCTCGCCCACCGCGCGGCAGGCCAGGATCGTCGTCATCAGCCCGCCCATCTACTCCCGCTTCTTCCGCGGCAAGACCCCCTACGCCATGGGCAAGGTCGGCATGTCCGTCCTGACCAAGGGTCTGGCCATGGATATCCAGAGAGACGACGCCATGCGCGGACGCATCAGCATCACGAGCCTGTGGCCCGCCGTCGCCATTGAGAGCGCCGCCACCCAGCAGTTCACAAAGGTGAACCCGGAGGAGCGCAACGACCTGAGGAAGGCGGCCATCTTTGGCGATGCCGTCCTGGCCATCTTAAAGGCCGACGGCGACAAGGTCAACGGGGAGCTGCTGCTCGACGAGGACTTTCTCCGGGAGCAGGGCGTCACCGACTTTGACCAGTACAACCTGGTCCCCGGCACGGCACCGAGGCGCATCATGCCACAGCAGCTTCCCGATCTCACAGTGGCAGAGCAGGATGACCAAGGGAAGAGGTACGATAGTTCCGCTAAGAGTAAGCTGTGATTGCAATGTCTGAGAGCAGCCAGAGTTGTCCAACGAGTCACTCATCGCCTCCATGGCGTTGACAAGGTACTCGATACTTTCCCCCCAAGAAGTCTGCAAGTGTACTTGTATGTATGCCGTGTGCATGCCCGCATGCGCCGCTGTCAAGACCCAAACGCCAAAAAAATGATACCCGATTATTAAAATCTTTCCACAAGCCCCGTGTCGTACAGACCATTCATACCAACCAACGCCTACACATCCGCATTTTGCCGTTGGCTCAGGTCCGGCATACCTCCCGCCTCTTCAATGTCCCCAATCGTAGAGTTGAACACAGACGTCGCGCCGTTGAGGGCCTTGTTCCTGTTCCACTCGTTGCGGCTGCGCCAGATCTCATCCATGAGATCGCGGTTGATCTGCTCGAGCTGCTCAATGGTGAAGCCCGACGTCTTGTTGGTCAGCTCCATGAGGAACTCATCCACAGAGTGCCCAATGTCCAGCGGCTGCGACGCCGACGACCCAGAGTTGCGGCTCAGATGCTGTTCCTCCGTGTGGTTGTCGTTGAGCAGCGCCCCTATGCTGCCCTTGGCAGGCGTGCGAGGGTATGCATTCGACGACGAGGGACTACCCCCGGGCATCGAATCCATGCCCGTGTTGTCGCCCCGCAGAGCTTGCGCTTGCGAGTGCGGCCATTGCTCTCCACTAGAAGTCGCCTGGCTCATGGGCGGCGCTGTGTCGGGGATATCCTCTTCGTCATCGTCTATTCGACTCGGCTGCTGCCCACTGTGGTTGCCGTTCGTGAGTTGGGTACTCCAATTCGAGTCTCGATGTGTCGACGGATCGGACGTCTTGGTCGTCGAGGCCTCATTGATGACGGCGGACGGCGAGACACCCGGGGGGAGAGATGTGACGGCGGACCGTTGCGAGATTTGGGTCATGGCCGTCTGCGATTTGGGCGGCGGCCCCATCTCAGACCCGGCTTGCGTGTCGTCGTGGGCACCGCTCATCTCTACATCGCCCTCCACACGCGTCACAGTGGCATTGCTCGTAGACTGTTGCTCCGCATTGGCCTGGGAGCTACCGCGGGGCGGACTCCTGACCTGGAACCTCGCCATTGTGCGTTCGCCGGGCACAACATCGCTCTGAATGGGCACATCTTGCGAGTCGCTGTCGTTGCTCAACCCGGTGCCCAGGTCCGACTGCACCTTATCCACAATGGACTGCATCGCCTTCCTCTTCCGGTCCTTCTCAGCCTGCTGCCTGGCTCTCTGGACCTGGCGGCGATACAGGGCGTCCCAATCGACGTGCGGATTGTTGGTCTCAATGGTGGCAATGTCGACCTCCACATTCGTCAAGAGCTCGTTGGTTCGGAGAGTGCGCTCCTTGTCCCCAATGGCTTTGGCGTCCTTGGCCAGCGCTCGGATATCGAACAAGAAGTCTTGCGGCCGGGCATAGAACCCATTCGAGAGACGCTCCTCAATTGTAGTCGTCTCTAGATTGTAGAAACACTTGCCGGTCGCAGTATCCCTCAAGACGTCATTGTCATACTTGTCTTTGACAATCTCGTATGGTCGGCTTTCGCGCTCTGTGATATCGGCGCGGACATAGTGTGGGTCGGCCTCGGCGAAAAGATACTCAATCGATGCCTGGGGGATGACAGGTTGCCTGAGCTTTTTATATCGACGGTTGATCTGATCCATAATGGGCTGCAGCTGGATCTTGAGGGAGTTGAGGAGTTGATGGTCCTTCTTCTGCAGCGCCTTGGTCTCAGCCTTGGTTGGCGGCTTTGGCTCTTCTCGTGGAGCGACAGGGAGTTCCTCCAACACACGCTTCTTGCGGTTCTCCGGGTCGGGGAACTCAGCAGGTTTCTTCTTGATGTACTCGAGCGTTCGGCTAAAGTACCTCCGGCGACTCAACGGCGGCGGCGGCGCAATCTCCATGTGGTTTTTGCGAGAGAAGCCGAAAAAGTCACGAATCATCTCTCTCGGCTCTTCCACCTCGGCTGTGGCCAGAACAAGAACCGGGTCCGTGGGCGGAATAGACCGAAGCATTGTCTGGAAGGTGATGAATGCAAGTGAGTCCCTCAGAGTCGCGTACCAGGCATCGTAATTGGGAATGTAGATGACACTCGGCTTGTGGCGTCGAACCTCAGTGAACAAGCCGACAATAACCTGCTCCATGGGCTGGGACCCAGTTAGCTCGAGTAATTTCTACCTCGCAGAAAAGCACTTACCCTGCCATCCCCGAGGAGTGTGGGCAAATCAAAGTTTTGAATATGGACGCCCTCCAGATAATGAAGAATAGCCGATGCTAGATATCCATGGCCCATACCATGCTTTCCTGTGATGATGAAGCGGGGACGGAACACCCTCGACCGCTCAAACTCCTGGTGGAGTGCTTCTCTTCCGAAGCCATGATCGTCGTCGTTATGCTGCTCATACATGGCTTCTTGGAGAGCTGTGAGCTTCTTCTTCCGAGGAAGCAGTTCATCGAGCGCTGCCTTGGCCTTGTCGAGCTGGTTCGCGAGCAAGGGTGCAATGCTGTCGGGCAGCGCCTGAGCGCCCGAGGTCGCTGAGCGCTCAGATGAGGGTATCAACTTCTTGACGGCCATCATGAAGTCAGACGCATGAACCGATATATTCTCCGGCCTCACCACCAATTTCTCTTGGGTTGAGTAGATCTGTGGGTATGTGCGTTGAATGGCGTTGAGTGCAGCTTCCGTGGACAGAGCACGCAGGTCGGCACCGCCGTAGCCCTTGGTCTGTACTGCCAGTGACCTCTTGAACTGGTCAGACAAGCCCCAGTCCTTGGTGTGGATGTCGATGATGGCCCGGCGACCATCCATGTCCGGCAGGGGGAAGTAGAACTCCCTGTCAAAGCGACCTGGGCGACGCAGTGCAGGATCGATGTTGTCCGGACGGTTGGTCGCGCCAATGACAATGACTTGACCACGCCCATCCATACCATCCATCAGAGCCAACAATGTCGACACGATGGACGCGTGGATCTGCTCCTGCTTGCTCGAGCGCACGGGAGCCAGTCCATCAATCTCGTCAAAGAAGATGATGCTCGGCTGCGTCTTCCTGGCCTCTTCAAAGAGAAGCCGCAGCTGCTTCTCGGCCTCGCCAACCCATTTGCTGAGAGCATCAGCGCCCTTTCGCATGTAGAATGAGATTTTTTTGCCGCCAGAGCCAACCGAGTTGGCCAGCGCACGTGCAAGCAGCGTTTTGCCAGTGCCAGGTGGTCCGTGGAAGAGCACACCGCGCGGCGGAGTCACGTGGAATCGAGTGAACAGCTCGGGGTACAAGAGAGGAAGCTGCACCATCTCTTTCAACTGGTCAATGTGACCCTGGAGGCCGCCGACTTGGTTGAAATCGACATTCATGTCAACGCCCAACGGATCGGCGTCAGCAAGAGCCTTGCGGTCCTTGATCTTCCCGACATTCGGGGTGGCGTCAGTCAATCCTTGACCACCGGGGACCAAGCCCCCAGGGGCAGCGGAAGCGGGCGTCATGCCAACATTACCATCAGCGTTGAAACGGTGCATCATCTCATCATCGCTGCTGTCCGAGTCGACGCCACCGGCTGCACCAGTGCCCCATGGTCCGGTGAGGAGCGAGCCGGCACCACCACCGCCACCAAAAGGACCGTATGTGGTGTTGAGGTTGCGCTCCCATATGGCAGAGGCTGCTCCGCGCGCGCGACGCGAGCGTGAAGGCGTCGGCGCAGGATCCATCTCGTCCTCCTCGACAATAGCGGGCGGGACGGGGGGCATAAAGTAGTTGACAGCCTCTCTTTTGCGGCGAGGTTTTTCACCGTAGACGATGCCTGGTGACTCTTGTCGTGCACGTCGTCTACGACCCTTTGACGATTGACGCAGCTCGCGAGCCTCTTCCTCGAGCTCATCCTCATCGAGCTCGATATCGTCATTTCCAGACCCGTCGTCGGCGTGTTGGGAGGAGCGCCCAGACCTGCGACCTCTTTGGCTACCCTTGCCTCTGGGGTTGGGGCTAGCCAGCTCATCGTCGTCTTCAACAGCAGACATGGGCGCATCGTCTGAATCTTCGCCTGGCTCAAAGTCACTACTAGGCTCTGCAGCCGACTTCTTCGTCGCGCCTCTACCCCTCGTCAGACGACGAGCTCGCCCGGTCGGCGCGGCATCCGATTCACCTGCCTCCGGCGCCGCTGCACCGCGGGCTGCCCGCGTTCTTCTAGTGACGGGCACGTCATCGTCATCCTCGTCATCCTCAGGTACAGGTTGTGGGGTGACTTCCTCCTTATATGCATCTACATCGCCCACCTCCGCAACAGGATCGTTTGCCTCCGCCATGTCTTCATCAACTTCTTCCTTTGACTCAATGGCGATTTGGTCTTGCGATAACTCGTCGGGCTCGTCCGCATCATCCACCTCTCTAAGGCTACTTTCTTGCGTGGCCTCCTCGATTGGTTCTGGAGCCTTCTTGACGCTCTTGGCGGCACGTGAGGCGCGTGAAGTGCGCGCAGCAGTCTCGGGACTCTTGCTTTTGGACGATCGCGCGTGCCTCCCAGAGTTTGTAAGCTCCAGAAACTCATCGGCGTCTTCGGTCGTAGCGCGAGTGCGTCGTGTGGATACACGTTGGGGTACTCGCAAGTGCACCATTCGCCTCTTTGTGGGTTTGGCTTCCACTTCTTCAGAGGCCTCGTCCTCTTGCTTCAGCTCGTCATCACTCTCGTCGTCGCTTTCGGCGTAATTTGTCCGTTGTGTCGCCGCTTTGCGAGCTCGACGACCAGCTGCGTTCTTGGGGGCATCCTCGTCTTCTTCGTCATCTTCGTCTAGTGATACGTCCTCTTCGCTGTCGGAGAGCACGTCCTCGTCCTCGTCAATGTCGGAGCCGCCATATCCGCGACGTCTTCTTGGTTTTGTCCCGCTTCTCTTGGACCCTGTTCGAGCCCTCCGTGAAGTCTTGCGCGGCCGGGCCTCCGTCGGGTCAAAGTTTTCATCGTCAGAATCAGATTTGTTTGGGTCGAAGATTTCGAGATCCCTCTTTCGTTTGCTCGACATGGTGGCGGAATGTGCAGAGGTCCAAGGGTGTCTGAGGCAGGATAGTCGCAATCAGTTGCGCCCGTCCGCACACAGAGCAAAGATGACTGGCTAAAAAACGAGTCAGCACGAGGCTCTGGACCATCAAACTCGACCTATGATCATACCCAGTCGCTCAATTTGCACTCACTTACAGTGGTGGAAGGTAAGTGGCCTGTCCAGACCTGGCCGCAGCGTGTCTCAGCAAGGAGCGCGAATCTGCTGAGCAATGCGCGACAAGGGCACCTTGGTATAGGCGCTCTGTCAAGATCGCAACAGCCTGAGCCACCGCTGCAACAAACCGAGTCGAGTCGAGTGGCCGCGCAGCTCTTGGATGTGCTGCTTGTAACAATGGATGGACGGACAATGAGGGAAGCGTCGACTGATTTCGCGTGTCGAGGTCGCGGTTGGGTCCAAATCCGCTTCTCGAGCTCTTAGTGGTCGAGAAGGCCTCACGGCCTCACGTGCAGGCAACCACCAACGGGCGACCTGATGGTCCGCGCTTTTTTCCGTCCGATTCGACCCACTTTACCACGATCAAGCGCTGCACACACAAACACAATTGCCAGGGGGCGCGCAACTGCATCTGCGCTTGTCTGGCATTCAAACGCAATTCGACATTTCTAGTCGAAAAGTTTGTCCATCCCAGAACGCAACAAACTCAGCATCGTTTGCTCGCAAAGTCGTATCAATTTCCCTAGAGACCGTCTCAAATCGCTACATGTTGCGTTCTTGGTATTCAAGACCTCTTTGTCGTCGCTTACTACAACACAATAGCATCAGCCATGAGTTCAAGATCTTGAAGGCTTCCCCAGATCTTCATCCCAGTGACGCCATGGCACGCGCCATTGATGCGGCTGTCGTCTAGAGCTCGTAGGGCTGATTACGACCGGAGCCGACGATTGAGGAGCGGCTCCGAACGTTGGTGCCTGAAATATGAGGCCACAAGTGGAGCTCACCCTGGTTCTTCATCTCTCCAGATCGCTTCTCGCTTGTTCGAGGCAACTCAACTCAGTTGATGGCTCGGGTCACAAAACTTCATGTTTTCTCCATTCTCATACCCCAGGCCTCAAGTCTGGTACAGGAATGCCACAATGACTTGGCGGTAGGATGCCAGGCACTCACGACATGAAAGTTCGTGGAAGTCTATCCCTCTTCATCAACACGCATTCCTTGAATGAGAAATTCATCGTTGAAGGTCGCTAAACGTCGAATGTGTCAGATCTTTGAGCTCTGATATTTTATTCCTGTGACAAACACATGAGGTCAGGCCTTCGAGAACCCCAATCTCATGGCAGACTGACCCTTTCTGGGGTCGGTGGTTGATGTTTTGCACGTCCTCCAGCAACGAGATGCCTCAAAATTGTGAAGGAGACCATAGGGTCGAGACAAGGCGAACGTTTGATCGCTACATGTCCAGGGCCCCAACGACTGGGCGGAGTGACTGCTGCAGGAAAACAACTGACAGTCGAAGCGTAGATGAAAAACTTTTCAACGATTTCTCTATACCCGGTACGTATCTGTGCCCGGAACAACGCTCAACCAGCCACAACGCCATATCATCATCCGAAAAAGAAAAGAAAGAAAATATCCGACCTTACAATTTGTCGAGGACGATGCGAGCGTGGTCCAGGAGGTTGACCTCTCCAGGGGCATTCTGTGTATATCGGCTGTTGAACTTGATCACCTTCTTGGTGTTGCGGAAGGTTTTGACGTCAATATAGATGGGGTTGGCAACAACGTTGAACTTGACGCCCTCGTCGCACGGAGGGGTGGTTAAGGAGCCGGAGTAGCGGTAGACATCCGACTTGCGAATGTGGTGCTCAAGAGCACCGAAGTGGAGGGCGGCGGTGGTGACCTTGTTGCCGCCGCTGGGGATCTGCAACACCTTGGCGAGCGACTTGGAGATGGGCCAGTTGATGCGGTCGCCCCAGCCGGCGAGCTCGATCATGAAACCAATAACAGCAAGGTCGTCTGGGAAGATGTCAATGTCTCTGTGTCGGTCAAAGCTCAGGGGAGGGGACCGTACTGCCATTCTGAAAGACAAAGTGAACCTCGGACGGGTAGTACTCGTCGCCAATGCGGTGCTCAGAGGGCGTGTGGAAGTGGTACTGGGCAAGGCTATACTTTGTACCATCGAATTCGGCGGAACCGTTGGCAAAGACTTGAACGTTGTGGCCAGTGTTGAGGAACTCGGCGCCGTGGGGGTAGTTGACAATGTCGAACTTGTATGAAGCGCCATCGACAACTTCATACTCGTCGGTCTTGATGTTCACAGGGGATTGGTTCTTGCCCACGGCGCAGATCGTGTTGTTTGGGCTCAAGCCATGCCACCCAAGCGCGGAATGAAGCTCATCGTAGCCAAAATCACCATCAGCACGACGCTCAAGGCCGACATCACGGGGCATCAAATTTGTGCCATAGTGGCACATGGCAGACGCCAAGGAAACCGAGACGGCAAAGATAGCCAAGCTCTTCATCGTGGAAGTGTGACAAGGGACCGGAGTCAGTCAAGTACTGTATGTGGTTCAAAGCAAGTCTCTGGCGCAAAGAAGCCCCAGACGTCCGAAAGCAGAGGCTCATTGATGAGCATGGACAATCGCCGAAAGAGAGCAGGGACGGCCACCAGTATTTAAGATTATCTTGAGTTTCGACAAGATCCAGCCAGATGTGCCGGGGTATCAGCAGTGCTCCATGCAGCTGTTCTCTTGGGCTTCTCGGGATTGTCCAAGCGCCGGGTCGAGCTCACACCAATTGCGCAACTGAGCAGAGCGCCAAGATGACATGCGTATGCTACCTTACACAAAGTTCTTGTAGCAAAAGAACTCCGCAGCCGAACGCCGAATACCGGTACGGCTGCGTGTCAGACCAGAAGCCAGCGCCGCCGTCCCTGTGTGACGTGTCCCAAGATGAGGAGACACCAAAAAGATCATTATAGCAGAGATCCCGCATCCGAGCAGCCTATAAATACGCTACATGCCAAGCTAAAGAGGGGAAAGAAGGTCCAGAAGCCGTTGTCAATGCAGCAATGGCAGCTGACGGGATGGAGCTCAACGCGAGTTAGCTGACAGACATTAGACCCTTGACCCTGGTCGTCGGCAAGTCTCTCAGTCTCTCAGTGCAGACTGGCCAGCGTCTAGTCATACAATGCAGAATCACAGATACCTTCCCGGACCGATGCGTATCTGAGCCGAACCTCAACAAGTCGGGTTCCCGGTGAGTCCCGACCGTTGTTCATGTTCATCCCATCGTACACACGTGCTTCATGCTGAGGTACCTCTTTGGGTCCGCTGAAAGTTCGGTACATACGAGCGCTCACTGCTACCTGGTCTAGATGTCTTTAAAGATCTGACAGGCTCAAGTAATAAGCCGCTTCGCTCGGAGGTGTATGGTTTTCAGTTTATGATTGTGGTCAGGCTTCGTGCAGTGGTTCCACCACCCACATGTCGGCGGGTCCAGGGATCTACCTCGTTGTGCTTCAAAATCAGAAACACGTTGCACGGGTGTGAGCATCCGTAATTCGCATTTTGCTACGTACTCGGTTAGCTCAATGCGAGCCTAATCAAGCAAGCCACCCGCCTGGAGCTGGATCACTGATGCCGGGAAGCGCTCGTAATACACGGCCTCGGAGAATTCAACGTTCTCGTCAAGAACAGCCGACCTACAAAGGAACAAGAAGATGGATGTCGTTCCCTGGTTGCCGCATTGCCGTCAAGTCTTGGCAACTGTCGGAAAGTGGGGAGCGTGAGACAAGGCCGACTTCTCCAGAGACCAGAAATCAGAGCCCAGCGCGAGGCACGAGTTTTCGAGATGGGAGGCGAGGTTCGAGAAGGCAATGCCGTGCACGCGCTACCTGATCAGTAGGCGAGTGGTCATGTCCGGCCAATCTCAAAAGCCTAATTCTATATGCATGCTTCTGCGGGCGTTAGTCGTAATCAGAGTGGCTGACTGTATCCGTAGTCTATAGGAATCAAAGATGCCGATAATTAGCAGGGGATCCTCGCACGTACGTACTTGTACTGAGAATTTTGGTCGTCGAGTGACCCGTGAGGGTCCAATCATTAGCGGCCTGAGGCCTGTACGCACCACTTCTCTCATCCGCTTGGTCTTCACGCATGTGCTTTGCTTCCCCGGTGGCAAAGACTCCAGTCAATACCGCTCTCCCTCTAGTAATTACTTGCACATGTACAGATACTACGTAGGAGTCTAGCTGTCTTGGCGACGGCGAGACCCTTGATGTCAGCGCGGAGGCATTTCGCAGTGACAGGGAATCAGATGCCGTTTCTCCGCCTCGTCACTCTCCTCGGCCGATGGCAGCAAGGCTCCTCATCAATCTGCCAGCTGCCTCATTCGCTAGGTCTGCATTATTGAGAACCTCTCACTCCAAGACGCACGGTCTAGCTTCGTCATGAGGATATGGGCTGTCCGCAGTATCTTTGCCAAGTTGCAAATATCACCAAATAATATGCGTTGCTGTCCTGGGTGTGGTGGTCCTCCACTACAGCTGACCACGCATCTGCAGAAAACCATAGAACGAGCGATCAGTCACAAGAGCATCGTTGATCCCAAGCGCTATCACTTGGAAATTGTGAGACTATCCCGGAAGCCGTCAGCATATCCTCCAGTTGCGCTTCTGAGCTGGTGCCTTTTCGATTAGGTAGCGGTCTAGAGGTTTTTTCTGCCGGAAGGCACTGCGGTTTTGAATGTTTCATTGATGAAAATCGAGAGGCAGCTGAACACTGGGACAGGAATGATGTCGCTGGTATGCACATATGTGTAGCCCGGGGAGGACGAGCGAGGCGAAACCATTCGAACATTTCTCCCCAGTTCATCATAAACCATGTAGGCTCGATCTCGGCTTCCTGGATCCTTTGCTGAGTCGTCAAAAGGAGACTCTGTTGGCAGTTGGTACAAGTACATTGGTCTGTACCCGGGATTTGTTCCACGAAGGTGAGTTTTATGAACAGCCGCAACTGAGCTTTTTAGGCATGATGAATAACGGACAACGGACTTTCTGCTCTCAAAGGAACGGAAATTATGTAAGTCCTCGGGTCAAATTCTCAAGCACTTCCTCTTTTAGGGGGCTTATGAAGACATGTACATGCCGTAGCCAAACGTCCATCCAGCAGCGACATGCACCTTACCTGTGTTGCTTTTTTATCTTAGATATGAAATGTTTGGTATAGATGCGAGTCATTCATGTTTACAGTCACAAGTGGTACACTTAAAGAGTTGTGGCCTTCACATGTTTGTTTGAAAACTGAGACTATGAATGTGCCTTTTTCTCAGCCTTACATTTCAAAGCTTAGGTTTACAGTGTGGCCATTCGCCTCTCTCTGGCGCCAACTCTCGCTTGAGGTTTTCCCCAGAAAAGAAGACCATTGCGCGAAGTTCACCTCGAAGCCTTGTACGGACTAGTCTGTGAATATACCGGGCCAGACTATCGCATCTGTTCTTTGCCGCAGTGTAGGGTAAGCAAAACAATACAAACAACCGAAGTGTGAGCCATCACTCGGAGACGTATGCGATATGTGATTTGGGCAGACCCATGAAAGAAAACCGAGCACACGGGTTAAACACATTTATATTGGCAACTCAGTTTGGACAACTCTATTGACATCGTGAGCCCTTTACAGGGTATGCCACTCTGTTATCTTCTGATTCGAATACAAGACATATCGCTACACTAGTTAGGCCTGTGTGAGCAACAGCAACCACGCTTGAATTGATATCAACACCAGCCGTTCGTCTGAAGCCCAGACGCAAGAAATAAGCCGATATCTGACTTCGCTGTGTAGCGACGAGATTGCACAACCATTAGCCTTGCATATTCACCTGCGTACGTGTACTCGGTAGGTACATGATTCAAATGACTGGAGCTCGGGTAACACATAACTTTTTGCAAACAGGAAACTCCATGATTTCAACGCAATCATTCTCGATCGACAAACCTTATTTCACCGAGGCCGCTGGCTGGTACCGCCAACCATTGCCATTTGAGCAGCATAGTTCCAAGAGTGTGGGCAAGTGTAATAGCTTATCGGCGCTTTCTTCTTATACGTACTTAGAAGTGTAGAGGCCTCACAGTAGTGCGTTTCGAGGTCCGTGTATCCTTGAACGACACCGTTCTACTGTTTGGATGCTGCGATATTAATTAAAGACTGGCTCTTTTGACCCGCCTCTACCTTACCTAGGCTTCTTGAACACCGACCGCCTGCAACGCAGATCATGTCGCACGATCGCGAATCCTCTCTTTTGCCTAGTACTTTCAGAATATTGAACATGTCTCGAGCCATGCACAGTCAATTATCAAAGTTCGCACTGACTGGTATTACTATCATTTCGGCGCGCTCCGGATCCGGTGAGGTGAAGTCTGGGGTTCAGGGTAACTTCGAAAGCTTGGCATCAAGACCCTAGACATTGGCGTCCAATGGCGTCCGGTCCGCCATCCCACCTCCGCTGGCACGATCGCGTCGCATCCAGACAGCTCTGGCTGCTTTTAAGTTTTGAGCCAAACCAATATTTGACCATGAGCTTCACTGTGTAGTATTCGGGTTTCGACAACCGAAGACTGTTAGCGCAACGGCTTACGCAAGGAGATTCGCAACGTTAACGCCTCACCACCGAAGGTTTTAGTTCGGAACGTCGGGGACTTTGTTGATCCAGTCATGCGCGGCCCTGAGACCACAGTCCACAGTGAGCGACTGGAGCTTGGCTGAGCCTAGCTTGGGTCCTAGGGCAGCTCCAGCCTCCGTCCCAAATCCGGTCCCGCCATTGGCGACACGGATCGCTTCGCCGGCCCGCGTCGCACACGCGGCCTTTTGTTTACTTACTACACTGCTCCAAAGAATACGTGCTGTGAAGAACGCCATCGCGTCCTCGGTTGGAGCTCCTCTCGTGAGACTGTTTCATGCAAGGGACTGGAGTGAATCAGTTGAAACTCGACGGTGCCTGCAGGCATAACCTGGGGGAAATTTCGTGGAGATTGGAGGGATGTTGCTGCCTTTAGATTAGGGGTCGCACATGTCGATCGTAGCGCATTCGGCCTCGAGTCGTCGCGTCATTAGCGCGTTCTCATCGCGGTCGTAGCTATCAGGGTTTATTTGGACTCTGGCAATTGATGCGAAACACCTGGCAATTAAACAGAATTCTCGTTATCCGTTCAAGCTCATTAACTCGATGCAACGGCAAGTCTGATCCTTCTTGGATAAATTCGCCACTCGGAATGAAGTCGACCGATAGTGGCGTCCTGCATCAAGCCTGTATGTATGTCTGGTTGCGGCTCTGCAGAGGGAATTGAGTTTGTCCACCTGCTGCTCTTCTAGTGGGCGGATGTTTGTGATGGTGGCGCGCTTTAGACATGTCGAGTCGACGCATCCGGTGCCGCAACAACCCGATATCCTTGCGTTTCGTGGCCACCGGGCGTCCGAGCTCGAGCTCGCAAAGTCAGAATAATTGCGCAATCATATGTGTGAGAAACAAGACATCTTCCTCTCGCAAGAACAGAGTCCTCGAATGAAGCAGCTCGCCGCGCTGCTTCATGCAGCCTTGGTCCGCAAAGAGGGGTTCAAAAGTTCGCAACGCCAGCCGATGATAAATGTTCCCGGGAGGACAAGAACTACATGTGAAGCGACGGCTACGAAAATCTTGACGGGGGGTACTATCCTTTGTGCAGTCTATCTGGCCATAAGTTGAGTTCATTGGGTGTGCCGATTGTCCAATCTGTGGATGCGTCACAGTTGCCTGGGGGGTCGATCCAAAAGGTCCGCAGTGGTTAACTTGTAATGTGGTATCGAGCTCCGGAAATGGCACTCGGTAAAGCATATACGTATTATCACCTGCGCAAGAAACTATGAGGGAACGAGGGAGCCTTCAATTAACAGGCTACACTTACAACACAGTGGCAGGGCTAGGACGGCTCGGATGGGGGGGAGATATGTCCGTCACGGGAAGGTCGTGCGCGACATGGACGCGTGCTGCGTCCGTCGTCTTTGAGCTCATCCATCGTCGGCTTGTGACAGTCGGAGCGCATGTAGCACAAGCCCTCACCGTTCCTTTGCATATGTGTACTCATACGGACATTGGCGTTGGAAGACAATCATGTGAATTGTTAGATCGATTGTCTCTTTGGTGAGTAATAGGCACACACACACACACACACAAACACACACAAGGGGTGTTTTCGTGAATTTCGTACCAGAACTGGAGATGATCTGTGATGCAGGCAGTGGTCGAACGGACACCTCAACCTTAGCGCAGGTCGACTTGATGCCGTGGGGGGACTTTAGTCCAATCAGCGGGCTGCTCAGCCCTCCCCTGTGGCAGCAACACGAGCGTGCAGCGTTCAAAAGTCGATGACCCAGTTGCTCTCTTGCCATCGTTTGTCCAAATGATTAGAGATTGATCATGGTAAACAGGCTTGCGACAGATCATCATCATATATCTGTTGGATGAAACAAAATTTGGAAGCCCTTATCACGCCCGGAGCACATGGGCTGCTACGCCCCGGCGACACTTTAATTGTTCCCTGGAATCTGATATGCATGGACATGGAGCCCCACACTCCATGTCCATGTCGGTTCTAGGCCATTTTGCTGCAAATGCTTGTGCTTCGAAGCTCGCCCGCTAAAGGCGCTGTCCCTGGACCAAGAGGCCCCGTATTCTCTCCTGAGTGGTGGAGCAAGGGCTGGCCTGACCCAGGGCAGTTCAGTCGGGTGGCCTGGCCTTTCCGCTTGGGGGCTGGGATCCAGTGAATCTGGCCGTCGATTCTCCTGCTTTGCAACCATTCGCCTCCAGTCTCCTGTCGTCGTCTCCCTCTCACCTTCTCGCTTGAGGTGCTCTCTCGTTGTTGTTCCTATCCACAATCTCCTCACGTCGCCTCTTTCCCTATCCTTCTCTTGCCCCTCATCCCAACCTTTGCCCCTTTCCCCTTGTATTTCGTCTTGTACTCCGCCCGCCACAGATCCCCTATTGGCGTCCCTTGCCCGGCCTTTTCGAACCCCCTATTCAGCATCTCGAAGCGTTCAGTTTGAGCTCCTCGACCAGCTCACGCTCCCGTTGCTCAGATCGTCGTCAGAACTGTGCTCGCTAGCTTACGATTACCACAGCTGAGCTCGATTCCATTCAAAGTTCTTGCTGGCTACCGAAAATCCGGTTCGATCGACGTCCACAACGCGTGCTTTTGGCACCGACCCCATCAGTGCTTCCACCAATTTCCTTAGCTTCGAAAACATCAACAGGGCACAGGGCATCTTCACTGATTCTCTGTACCTTGCATACTCTACCTTCGACTCGTCTGCTTGTGTCTACGAGGCTGCACTTCGTAACAGCGAGCATTGCCTTGTAGCAGAGCGAATCACCTTCCAACGGCCGCTGGCGTCCTCCCACCAGGGCAATTCTACAATCCTTCGCAAGGACTTATACACGGGAAACAAACAGGAAAAAAAAAACACAGGCCCAAGAAGAGATTCTCTTTGGATCGTCCAGCATTCGAATCCCGGTCGCCGAGGTGAGTAATCTATGTAGCACTGCACGGCTCTGCCCTCAGTGATGAGTCTTCTCTGGACGCGCACTCTAACATCTTGTGTCAGATTGATCACACCCTGTCGTCTTTGTGCCCATCCGAGTTTCAGCTGCATCCAAGTGAGCTGCTAGGACCCAAATACACTTCACTCCCGGCCGGACAGAATTTCTGTGACACTGTCTTGTGGATCGAACTATGGCCGCTTTGGTCCAAACATACACACCCGAAACAGCCACAATCACCATGCTCCAGACTCGCCCGACGTCTGCTACTGGAAGGATGCCTTCATCACAACAGCAACCCATTCCCCAATATGGCGCTAACCAGGCACCTCGATCTTCCTACCACAGCAATGCCAACCTTACCGGCTACCGTGGGAGTTCAACTCCCGTTCAGCAGTACGCTTTCCAGGCTACACCGACTCTGAACCAACCTTACAGGATGAATGCGGCAGAGTACGATCCCAGCGTCACTCACCACCGCTTTCCGAACTATGGTCCTCCGGTCACAAACTCGAGCCCAGGCGGGACTCGTGATGATACTGCCATCCTGCAAGCCAGGCAAGCGGTTTCCGTGTCGCGCCCTCAACCCACAGTCATACCTGGTCCCGCGAAGAACACCCCGGATAGGTATCGGAGGCCATCAAACCAAGGAAACAGCCACAATCGATCACAGAGTGCAAACCTGCCAAGCACTTCAAACCTACCAAACACTGCTCAATTTTACAACATTGGAAACAGTCCGCGGCACACAGCAACAAGCCGACCGACTAGCTTCTACGCATCCATCCCTGGTACCTCGATGGATGACATGCACTTGCCTCCGCAGAACCATCAAAAAGGGCTGCGACGCAGGAGCATGCATGGGATGGAGACGATAGGGAGTCAACAAAGCGACCGCACTCAGCGGCCCTGTCTGGACAACGCAGCCCACTCACGCAGTGGGAGCACGGAAAGTGTGAACTCATCGCGCAGCAATCACTCGCGACCCTCGGTATGTGATCCTTCTGCACGATGACCAAGCGTGGTCCAATAGGCGGGGTTGAGCTCGTATCACTAACCATATGTGCATTCACAGTCTGCCAACCGCAGTGCTCCTGTCCCCGCATCCACCCCCTCCCCAGCTGCAAGTGACGATGCTCGACATGCGCCAAAGCAGGAACAGTCTGCCAAACAAATCAACGTTCCTCCCCGGGACTCGTCCGCGAATGTTGGCAAGCGTATTACCACGCCGTCGCCACTGTCCAAGCCGGTGACCATGGGAGCAGAGTCCGCTGACGGCGCTGCGCCCAACACCGCCAATCTGAGCTCGCCCGCTGCCAAGCAGCTTGCTGCCATCAACCAAAAGGGCAGCAAGCCCAAGGGTAAGACTTCACGACTTCGACGTGCGTTCTCCTTTGGTAGCGCGGCTGAGCTGCGGAAAGTCGATGAGGAGGGCGGTGCCAGCCAGAAGCCAGAGCCATCGAGACTGCACAAGGAGCCGAGCCCTTATGAAGCCTACGATGCAGAGCAGGCCAGGATTGCAGAGGCACAAGAGGCCGCCGGAATTGGCAGCAGCATCTACGGCGGACGCTTCTTCGGTGGCTCCACTGACAATCTGTCCATCTCCTCGACGGCATCCTCGGCTTCCATCATGATCCGGAAGATGGGACGCGGCATGAAGAAGAGCACGCGTAACTTGGCAGGCCTCTTCCGTCCCAAGTCCGTGATCGGCGTCGCACCAGCAGACGGCCCCGTCTCGCAGGAAGGCAGCCAGGCCGCCGTGTCCATGGTCACCGTGGAGGCGGAGACGCAGCGCGTCAACGTCACTGCCGACCCGCAGCAGGGCAGCGATACTTTCCCCCATCTTGAGCGAAATTCAATCGATGCGAACCGACTGCCGGAGATGAGGCACGAGCGCGCCGGCAGCTCGAGCACGGACAATTCCAATTCGCGCAAGAGCATCGTCGGTGGCGACAAGGATCGAGCCGAAGTCCTCGCGGCTGTACGCAAGGGTATCCTGAAGCGTGAGTGTCTCGGAAGTGCCCTTTCCATTGCAATTGCTAATGTGCTCAACAGGTTCTGGCTCCGCCAGCCCTACCGTCCGCCCAGTGGATGCCTTGCCGACATTGACGAGCCCTCCTGCCATTACCGACTCGCCCAACTCGAGCGCTCCCAGCACGCCCAACGAAGAGGCTCAGGGCCACCGCCGCACCGGATCGGTTGCATTGGGCACCGAAGATTACTTCATGACGGCCCTCCGTCTCCGCCAGGATACCAAGAGCGCCCCTGGAACTCCCCAGGGCAGCCTGAAGCGCTCCGCCAAATTTTCGCAGCGTATCGTCTTCCATGACACTTGGCCTCCTCAAGAATACGATCGTCGAGGCGAGGTCGCAACGTGCAATCGTCTCACGCCATTGCTTGCGCAGCAAATCAAGGAAGAGCTCAACACATTCAAGATGGTGCGCATTCCCTTACTCTTCCACCATTTGGTGTGCTCATGCTGACATTGTGTAGGAGATGGAAGTTCACGAGAACTCCAAGATTTATACACACTTCTTTTAATGCTAGACAGCCACGTCCTGCTGAGAGGGACCACTTCAAAGAGCATCATTGCATCGAGTCAAGCGCGCAAAGATCATGTACACATCACATCACATTTACATTCAAAGAGGCGTTCAGGGACAGCATAGTAAGGTGCGGCGGCGTTCTTGTCACTCTGTGCTTCTGCACATGTCTGGAGGATTTAGACTATAGGGTCGCGATTTTCCTTTAATACCAGATAGCAGGCGCAGCCAGCTTCTGCCGACGGCTGATAGACCCCACGCAGACCAGCATCGTATCAACTACCGACGGTGTCTGTGATATGAGCTTGGATGGATCAATCAATGGAACACAGACACGCATGGACAGCATGATTGACTGAAGAAGTGAATGACGTTCCACTCTGTGCATGCTAAGGACCGCCCTCGGCTAGTTGAATAGAGGGACATGTGCCTGGCTTGGACTTAGACGGGACTACTAGCCTCTAGGGAACTTGTGAAGCTTGGCGCCATGTCTGATGTGATGCCTCAGCGACTCAGCCTCGTGGTTTTGGCGCGGCGTTATGGGGTCTCACCCCCACCAATGGTAGCGTCCCACGGTCAGCCTTGCAGAACCTCATCTTCGTGATGGTTTTTTTCCCCCGTCTCTTCACTCACCATCGACTCCACGTCCTTATTAGTATACGTTACAGCATCGACTGTTCCCAAAGCCGGTGCTCGAACGTTGTTGCACATTGTCGCTCACTTTTGCCCACATGCGAGGACGCAGCGCGCGCCTCTGCTCGATTCCTTTCGCTTCTTATCGACCGACGTTCCAAATCACTTTTCGACGATCATTCGCAGCCATGGGCAGCATACCGAAAGATGCGCCCGCTGGCCCAGGCAAGGCGAAACTCTATGGGCGCGCTTTCTACCAGAGCATTGGCAGCCCGAAATACATTTTAGCGCCCATGGTAGACCAGTCTGAATTTGTGAGCAAACCCACGAGGGGCCTACTGATGACCGCTTTGCGACAGAACATGCATTTGCTGATCAGAACAGGCCTGGCGCATGCTCACGAGGTCCTTCCTCCCAGAAGCTGAGCAGAGCAGCCTTCTCGCGTACACCCCTATGTTCCATGCACGACTCTTCGAAGAGACGGAGAAGTATCGACACGCCCATTTCCAAGCGACACGACCGGGGACCGATGGTATCTGGCTGGACGGCCACCCGGAGCTCGACCGACCTCTCTTTGTACAGTTCTGCGCCAACGACCCAAAGCACCTCCTCAACGCCGCGCGGCACGCTGGTCCGTACTGCGACGCGGTCGATCTCAACCTGGGCTGTCCGCAGGGCATCGCGCGCAAGGGCCACTACGGGTCCTTCCTGCAAGAGGACCAAGACCTGATCTTTCGACTGATCAACACCTTGTACAAGGAGCTGGAGATTCCCGTCACCGCCAAGATTCGCATCCTGGAGACAAAGGAGGCGACGCTGGCGTATGCGCAAAATGTCCTCCGGGCGGGCGCCTCGATATTAACGGTTCATGGAAGAAGGAGGGAACAAAAAGGGCACCTCACGGGACTAGCCGACTGGGAGATGATCCGATTCCTGAGGGACAGTCTGCCCAAGGAGACGGTGCTGTTTGCGAACGGCAACATTCTGCAGGGGGCGGACATTGAGCAATGTCTGCAGGCCACGGGTGCTGATGGCGTGATGAGCGCAGAGGGCAACCTAAGTGACCCGTCCATCTTCGGCCGAGCCCCGGAGAAAGGGCAAGAGGGCAGAGAGTACTGGCGCGGCAGGGACGGGAACGGCGGCTGGCGAGTCGACGCCGTCATGAGACGGTACCTGGACATTCTGCACAAATATGCCGAGGGGACGGAGCCGCCCGAGCGACGACCGCTCTTCGTGCCGGGAGAGGACATGGCCTGGATCGAGGATTCGGAAAAGGCAGAGGCGGCGGCGGAGGAGCCCCCAGCGAAGAAGAGGAGGAAAGAGGACAGCAGCAACAAGAACGCCCCCGCGAATCCCAACCTCTCCGGTGTCCAGGCGCATCTCTTCCACCTGCTGCGGCACTTTGTGACGAAACATACCGATATCCGAGACCAGCTGGCCAAGTCCTCGCGCAAAGGCATGCCAGGCTACGAAGCGGTCCTGTCCGCCGTCGAGCGGACGGTCGCCAGAGGTCTGGTCGAGTATGCGCGTACAGACGGACAGAGCTGGGAGGACGAGGTGAAGGGTCTGTACGAGCAGGACGATGGCGTGGAGGGCGAGAGCTCCGTGGCGACGATGAAGAGGTGCAAACGACCGTGGTGGGTCGTCCAGCCCATTGTGCGGCCGCTGCCGAGCGAGGCGTTGAAAAAGGGGGCGATTCGACCGAGCAAGAAGGAGATGAAAGCGGAGGGTACTCCCAAAGAGGCGAAGCAGCCTGCTGTGGTGAACGTGGACACGTCAGGGGAGACTACGGCGGATACGACCCCGAAGCCTGCAGACGCCGCTGTCGCGGAGGAGATCAAGAAGGACGGCGCAACTACGGAGCAGCAGAAGGATCTTGCTGCCAGAGACAAGCTGGTTGCTGGGTAATGGGATCTGGCGGCAAGGACATTGCTTTGGCCTGGGGGGTGACCTGGAGCGGGACGGACTCTTTGAGCGACCGAGGCCTATGGCGCCATGTCCTTCTCAGAGCCTTGAGGTTTTATTCTCTTCTGCAAGCTATAGCTGCTCTCTCTCGACCGCCGCCCTTGTTTGTCGAACCGTGCTCAGTGTCCAGTCTTGGTACGGCGCCGATCGAGCTTGACCAGGCAGCAGCAGTGGAACCTATGTAAGGACCAGGTCATCAGTGCCGTGGTCCTGGGCGGCAGGACGCGATGGGCCTACCAGCTGCGACCCCTGAAGCAGTGAAGTCGACGGCTCCTAGGACGGGAGCAACAAAGACTGCCCGGGGCGACCAAGACAAACGCCTCCGACAGTGTACCACTAGTGCAGCCGTGCCTGGGTTCGCAGCGACGTAGGCCGCGGTCTGGACCGACGAGGTTCGATGGATGGGCAGGTTTCAGGCGAGGATTGAGTACTTGCGTTTTGAAAAGCCTGCTTGCTTGGTGGACTGCATCTTGTGCGGAAAAAGGATGATGCAAGATAGGATCTAGAGAGTGTTGAGATGGTTGTGAGAGAGCAACAAGAGAAGAGTGAGCTTGATCCGAGTGGAGCAACTCTGCTCTCGTGCTCAGACAGGGCAGGGCCGATCAGATGGTACGCCCTGCGGCAGCACCGTAGGCCCCGGCAGCGGCACTCAAGGACTACCTACGGGCTGAAGCAATGGCTGGAGCACAAGAGCTTGTCATGTACAGCACTCGCAGGCGGCCAGATGGTGTTACAGGCTACGAGGGCGGGGTCTCGCGCCTCGCATGGTTATCGTTTCACAGGAGAGCGAGTGTTTCTTGTCACAGGTGGTCATGTCAGAAGAGTGCTAGGAGGAGTTTGACAAGACAACTGTGTCTTGATTGCCCCATGAGGCCTACCTACCTCAGTGCCCGTAATGTACTCCACACACTACCATTGCAGTGATCTAGCCGATGAACTAGGACCGATAGCCTAAGCCGTCCTCTTCCAAAGATACGTGATGATCCAGCCGATGACAGCCCCAACCCGGACGAGCAAGTTCAAAATGGGAACGCCATAGCCGCCCATGGCTGCGCTCAGGGCTGTTGAGATGGCGCCTGCTGCGGCCAGAGGTGCTTGTAGAGCGTGGAGCTTGGACGCGAGAGTGCCTGCTCAATCCGTCAAGACATGTTTGGAAAGCTGGATTTGCTTTCGCTGCAGCACTCACCGGCCATGATACCGCCCGTGCCAAAGCCAAAGACTCTCAAAATGGGGATGTAGACCACGTTTGGAAGGAAGATGGACAGCACACTCAGAGCCACGGTAATGGGGTTATTGGCAATGCTTTCGGGTAGCTGAGAAGACCATGTCAGTTTGGACGTCGTTTGGTCGGGGGGGAGTTGGATTCCAAACGAACCGTGCGAAGGGCGCCATCCGCGCACTTGACAAGAGCTTCCATGTTGTGCAGAGTCGTCGAGTTGGTCACGCTCGTCTGTGAGTGGCACGGAGCTTCTTGCGAGCCGCAGCAGCAGCAGATAATGTGAAATCCTTTGCGTAGGAATAGTCGATCACTCTGCTGAGGAGGGATAGTTGAGGGGGTTCATAGGTGGAGGAGAGGCTCAAGGGGCCCCGAATATGTAAGATCATTCTGAGCTAACCGCCCGTGCCACTATGAGGCTGTTGGTCGTGGACTCGCATTCGCTGCGACAAGCGCCTGCGTCTTGTTTGGTCTGGACAAAAATAGCACCAGACGGGAGCGTCGCGCCAATCACGAGGCCATGATGAGGAAGAGCTTGGTCAAGCGCCTGATGACTCTTCCATCCGTCTCGACGTGTTTAATTCAGTTTGGGGTGACCGGCCCACCATCACGGCGTGGGAAAGATGCTCTGGAACGTAATGTTCTCGCCCCCCAGAAAGGTGCTCCAGTCCAGCTCGGCCAGCTGGTCGTCGTACCAGCCAAACAGGTCGAGACTGCCGGTGCCCGAGGGCGTCGAAAAGGCACCCTCGTAGTCGGCCGTCATGGCCTCGTACAGCGCCGAGATGATGTCGGGCGAGTGGTCCGTCGCCTTCATCCAGGGCCGCATCTCGGCAAACGTCTCGAGGGCCTTGCCGAGATTGGCGCGCCAGACGGCGATGCTGTCCACGGCCGAGGTGGGCATGTTCTTGTCGACGGCCAGCGCGAGCAGGGGCGCCATGCACGCCTGGAAGAGGTACCAGTTGGCGTTCCAGACGTGGAAGCGGTTGGGCGTCCAGTAGAGGGCAATGGCGTCAATGGTCTGGCTCGCGACGCTGCAGCACTCGTTGAGCAGGTGCCGCGACTCGGGCGTCAGCTCGCTGAGGTTCTGCCGGTGGCCGTTGGCAATGTAGAGGAAGGACGAGCGCGTCAGCAGCATCCGCGCGTTGAGGTAGCGCGTGCGCATAAACTCGCGCGCGGCGAGGAACCGCGGGGGCGAGAGCGTCGGGTCCGTCAGCGTGGGCGGCACCGTCTGGTACCAGTGGACGAGCTCCGTGTCAAAGTCCACGACCTCCTGCGCGGAGAGCCGCCCGGAGCGCGCGAACCGCTGCTGCATGCGGTCGCATACGAGGCAGAACTCGGAGCTGACCTGCAGGGAGATGGTCATGTAGTCGTCCGGGGACGACGCGGTGGGGAAGAGCGTGTCCATTGTGCTGCTGTCCCATCGACCGCACGTCGGCCGGCCCTGGGTCATGGCCCCCCATGTGTCGAGGCAGAAGAGGCTCCACCACGTCCGCCTCCTCGTCTCGACCTTGCGCTGGTGCCAGGCCGCCTCCTCCATGGTCTGGAAGTTGAGGCGCCGCCGGGGCTCGCGATGCAGACCGAGTGCGATGGCGACCCGATGGGCCGCACCGAGCACGCTGTATGCCATGTTGGGGGAGTTGCGATAATGCAGGTAGTACCCCCCCAGGAGGCACAGCGCCTGCAGACTCTCGAGGTTGCCCGCCCCGAGGCTCTCGAGGCCGATGAAGGATCTCGCTTGACGGTAGTAGCCCTCGTGCAGACTGTCACTGCCGGAGGCGATGGACCCCAGGACAAAGACCATGTTGACGAGACCTTGCCACGACGCATCCTGGCGTGTTCCCCGACTGAACTCCTGGCGGAACTCTTCCTCGTCGATGAAGGGCGTGATGGCGTGGATGTGGTCAAAGTAGAAATCGATGCACCTCTGCTCCTTGAGACGGTTGAGAGCCGGGTCTCTCTCGAGAAAGGGGATGCCCGGCAGCGGCTGGCCCGGTATGGTGGACCACATCTTGGAGCACTGGGCCGTGTGCTCCTTGGCGGCGGGCCAGAGACGGAAGATGGCCCGGATGACGGCGCTCATCGAGGTCATGCCCAGGTACGAGCGGACCTGGTCGTCGGTGACGAGGCCCATGGCGTTGACGTCGTCGTTGGCGACGTTGCCTGGCTGGTCGGGCAGCTCCTCCCATCGGCGATCCGCAGGTGCGTCGCCGTTCTCCGAGACGGCCGCCGAGCCGCCCATGTCGGTGACGGAGGGGGGTCGAAGGAAGTGGTCCTGGTGCGGATGCTGCTGGAGGAGATGGTGCCGCCCAGCACGCGGCCGGGGAGATGGCGGCGTGCCACCGCCGGGAGCGACGCCAAGCAGAGCCCGTAGCTCCACCTCGCTCTTGACGGCCACCTCGTCTAGGCTCAGCCCGGGGAAGAGGAAGGCGAGGATGCGGGCCTGTGTCTGAAGCTGCTCCGTTGCCTTGTCAAAAGTGCTGTGATGATGAGTTCAGTCGGCTGCCCTCGAGGACCAAGACAGGCTGGCATCGGGGCTTTCCTATCAGGATAGATTCATTCGTACCTTCTGCTCACGGCGTGACGCTTTGATCGCTGGCGATATACACAGGCATCCTGGCAGCGATACCGGACACAGCTGCGGCAAGGCTCCGCCCCGTCGCATTTGACCTTGCGTCTCGTGCACTCGAGACAGGAGCGGTTGACCTTGCGGCCCGCGGGCGCGTTGGGGGGGCTCTGCGTGGTCTGCTGCTCATGTTTGGCGGACGGTGGGTGGGACTTGTTGTTGTTGTTGTTGTTGTCGTTGGTGTTGTTGGTGTTGTTGGTGGCCTGCTGAGGCGCCTGCGAGACTGGCGAGTCTGTCGAGTCGCTCATACTCGTGCGCACTACAATTTGCTCCATTGGAACAGGCCCATTGTTGGCTGCGGCGCTCGTCCGTGATACCAAGTGGGCAGGGAAGGATTGGACAGACAGGAGGAGATGGAGCGAGCGAGTGAGTGAGTGAGTGAGTGAGTGAGTGAGTGAGTGAGTGAGTGAGTTCGAACTTCGGGGTTGTCGTCCCGATTCTGAATCCGGGGGTGGGGAAATTGGGGGTCCGCGATGCGCTGCCTAGCAGACAGTACTTGAAAATGAGAGCCAGCTACACTCATCCGCAAGTACCCGATAATAACCCCGCTAGCTAGCTAGCTACCCCCAGCAGACGCCTGGACGGACAGGGGCCATCCATCTTTTTGCCTCCATCCAACAAGTCGAGAATCGAATCCTGCCTCAGACATCGTCGTCCATGTATGCATGCATGTCTCTTCATCAGCACGTGCATCGCGTCCTGCCCGTGAAGGCAGGCACGCATCAACAGAGAAGCTTGGCCACTCGATTTCATCCATTCGTGGAAGCTCACAGAGTCAATCGAGCAGCCACGTCTACTTCTTCCAGCACCTCTCTCTCGACCTCTTCCAGCGCTGCAGGCCCATCATACAGTTGCGCGTGGAGAGCACTCGTGTTCACCTTCCACGGGACGAGCAGTGTCAGCCAGTGGCCCCAGGCCGTCATGGAGTGACTTACATGTCGGGGTCCCAGATCAGATACGCGTTGGGCGCCCAGCAAACGCAGTGCTGTGGTCGTCTCGTCAATGAGAACTGTCAAGTCAAATGCGTGTCAGCGCGGTCCGACTCATTGTCACACAAATGGGCACGGATGGGCCAAGTTTACTCTCAAGGGTCCTCTCGACACCTGCCTGACCTCCTACCGCGAGGCCAAACAGTGGCGCCCTCCCGATTCCCACGGCTTTGGCCCCAAGCGCGAGTGCCTTGGCCACGGATGTGCCTCTCTTGATGCCGCCATCTAGCAACACGTCTATCCTGCCCAATACCTGCGGGCAAAACTTTCGAATCTCGAGCAGAACCTGGATCGGAGGGGCGACGGTATCCAGCGCCCGGCCCCCGTGGTTGGACAGGATGATGCCCTTGACGGAGGGGAAGAGTGTCGCCGCGTACGCATCCTCGTGCGTCTGGACGCCCTTGAGGACAATGGGCAGATCCGTCTGCGTCTGCAGCCAGGCCAGCGTCTTCCGCCAGGTCAGGTTGCTCTCCGTGCCCCACGCCTGAGGCGCGCGCGACTCGGCATTCTTGAACCGCATCTCGTCCTCCCTCTTGCCGGGAAACGGCGCGTCGACCGTCAAGACGAGGAACGAGACCTGCGGCACCTCCTTCAGCAAGGCGAGCTCGCGCTCCGTCTCGGCAACGTCCTTGAGGATGTACAGCTGCCACCCAAAGACGGCGTCCGGACCGGCCTGGACAATCTCCTTGAGCGGCTGGCCCGCATTCTTGCTGATGATCTGCAGCGTCTTGTGCCTGGAGCAGGCCCCCGCGATGCCCCTCTCCCCGTCCTCGTGGGCCAGCGTGGCCAAGGCGGCGGGCGACACGAACACGGGCGCCGCCAGTCTGTGTCCCAGCACTGTGGTCGACAGGTCACAGCGTGTGCAATCGACGAGCACGCGTGGCCTGAGCTGGATCGAGCGGTACACGTTCCCATTCTCCTCCTTGGTGATGCTGTCGTCTGTGGCCGACACGTAGTAGCTGATCGCCTTGCGGGACATTCGGCCCATGGCAAGGGTCCGCATCCCGTCGAGGCTGAGAATGTCGGTCATGTCGGGGCCATCCTGCTGTGCCATGTTGGGCGGCCGTTTGCCGTGCGTGCGCTGTAGTCTAGTCTAGTTAGCAAGGGGTAGAGTTCCCTCACCAGCAAACTTGCCAGTGGGAGACAAAGTCAAGCAACACGCGGCAGTATGTATATGTATGACATGATGCCCGGCGCTCGCTCCCCCCTCATCTGCTTCCAGCTGATGCATTGATCGCCGTGGGGTTGAACTTGGCGCCTGGCGAAGAAGGGGCCGTTGTCCATGCGGCGCTTCTAACTTCCGGCTCTCGCCCAGACATCACACGGGAATACATGTGTCCTTGCGGGACCTCACGTGGCACCCAGCGGATCCACTGGTCCAGACGACATTCAGCCTCAAGAGGTCGACAGGGACTGAGCGAGAGGGAACCCTGTCAGGTCAGGGCCAGATCCCCTCAGTTCATGCCGGTGGTCCCTGGTGGTGAACAGCTGGCCATGTGGGGTACATGTAAGAGGATCATCAACAAACGGCGGCCTTTGCCCGAGCGAAGCCCGTCAGCAGCCGCAAAGGACGACTTGACGTGTCGTGCTCGGCTACCTGCTATTTAGTCAGTCCTATCCTCCTGGGACGCATGGGTGTGATCTGGTGCCACTGCCTGCCAACTGCTCGACTCGGACAATCATGGCCGCCACGCGGATCGAGCTGAGCCATGGCTGGACCTTTCGCCAGCAAGACAGCCAATCCAAGGACTGGCTCTCCGTCCAGAGGGTCCCGACGCAGGTACACATTGACCTGCTCGCTCACGGGAAGTACGCTCCTTCGCCATCCCACTGAGCGCTCCGTGGCTGACACATCCCTCACAGGATACCCGACCCCTTTGAAGACCTCAATGAGCGTGCGGTGCAGTGGGTAGGGGAAAAGTCATGGATCTACAGGACAAGTTTCGAAACGCCCGAGAACCATGCCCGGCACACACACCATGATCTCGTGTTCGAGGGCCTCGACACGTTTGCTACCGTCTGTCTCAACGGCACGGAGATCCTCAAGGCGGACAACATGTTCGTGTCGTACCGCGTCAATGTGGCCCAGCATCTCAAGCACTCTGGCGCCAACAACTTGGACATCGTCTTTGAATCGGCGCTTCTCAGGGGACGTGAGCTTGTGAAGCAACACAGCCATGAGCACAACTTTCTCGTGCGGCAGACAGACGTTGGCCGGCTGCCCGCGAGAAAGGCCCAATACAACTGGGGCTGGGACTGGGGTCCGATCCTCATGACCGCAGGACCCTGGAAGCCGGTCTTCCTCGACTCCTACAATGTCAGGGTCCAAGATGTCTGGGCGCGATACGAGCTCAGCAACGACCTGGCGCACTGCGCCGGCTCCGTCGTGGTGGACGTTGCAGGCAATCTTGGACCAGAGGACGAAATACAACTGGGCATCTACGACGGCGACACAATCGTCTTCGAGACAAAAGTCTCCTCTGGGGGAGCTGGCGCAATCGAGGCCCCCTTCACCATGGACAAGCCCAACCTGTGGTATCCCCTAGGCTATGGCGCTCCCTCTCGGCACTTGCTGAAGGCAACCGTCCTCAGCAAAGACCAGGAGGGAGCGGCGGCAGCCTCCCTGTCCAAATCGATCGGCTTCCGTCGCGCCGAGCTGGTTCAAGAGGCAGATGCCCACGGCAAGTCCTTCTACTTCCGCATCAACAACATTGATGTCTTCTGCGGTGGCGCGTGCTGGATCCCCACGGACAGTTTCCAAGCGCAGATCCCCGAGAAGCGCCTGCGCGACTGGGTCGCCCTCATGGCCGAGAGCAACCAGGTCATGCTGCGCATCTGGGGCGGCGGCGTCTACGAGCACGACGCACTGCTCGACGCGTGTGACGAGCTGGGCATCATGATCCTCCACGACTTCCAGTTCGCCTGCGGCAGCTACCCAGCCTACGACGCCTTCCTGCAGACCTTTGCGGTGGAGGCTCGCCAGAACATTCGTCGCCTCAGGACGCACCCGTCCGTCGTCGCCTGGGCGGGTAGCAATGAGGACTACCAGGTGCAGGAAAAGTACAAGCTCGGGTACGACTACGAGGACAAGGACCCGGCGGCATGGCGCAAGTCAAGCTTCCCGGCGAGGTACATCTACGAGCACCTCATCCCCCAGATTCTCAGGGAGGAAGACCCTCACGTCATCTACCACCCCAGCAGTCCATGGGGAGACGGCAAACACACCACGGACCCAACAGTGGGTGACATTCACCAGTGGAACCGTAGGTCGTCCTGGTTTGAACTTCTGAGCGATGAAGCGAACCCTGCTAACTATCGCACAGTATGGCACGGGGCCATGCACAAATATCAACAAGTCGACCTGCTCGGCGGCCGCTTCATCAGCGAGTTCGGCATGGAAGCCTTCCCGCACCTCGACACCCTCCACCGCATGGTCTCCGACCCCGACCAGCGGTATCCCGGCTCCATGGCCATGGACGCCCACAACAAGGCCATCGGCCACGAGCGACGCATGATGGCCTACGTCGTCGACAACTTCCGCCTGCCTGCCCCGGCCTTCAGCCTCGCCGCGTACGCACACCTCACGCAGATGGTGCAGGCCGAGACGATGCGCTACGCGTACAAGATCTGGCGGCGGGACTGGCAGGGCCGAAAGTGCGGCGGCGTGCTCGTCTGGCAGCTGAACGACTGCTGGCCCACCATCTCCTGGGCCGTGGTCGACTACTACCTCGTACGCAAGCCGGCCTTTTATGCCATCGCCAGGGCGCTGCGGCCGCTCGATGTCACCGTGATGCGCAAGATGGTCGACTGGACGCAGACGGGGGACTGGGTTGATGAGAACTCCGCGCTCAAGACGGGACAGGTGGACCAGACTCTCCGCGCCAAGCAAGGTGTCTTTGACGTGTGGATTGCGAGCAGCAAGGTCCAGCCCGTCAATGTGCAGGTTCAGCTGCGCTTCGTTTCCATTGCCACGGGTCAAGAGATCCGCGAGCGCATGACACAAAGCGTCACCGCTGCGCCGAACACGACCACGACGGTCCTCCATCGGCACGTGGCGCCTGCCTCGATCCCTGACTCGGACGATGCAACCAAGCCCTTTGACATGTCGGCATACGATCCGTACGTTATATACGCGGTGCTCAAGGTAGGAGGAGACCAGGTCGTCGCCTCGGACGTGGCCTGGCCGGAGCCCATCAAATTCCTCGACCTGTCCAAGCGGGACATCACATTCGACCTGACCTCCTCATCGCGCGTGACCATCAGGGCCGCGAGACCTGTAAAGGGTTTTGTCTTTGAGGAGAAGCCCGACATCAAGCTTGATGACAATGGCTTTGACCTCGTCCCGGGGGCGGACAAGGTCGTCACTGTCGAGGGAATGGACGGAAAAGACTTGAAGTACACTTTTATCGGTGCAACGGGGGCGTCACTGAGTGTCTCTGGCAATTAGGAAAAAGCAGGTAGTCAAATTCAAATTTAGGCCTCCACTATCGAGTGTAGTCTTGGAAAGAAACGCCCATGATGCATTGAACTCCGACCGCTGGTGAAGAACTATTCTGGTATCCCTGACCCCACACTGACGTACAATTTACCTTCAAGTGGTTGCAGCGCCAACCCTTACCCCTTTCCCAATCCAAATAACACAGTGAGAAAAAGACAAGACTCTACGACCTGACCGCGCGTCTCTTGCGTGGAGGCGGCGAGGCAGATCGTGACTCGGACCGTCCTCGTCGTCGGTTACGGGGAGGCGACGGCGAACGCGTGTATGACCTCCCTCGGTCGCCTGCTTTGCGAGGCAGAGGTGATCGGGACTTGGAGTGCGACCGATCGCGCGCCGGACCCGTAGCCTTGCGAGGGGCGGGCGAGGGGGATCGCGATAATGACCTCGATGCTGCGCGCGAGCGCGAGTACGATCGTGACGAAGTCGACCTCTTTCGACTGCGATCACGGGGCGGCGTAGGCGACCGCGAGAGAGACCGCCCTCGGGCAGCAGGCCTGTTGCGTGGTGGCGAAGAGGAGCCTCTGTACGACCGCGGGCGTCGTTGGTTTCGAGGGGGAGGGGAGCGCGAATATGACCTGTCGCTTCTTCGTGAGACTGGTGAGCGAGAACGAGAAAGCGAACGTGACCGGCTCGGCGAGCGGGACCCCGAGTATGATGAACCTGAACGGCTCCTACGACGCCCGCGAGGCGAGGCCGATCTCGAGTAGGATCGTCCACGATCAATAGCCCGACGCGGTGTACGTGAGCGTGATCTCGAGCGCGAGTATGACGACCCAGTATATGAAGAATAGCTCGACACAGACTCGGAATCTGAATGGTCGGCGGGAGGAGCGGGAAGCGCCGGCTTCGGCATGTTCTGCAGATGCTCGCGCATCTCTTCTGTGAGACCTCCCATGCCGATGCTGGTAAAGTAGTTGATGGAGAACCGTATGTTGCGAGGATTGTCGCGTGGGAACAAGCCCTCGAGCAGAGGTCGCAGCGTCGGGTCGTTCATCCTCTCTTTGAGCTTCGACATGCCGAGTTCCTCGACAATGTGCTGGAACAGAATCTTGACAAAGATACGGCTGCTAGAGGTTGTCTCATCCTCGTTCATGTGGATGGCTGACATAGCGTGCCAGCCCAACGCGTCGACTCCAAACATGTGACCAAAGAGCATGGCAATGTTTCGCAGCTTGTTGTTCTCGTAACGGTGGATGGTCTCGTAGTACTTGACAAAGGCCTGCTCGAACAGATCGCACCAGAGCCGGTTGATCTTGGCGAAGCGCTCTCCGATCAGACCAAAGAACTTGGTGTACGTCTTCTCCTGCGAACAGCACTCCACAATCATGGAAGGGAGCTCGGGCTCTTGGCCAGCTGGCAGGTTGATCTTCATCAGCTTGTGCACCGCCTCCTCGGGGTCAGCGCTCGACATGATGGTCAGGTAGATTGTCCTGCGGAGGTTGACCAGGTCCGCGTTCGACTGATCCTTGATCTCCATGGCCTTCTGTTCTTGGTCCTCCTCGTCCTCCGAACTTTCGTCGCTTTCGTCGTCGCCTTCCTCCTCGTCGTCGTAATCGCTGCCCTCGCCGAGAATCTCGGCCTTGAGCTTCTTGTACGCCTCCTCGTTTTCCTCGTAGTCGGGATCGAACTTGAAGATGTTGAGCGTGTCCTGTACTTCCAGCTCGCCGTCCAGGTCCACGCGATGCGTGATCTGATCCTCCTCCTCGACTAGGTCCAGCTCCTCCTTGATGGCAGGGTTATCCTTAAACTTGTCCTTGCGCACCTGGAACAAGACCTCAATCATGTACTGCGTTCGTGGCTGAATGTCGGCTTCGTGGAGGATGTTTCTGAACTGGTCGAAAACGACCATGGAGATGGACGGCTGCATCTCCTCCAGATACTGCCCAACCTCTCGACAGAACCCCACTGCAATCTCAACACTGTCGTCCGAGGGCTTGTTCAATAGCAGAAGAAGGATTTGCCCCGCCAGCATCTCGTGCTGCACCTGCTGATTGATAAGGTGCGCGATGAATGTCGTCGAGGAAAGGCAGACGGCCTTGTCGTTTCGTCGGAAGCCTTTGCGGAACTGCATGATCAAGCGCTTGATGAGCAGCTCGCCAACTTGAGGTAGCTTTGTGTTGACAATGGCCGCCATGGCAGCGTAGATGGGCGTGAACGGCAGGCTCGCAGCCTGGGCCTTCATGATGGACCGGCAAAACAGTCCTCGACCTCGGATCAGATTCTCGCCGAATAGCTCGGGCACAATGTACTTGATGTTTGCCGTGTTGACTTTGTTGATCAGACCATTGATGCTCTTTTTCAAAGCCTCCCACGCCATGCGCTGGTATTCCTTGCTCGTCTTGTCCGTGATTTGCGACTGAAGGGCCCTCAGACGGGCTGGCGGAATGTAAGTGCCGCCGGAGCGCATGTTGATGAGCTTGTCGTATTCAGCCTTTGCTATCCGTTGCTTCTCTTCTTCGGTCTTGGGCGGCGGGGGAGTGCGCGCACGCGGAGGAGAGGGCCGGTACGAGTCGCCGCCATCGCGGTGTGGTCGTCCCTCGCGACGAGGTATGCCGACCTCGGCCGACGCCATCATTCGTAAAATCTCAGGCGCTGGATGTGGATATGTGATTCACGACCAATACGAGGAGCCGACACCTCGAGTGCTTGCGACGTCTTGGGTCGAAGGTAGGAGTTGGTCAGTTATAGTCTCAGTTGTTCGTCGCAGGTCGCGTGAAGGAAGACAGACGGGGAAAGAAATCTTAATGCACAGGCCACCTCCAGCTTCAGCCACGGCGTGCGCCACAGCACAGATTTGATAACTAATCATCTTTCAGGCGCGTCAACCCACCACGCGCCTTCCCGGCAACCGACAACTCAACCAAACCCCTTGCGGCTGCTTGAAGCTTGCCAACATCGCGAGTCCCCTCCAATCCCACGTCACATCCCCCCTCCCGATTCTCTCTACCAGCATATAAAGATGGTCAGTCAAGCTATTCCCGGTTCTTTCGTGGACATATACTGACTCTATTCTAGTTGGGCAAACTTGTCGGCCTCGCCATGCTCCTGGCCGCCTCCTTTGTCTTCCTCTACTACTCCATCTGGACACTTTTGATGGTATCTACTCCCACCGCCGCCAACCTCACCCATGATGCATGGCATTTCGCTGACCGCACAACAGCCCTTTGTCGACGACGATCACCCGCTACAGAACTTCTTCCCTCCCCGCGTCTGGGCCATTCGCATCCCTGTGATCCTCATTCTCCTCGGGTCCGCCGTAGTTGGCTCCTTCCTTAGCGTCGTCATGATCCGCAGTAACAGGAAGAAGGCGGCCAAGGCCAAGGCGGCCTCAAAGAAGAAGGCGTAAATAAGTTTGGCCGGTGTGCGGCGCAGAACTACAGGTTCTAAAAGGGACGTCAACGTGCTCAGGGAGGAAGACATGCTGCAAATCCCATGTCTGAAGGCAAAATTATCAAATATTCCTGGTAGCTACCAACGAAATCCAAAATTTCAACAAGATCGGATAGCTCGGTTCAAAACACTGCATGTTGCAAGGTGGGTATATGTGTGTCTATCTAACGGGATCCCGGAGGATTCCAGGGTGCTATCTGAAGAATGAGGACTCCCTATAACCAGCTCAAGACGAGGACTAATGACAGACGCCAACATAGTCCCTATTACGACGCAAAACTCTCGCATGAACCAAACGCATTCCAACAACTCCTAGACCGGGAACGTAAAAGCGTTAGATTCCAAAGATTGACAGCAGGCATTGTTCAAACTCTCTGGTCGGCAAAATCCAATACCTCGCAGTCATCTTCAAAAAAGCCATCGCCATCTTGATCTCCATTTCGGGGTCCGCGACGCTTGCGAGTGGTCACAACAATCTGCTCATGGTCACCGTACTGCAGTGTGCGCTCCATGGCGGACGGTGGCAATGCTAGATCGCCCGATTCGCCATCATCGTCCAGTGCCAACCTAGGTCCAATGTGCAGATTGGTCGCCGGAATGTCTTGACCAAAAGCCCATGCGCCGTTCGGTTCGACCACTTGCTGGTGCTGTTGTCGAGGCTTCTTCTTGGAGGGCTTTGCCTCAAGGCTGGTAGCCTCAAGCCCATTCACTAGCGTCTGCTCGTCTATGCCACCGTGAGGGAGGCTGATAAGTTCGCAAACTGTGACACGTCGGTCGGTGTGGAACGGCTGGTAAGGGGCGCTTGACTCAATCTCGGCTTGTGGGATGTAGAAGGCTGGCCCCGGGCAGATAGATGCCTTTTGACGAGCCTGGTTTAGAGTCAAAGTGTTGTTGCCTGCTTCCATGTCCCGATCTGTCATATCAAGAACTTCTTCTTCCGTGCCGGACTCGAGAATTTGTCGCACGGCTGGAGCGATGATGTCGTCGGGTAGCAGAGGTACCTTGAAGTCTTGGATGCGACTCGACCCAGCCCCGCGATGGGTTGACATGCGTTTCTGCTTGGATGGGAAGGTTCGGACCAGCCCATCGCCCAGTGCGAACAGGCTGTGTGACTTGCGCCCTCGCATCCATTCAACACAGGCGGCTGCTGGTGAGATGGAGCTTGGCGGCACTGCAACACGATTTTCTCCGGCATGACGGAAGTGGTTGATAGCCGTTCCCGTCTTGCCTAGGGAATGTGTTATCCCAGCAGCGATCACCCGACCCCCATGGGCAGCTGTGTCCCTGAAGGTCGAGGTAGGATTGATGGCACCGACAGGCGGCGTTGCGACACTACCTCTCCGGGATCGGGCGACAAAGGGCATGGCGGCTGAATAGGCAGCGCCAAAAGCTCCGGTGGCCATTGAGACGGCGGAGTTGTTTGCCTCCTTGGTGCCAGCATCTTTCTCTACATTGGGGACTCTCCGTCGTGGCGGTGGCCACATGTGGGCACTGAAAGGCATCTCGAGCAGGTGGACTGTACCTCGCTCGGTAACCATGGCCAAGCGCTCCCCGTGAGGCTCGGCCCAGGCAACATCTACAACCCGTGCGACTGTCATCCGCGAAAAATGCGCAATCTGTCTGATCAAGGGCCCGTTGCCTTCTTCGGGAGATATCGTCGATTGCAAAGACGAGTATTTCGTGTGCTGGATGCGGAGTAGGTCCCAGACGTTCTGGACATCACCCTTACTGCTCGCAGTGAAGAGGGCCATGGACGAAGGCGAAAAGGACAGAAAGCTGCAGCCTTGCGGGGGAGCAAAACTGGTAATCGGTACTACCGATGCGAATGCTGACATGGAATGCACATCAACAATAGAGACCAGACCGGGCTCTTTTGATGTAGGTCGCACAGGCGTGCCATGAGTTGGAGGGAACAGGCCAGGTGAGCCTTGGGCTGGCAATGTTTGTGCTTGTGGCTGCAGATCGGTTGGCTTGTTCCAATATGTGTTCCATGCTTGCAGCCCTTGTTGACCAACCCACTTTGCCCCTGAAATCAGTTCCTGCGTCGTGTCTCGCATGAGTTTGTTCACGAAACTATCAGAGATCAAATCAACTGATGCCGTAATGAGAGGAACATGCGGCGCCAACAGGTCCTTGAGTCCCGCGGCGCGTCCCAGAATTGGCACCGTGACGTGCGCTTGAAGTGCTGGAGGAGACGAGTCCGAGGTGGCCGGGCAGTAAGCCAGCCACCGTCCGTTGAGTGCAAAGACGGGTGCTGGCGCGCTCGACCTCGCAGATTTGGTTGAAGAAGCCTGTTGCTCATTTTCCTTGGGGATGTCGACTCGAGGGCCGTGCTGCAGAGTTGTCCAGACCTTCCCAACACACGCGAACAAATGGCGGTTTTGGTCAGCGGAGAGTTGGCTGTAGATCCAGCACTCGCCGCTTGTTCCAGAGCAGATTGCAATATTTCCTGCCTCGGCCTTGATCGTGAGTGAGCCTGTTGGAGCAGGTGGCTGAAATGCCGGACTGGTCAAAGCAATAGCGGTGTTGATCGGTACAAGAGGTAGCGTCATGAGTGTCTCGACCAGTTTACTTGTTTTGAGGGAGTAAACCTGCACTGTTGTCCGGTAAGAATCGACCTCGTTCTTGCGCTGAGCACCAGGCGCCACTTCGCTCTTGTCGTCATGGTTGAGCGCGGTTGGTAAGACTGGTCCGTGTACTACAACTGCGATCAGCGGGTAGACGTCCCCCGTTCCATCGGCCGTGGACCATGGGAGAATCTTGGCGTGGACCACGCCGCCGTGAAGTCCTTTCAACCCGCCCAGACAGTCCAGCCCTTTCTTGTTCACAGCATAGACATCCAGGCCACCCTCGTAACCAGCCAAGACAACATGGGGACTTGGTTTGCCATTAGCGGCCACATCTGGCCACCGGTCGAACCCGAAGTAGTACCCACGCTCGCTTGCCTTGATGCCAGAGCGCGGTGTGATTGTCAGGTCAAGGTCAGAGGCACCGTACAAGTGCGCCTGTTGATGCGGTTTTGGAGCAGCCATAGCGCTGAATCGTGGTTGGGACAGTTGAGATTGCAGGGAGCTCCGTCTGAGCGCACCTGGAGAAGCCCTGGGCATGGAACCAGGCGGCTGATAATTCTGCTCCACGTTATAACTCATAGGTCTGCGGAACGTATGTGGAGGCGATGGTGAAGCAGGAGAAGAGCTCACAAAGGCCCTCTGGTCGGGCCATCCAGGTTGTGCGCGGCCTGGGGCGTCTTCATATGAGGACGGCATCGTAGGGGGTGAGTCGCCCATAAAGTTGATCAGATTGCCCGGAGATCCAGCAAAAGCGCCGGAGCGTGCCCACTCGTTTGTCATGCTGGGCGCAGTGCTTGCGGAAACCGAAACGTTGGATATGGCATCCAGCAGAGGCGAGGGTGCGGCTTGGACATTGTCAAGCACGGTTGCTTTGGTGTCGGGTGTATTGATGGGGGGCGTAGATTCGTGCGAGTTGGGTCCGCTCTTGACAGGTAGATTGTTACTGCTGCTGTTGTCGCTGCCACCGCCGTTCCTACTGATGACACCCGTTAGCTGCTGTTAATGATCGGTGTTGAGTCACGCGGAGCGGGCGAGGGACGATCGGGGGACTCACGAGAGCTTGCCAGCCGCTTGATGGGTCACCGCTGCAGCAATACTGCCGCCATGTTCTTTGGCATTCTTTTTATCCTTTTCTGTTCCAAAAGTCAGCTGGACTGTATTCATCTGGGCATGGCTCTTGGGGCACCAGATCTGGAAAGCGCCAGGGTCCAGTTCCCCCCCGGCGACGGATCGACCCTGGCGGGGCAGCACGCGCGCATCATGAGGGGCAGTTGACGTACTAGGCATTCAAAAGGTGTTGTTTGTAGATGCGGACGGAGCAGTCCTGCTGCTCCTGCGCTGCCGCGAAAGGCCCGGGAGGTCGAGACGACACGCAGGAGTGTGATGAGCTATTCGGGCCAACTGGAGGCGGCTGGGGGCGTCGGAGGTGGTTCAGCGTCGGGTGTACGAGGAGAGCGCGTCGCGAGGGGCGGCACGGCCGCGGCAGATGTATCTAAGTTGCCCTTTGATGGTCGGTCTTGCTTGATGAAGACCGGGTCATGAATCGATGCTAGAAAAGAAGAGGCAGACAGCTGTGGATGAACAACAAGGTGCGTGAGATGACACAGCGGAATGGCTGGGCCCAGTCGTATGAAGTCAGGTCAACTGATGGGGCAGCACGCGGCGTTGGTGAGGTGAGGTAAGAGGTAAGGTACGTGCCTGGCCGTGCATTATCGCACGCGTCTCGGTACCTTGCTGGAAGTACCACTACTAGCGCTTGGTCTGCTGATACAAGGTCATGTACGGGGCGGTGGTGCCCCTGCTGAGCTGCCCACCCCCCGCCCGTTGAGACTGGACTAAGCTGGGCTGACAGCCGCCGCTTCCAGCGCCTGGCACCTTGCTGTAGAGCCGGACCACTGATGCCTCTCAGTGACCTTCTTGTCAGCGCCAGTGCCAGCGGTTCTCAATGCGGGGGGTTGGAGGGGGATGAGGGAGGGGGTGCATGAGGCACTAGACCGTTCTGGGCGATCTTAGCGCCATCAATGGCAACAACGTGCGGACAAGATCACCCCAATCCAATTAACCAAGCTTCACGTTCGTACGAAATCAGAGGTGCAGTACTTGCGACATGGAAGAGATACTTAAACTCGACCAGCAACTGGAAGCTTACACTAGTTCACCGGATATCGTCTCTACATGAACGTCTTTGCAAGCCCGTGGTTGACCCATCCAACCAAGATGACATTGGGGTAATTAGAAAGACTAAAGCGGCGAGCGCTCAACTCCAAGAAAGGAAAGCGAGGCACTTGACGTCCGTTCTGAGGGCGGTTTTACCCGCCTGATGGATGAGTTGACGAATCTATCTGCCTATCGACAGATTCGCAGGTAGATAAGGTGATAACGCAAGGTACCATCGTCGTGGCGACTATCGATCAGCGGTAGAAGGATACTTACATAGCCTCATCGCTACCGTTAATCATGACCAGCAGCAGAATCGCTTTGAACTCAAACGTGTCAGTTCATCTGGTCGTCAGAGCCCTTTGAAGGTTGCCTATATGACCAGCATGCATCGGGTGTCACTCACTATACGGGGTGCTCACTGCCCACAGCCGCAGCCGCGTCTCGAGATCGCATCATCCACCCCACGTTCCAAGCTGGCAGGTCACCACGGGAATGCGACGCCTGGAAGCTGACGTTCCTCTCCCTTGCGCTGGCAAGACCCTGTCATACCTATGAATGCAGTCCACACTTATCACGCTCCGGCTGATGCTGACCGGCCGGCGACAGGCCTGACGTAGGCCACGCCCATCGTTGGTGAGCAAGCCCCCTCCCCGTGATGCTGGTCATGTGCACCACACACACCTACCTCATCATCAAATCGAGTTTGCCGTGTACCACTCATCACTTGGTTTGCGCGTTCGGCTCAATGATGTCACACGGAGAAATCGACCGTTGTGTCGGGTCGACATGAAGTGCATAGTATAGCATGTTGTACAAGGTGAGTTCTTCGTCGAGCCACGATACGTACCGTAATCATACCTAGTCGCACTTTTAGGGAAGGGTCCCGGATTCGACCACGAATCTGGTCATAGAAGCGGCTTTAAACAGATACCCTTCAATTTGCTCAGTACTACCCATCGGATCATACATTGCAGCAATGGTACCAGTGCAAATCGACACGTCGAGCTGTTGTAGATATGTGTTGCGACAAGACAACTTGCCAGATCAAGAAGAGACGGAACCAAAGGGAGGTCACAATGAAATCTGACAGGTTTGGTCCAAGCCCAGCGTTTGAATTACTAGAGATCCTTGGGGGAGGTCTCATTTTCCTGATAGATCTCACACCGTGCTTGCCTTGAGCCGATGCATTCTCTAGGCAGGGATGATACTTCGGCGACATCGTGGAGGGCCTTCAACTTGGTGCCCCGGATGAGCTCTTATCTCTTCACCCCTCTGGCGCTCACCTCGCCCTTTTCGCCAATGTTTAACATCTTCCGGCAGTCTGGACAGTACCACTTCGTCGTCCTCTTGGGTATATCCTCCTCTGTCAAGCCGACACATTCGAGATGGAACCATTCGTACCTGCAACTCTATAAAGCCGTCAGCTCTGTATATCGTGCCTTGCCTGGGACTTCTGAATCTCATTGGTATTTTGCAACTTACATCGTTATCGCACTGGATCATCTCGCCAAAACTTACGCGGTTGCACAGGCAATAGCGAGGCTCCTCGGGGTCAATCGGGGTGCCCTCGTCATCAACCTCTTCCCAAAACTCCACCTCGGCCGCCGTATCGCCCTTCTTCTTGGTGGTGCGGATCTTCTTCTTCTTGGGCGCGGCCTTTCGCCTGCCAACCGCGGCGCTGCCTCCGCTGCTGTTGGTACTAACAATACCAGGCGCAGGCCGCTTCGCGCGTCGGCTTGGGGGGTGCGCTTCGGGCGCTGGCGTGTTGTGCGCGGTGCTAGCGCGACGAGGACGCTCAGCTGCGAGTGTAGGTTGCGGTTCTTGACTCAGAGCCTTGCCTCGCGAGCTTGGTCGACGCGTCGTAGCAGGTTCCACCCCCGGCGGAGGTGTTGTTGTCTCTGATTCCGTGGCGGAAGCATTCTGGGCGCGCGCGGACGATCGACTAGGCAGCTCGCGCACTGGTTGGACAGCAGGTGCTTCCTCCCTCTCGCTGTTGCGCTTCGCTGCCTCGCCACGAGTCTCCCGCTTGGTCGCATCTCGTGATGGAGCCTCTCGTGAAGGTGCAGCGGGCGTCACGGCAGATCGGCGCCTATCAGAAGACCTTGGCAACGGAACAGGCGTCTCCTTCCCTGGGGCCTTGGCTGCTGCTGCTGCTGCCGCCGCCGCAGATGCTGCTCTTGTCTGGTTGGTCGTGGAAACAATGCTGGGGGTCGGTGACTGCTGCGCACGAGCACTCTTCGAGCTTCCTGATGCTTTCAACGGGACAGGGATAGGAACCGGTGTCTCTGTAAAGCCCCCTCCGGTGCTAGATGCTGGCGTGGGATGCCGCCTGGTAGCTGTGGTTTCTCTTGTCACTGATGCCGGGGGCAGTCGCCCGATCTGAGGCGGAGGAACTGGTGTCTCTGTCTTGGTACGCTTGACGAGAGGCCTAGCTGATGGGGTTTCGTCTCCTTCGGCAGCCTCGCTAGTCGCATCGGCCTCAGCCTCCCTCTTGCGCTTGTTGACAGGCCTAGCAGCAGATTGAGATTGCGCTTTGCTCAACGCCCTGCCAGCGTCTCTGTTGGATGGCGTGTCTTGCGAGCTGCCCAAGAGCAACTGCGCCGTTGCCGTCATACTGCGAGCTGTCTCCTCTGCTTCCTCCGCGGCAAGTTTTGCGAGAGCCTCTCGCTTCAGTCTCTTGGCCTCGTTGAGCTTCATGCCGCGGTTGCTGGTAGGGACCTCTTCGGCAGCAAGCGAGTCGGCACTGATAGCACCCGCAGGCAACTGCTGGCCCGTTGATCCGTCCTGGGTAGGTAGTGGCGTAGGTATTGTGGGATCGAAGGGCTTGCCCTCCTCTTCGGCCTTCCTCTTGGCCTCTCTGTACTCTTCGGGGCCCCTCCCGAGAGCACTCAACTCCCGAGCAACCATTGTCTCGCTTGGTGTCCACGTCGCGTTCTTCTTCATGCGCTTGCGGAGTTTGGCCAGTTCAAAGTCCGTCAACTGCAGCCAGGGAGCGTCGGCACTGCCCACCACGGCATTTGGAGGTGGTGGGTTCTGCAGGGCAGCCTCATGCGCCTGAAGCTCGGCAGATGTTGGTGCTACCGTCCGCGGTGTGGCCCGCGGAGGTCGGCTGCCGGTTTTCGGTGTCTTTTTCTCAGTAGCTGTGACGAGCTTGATCCGTGAGACGGGCGCTGGCGTCCTCCGCGTGCTTCCTACGACAGCGTCGTCCTCCTCCTCAGAGCTCTCCGCACTGCCATCCGTGGCGGTATCGTATTCAATGTCATACGGTGCTAGGACCTGGCCCGGCACAGTGATCTTGGGGATCTTTGGCTTCCGTCTCTGCCCTTCCTCGCCAGGCACTTTGGCAGCGCCCTTGTTCCGTGTCGCTTGTGGAGAGCGTGACATGACCGGACTCTTGGGAATGTCAGCTTCGGCAGGGTAGTTGTCCATTATGGTCTGTAGCTTGGCGAGCAAGGCCTTGGCTTTGTTGTAGTGTCGATCAACGTGCTCGGACATCCTCACAGCCTCAGCGTGAGCGATGGTTCGCGAGCTGAGCGCTTGGTTAAGCTGCTCTGATATGTCGGCCCGAAGCTTGACTGGTGACGGTCGCTCGTTGACGGGAATCGTCGGTAGCTGTCCCCATCTCTTCGTCAGGTCGTGGATCTCGTGCGACGCGTCTATGTATCTCTGGTCCAGCTGCCCAATCAATGTGAGAGAGCGCGTCATGTCGGACGGCAGGTACTCGGTGAAGTCGAGGAAGTCGGTAACAGTGGTATGCGCATCAGGGTCGGCGCGGGTTTCGCTGTCTTCGCTCTGGTCGCCTTGCGCTTCATCTCGCCCTTGAGGCTGTGAATCCAGGTCTGGCGCATCATGTATTAGGGTGTCACCACCTGGATTCGTTTGTGCAGCCATAGTTCGAGCTGGAGGCGCGATGCGCGATGTCGTCGCAATGTCGACTTTCAGGGCGAACTGTTGATTGCGCTATCTCGCAGCCATCGACATCAACCAGCCATCAAAAGATGTGTCCGAGGGTCCGATACCAGATGCTGCCAGGCGTTCCGTGAATTACGACTGTGATAACTGCGCTCACGGGCATTTAGGACCATGAATCGCGTCGTCGCAAGTTACTGTTGCTTCATCGACGTCGCGGTGGGCCCGAGTCTCAGGGACGCGACACTGACGGTGCGCCACAGTGTGGCGCATAGACTCGTGGCTCAACTCCTACAAAGGGCCAAGGGGCCAAGTGAGAATCCGTCCAACTTTCTCTCGGCTCTCGACTCCTTGAGGCACCCTACGACGAATTCTAACCTACGGATATGCTAATGTTCTGATTTTCGTGCAAGTTTTGCAGTGTTCTTTCTGGTCTACTCAATGGTTCGCAGCCAAGCGATAGCTTGTGCGGGCTTTAGAGCATCGCTATCGACACGCAAACGCATGTCTCGTCCATCCATCAACCCAGCATTTGCTCCCGACAGCACTAGACCACACAGCCCAGAGCTGCCGCTACTGTCGGCACATTTTTTTCTGCTCAAGCCCAGATGCCTGCTCTTCCGCCTGGCAGGTGCGGCCTGCTGAACACTGATGCACTGTATGTCATGCGTCTAGACGTCAGCAAGGCTCAGACGATCTACTCAGGGCTGAACACACCCCGGACAACGACCATTGGCATTGTGATAGATCAGCTGACCCACACACCTTACTTGTACAGTCACCATGAACTTGTCAGGCTTCAAGAACGTATGGTCGTGTGTATTACTTTATTCGATGGTGCTTTGACACCTGAAGTTCTGAAGGATTTGGCACACAGGGGCGTATATACACGTACACTAATCGCAAACACAGTCGGCTTCAATAGTCCCAGTCGGCTTCCTGTTCGCGTTGCATTTTCGCGCCAGCTACGTCCTCCTTCTCCTCGACAGTGTAGCTGGACTCGGGCCCAATGAGAGTCAGCGAGCCGAACACTAATAAGTTCTTGCATCTCCTGTGGCTCACGTTAGCACTCAACGCTATGGGTGCGAGTGTGGCCACTCACAGCTGGCCATTGATTGTCAGATTGCCGTATATTTCAAGATCAGTGCCCTCGAGGGTCCCGACTATCTTGAGCTTCCCAAAGCCCTTGATCTTTTCCCTGAGTTTGGGGTGAGCAAGAATCGTTCGTCAAAGGGGTTCATCCTCACTGTGCTACGAGATACCCAGTGACCGCGATATTCCCATATGCCTTGATTCTCCCCCTGGGTGCGTTCAGCGTCATCGGTAAGGGCAGCCACTCATGGAAACCACTTACTCCGTGCTCACGCTTCCATCCATCGTGATGGCGCCATATGCGTCAATCTTGTCTCGAACGATAAAATCCCCACGAAAGGTGATGCTGCCCCCTGATTTGATGGATCCTGCCACCTCAAGAGGTCCTTGTAGTTCGAGCTCCGTCTCGCTCTTGATGCTTTTGGACTTTTGAAAGACTGCCTGGGAACTCGAACCCGTCGAGCTGGGTGTGTGGTATTGGGTACTCATGGCTGCTCTGTGACCACTCGCAGCGCTGTGTGCGGCAGAGCACGTCGTCTTACTGGACCTGGCGGGTGTTGACGGTGTGTTCTGGTGGTATAGTGCAAATGGCGCATGGGGATTATCTGGCACGATCGCTACTTGACAGATGCTTCCCATCTTATACGTACGCCGCCAGTTGAGATCGATGTATCCGCGTCAGAGTCTTCCCCAATGGGGAGGCGTATCGGTTCCGTGAACAGCTGGGTCGTTATGCCCGGTTGACACGAGGTGCACGGGAGGCAGTTGGTTGCAGACCAATGCGAATGGCTTGAGATTTGCAGGTTGGTGTGGTAAATGTGCGCAATGGTAGGTTACCAGGCTACCACGGCACCAATTCCCTCTGACGTTGTCACCCGCTGCGCACCGCAGTGAAAAGGTCGAATCGGGTTGTCCGTCGTGACTCGTGAGGCTTAAGAGCCGAGCAACTGCAGATTGGGCGGGCTGCAGGTGAGAAAACAAATTAAGTGTAGCTGGGGGACTTGATATTTCTCCAACAGGTGGGCGGTTGAGAGGGGAAAACCATCAACTGGGGGGATCTCAACAAGTGCTCCGTGGCTCCAGTCCCTAGGCCTGGGAAGCATCGTCACTTCATGTTCGGCGCGCAGCGGGACATGACAGCGGCTGGGATCGCGACGGGGGGAGCAATGGACAGGGATATATGGATGGCTACAAGCCGGGCGGGGACCCTGCAGTGTATCCTGTCATGTAAGACCTGCTCGAATTGGTCAAGCAAGCTTGTGCGTCGTGTCAAATCGGCAGAGAGGATATGGGCCCGGCTTCCATGTGTTCTATCTCGATCCAACTCTCCAGTCTCTCGGCGGGGTTTGTAAACCACAATCTGCCTGCGTACTACGTACAATTACTATAACGAAAAGAGTCCAAGGCTAAGGATGATCAGGGAGACGGGCAATCACTCAATTGTAAGTTCGGGCAGGTCTGAAAATCCACCGAAGATTGGAGTCAGAAAGTGACAAAGTGAGCGATCCTAAAAAATGAGTGGGTGACGGTCCACGACTACACGGAAACCCCAAGCACACGGGACAGAGACTAGCAGTGTGACAGTGTCAGGGTCAAGGGGCCTAAATTACCTGGCAGATAGCCAATAATATCTATCAACTTTTTTCTTATTACATTACTCAAGTGCTACGGATACGATCTACGGAATGTGGCGACTAGGGCCTACGGCGATAGACCAGCAGGATTTGACACGAGGTAATACGCGAGCATCCCACGCAGAACAGTCCAACAATCTGCAATACACAGTGGGCCTGCCTGTCATGCAGACAACCGCGCAGCACTAAATCATTAGCCTGACTGACGATCCATTCATTCTTTACCACGCTAAAAAGCGCAAGTTGTCACGCTTAGGTTATGTGGTTGCTCGATGTGCTTATCAACAAGTGACAGTCCAGTCTAGTCGCGCCTCTCACCGCCCTGGTCTTAGTTGCTGTATCAACGAATCATTCAGATACCTATGAATGATATGTGTCGCATTACCACGCACGTTAGTCAATGTTTAGTATCCATAGGCATATCCACATGCATGTTCGTCAGCAAGACACATGTGCACTTCGTACTTCGTTCATCCAGGCGCACTGCAGTACTGTGTCTGCAGCTCCTGTAGCTAGCGGATATTTGCTCCTCGTTTCACAAACCTCGCAGCTCGCAGAAACCGACTACGAAAAACTGTAGATGCAGACGTCATGCTCCTGTCACCGATCCAAATCACAGCCTGCACTGTAAGGACTGGAGGTGGCAAACGCACCCGCCGTATGTACATTGCAGCGTGTCCTATGTAGTCCTAGTAACAATGACAACTCTCTGCCACGATCTTCCCTCGCACATGGATCTGGGTGCCCTCCAGGCACTAGGGAATTTAAAAGCAATAGCTTACAGAAAGATCGCCACTTTCATGTTGTATTACACAGCAATCAAAAGGGTATTAGGATATGCACAACATTCTCCGCGACTAGGCGCAGCAACCTTGCCAACTAGCCTAGATGGAAACCACCAACACACAGCGCCACTCGCACAAACGTGCGAGTATTGTCAAGTCTCAGCCGGTGCTACCGTTTTCCTGTCCACGGATGCTCCCCTCCTCCTGTACCATCGCGGGGTTCCACTGGCCGTATCCGAAAGTACGCTCTACGGAACACACAAGACCAGGTGGGTTTGAACATCTTTTCACTCTCGCCTCAAAGCTCACGCGCATCTGGGCGGGCTTACTCTGATCCAACGTACGCGAGACCCAGGCCTGAAGTCAGGACAGCGCTCACCCAGACGGCTGCATAGGTAGCAGCGCCTGTCGATGCGATGCCGTACACAGTCATCGTGCAGGCCAGGTAGGTGTTGAAGGCCGTCACGAACGCGGCCGTTGCGGTGCGGCGGACAATCACCTTGGTCTTGGCTGTGTAGCCAGCAATGTTCCACTCAACGGTTTCGCGCAGCGTCGCCGTGGCGGGGTCAAACTCGCCAATCTTCTCGTCATCCTTGACCTTGTCGGTGGTGGCGAATGGCGGGTAGATAAAGTTGCTGGCCGCTGCGCCAAAGGCAAGTGCGACCGGCAGAAGGGCAGCATAGGACGCAGAGTAGGCTGGCTCGAGAGTTGGGAGACCGGAAAAGTAGATGACGAGGATGCGTGGAAGCAGAAGACGAAGCGACAGCACAATGGTGACGGCGTAGATTCCAGTTGACAGGGCTGTCGTGTAGGCCTGGAGACCAAAACCAACAAGCTCGCGGTTGTGAAGCTTGGATGATCGGGAATGAACAGCCGACAGAGGTCGTAGAAGATAGAAGGGCACGGCGGCGGAGGTGATGTCGACCAAGAGCGAGATCATGCCAGTCGAAGGGCTTAGGCCGTAGAAAGCTGTCAAGAGATACAGCTACAGTCGTTAGCTGGATTCCAGCATAATACAGCCCGTGTACTCACAGAAGGCCCGTGCGACAAGAGGTCCATCGCCGCAACATCGATGCTGTCCATGTTCCCAAACCAGCCTAGACCCAGCTCGATGCTACCCAGCCAGTTAGCCATTGCGCTGCACCCGCGCGCGACGCCACGACTTACAGTCTCCAGCCGGCCAAGATTCCGACCTCGCCCCAAGTATCCTGGCTCCGGCTCACGCTCGCCAGTTCTCCTTTGGTATACTCCCCCAACAAACTGTAGCCTGTGCTTGCGAGCGCGAAGCTCAACGTTGCAGCAAGCGGAAATTGCGCGTATGCGGGAAGCTTTGGCCTCCGGATCGTCATATCAGGGTATGGGTCGCGAAACTCTCCTCCAGACACCACGGCATCTTTGACGTCCTCCTCAGCCTTCACAACCTTCTCGGTCGCGTTGCTGGCGGCGTCGAGGACAACGTCCTTGGCCGCTTCGGCTTTCGCGCCGGCGGCGGCACGTCGCGGAGGCATGTTGTTGTGATCGGACTTGGCTGGAGTTCTTTCGGGTGGGATTCGGAAAGAATCGCAACAGAATGAGACGTTGGAAAGTGGGATGAACGGTCCTTGGTGTGGTCGCGCGCAAGCAGGTGAAAAGCTGTAGCAATAGGATTTCGGAGGACAGAAGATCAGTGGGGGGGTCGTTGACAGTGGACTCGTGGGCGCGGTGACGTCTGATGCCCCGTCGGCTCGGCAACGACTGGGGGCAGACACGGCAGATTAAGCAATGCCTTAAGTACTCCCGAAACTACTACCTTTCCACCGTGATGGATTACCGATTGTCGACTCACAAGTATACAAGAAGGTGTCTGCATGCAGTAGTCACTGACGTGGTACAGCCACGTTGGTCAAACGAGAAGATTCACTAGCGTCTCGACCCAAACTATGGCAACGGGCACGCCACATCTTTCACCAAACCTCAAGGTCGCATAGTAAGGTACGTTATTCATAATGTATTTGTAATATTGCTTCATCTCTGGTGAGAGGAAGATATGATATTCGTGGCCGCTACCGGACCATGAAGGCCTATCCAAGACTAACAATTTACAGCACAGCGCTAAGAGACGTACTTCTCCTCAACGACCCCAGCATCACCATAAACAACATGCGCCCGATTCCCGATTGACGCCGATCATGCCTGTCGTGTTCGAATGAAGCGTATACCCAGTGAGGTTGCCTTGACGACTACCCAAATAATCCCATAGTGATGCGCCGATTGCTATATTATTCCTCCATCGACCCAAAAACGCCATCATCCTCGTCGTCGCTGTGTGTTCGGGCTGGCGGATCGAACTCGTCGTCGTCAATGCCAGACTCGACATCACCACCCATCTTGACATCTTCACTGCCTCGCCTGAAGTCTCCGCGAGTGAAGCTCTCGGGGGCTCGGCTAGGGAAGCTGCTCATGCCAAACACACCGTTGCTGTTGAACGAGGTTGCTTGCCCAAGGTACTGCTCAGGGATACGTGGCACCGCGGGCGCATCAGTGAGAACCACACGGCCATTGCCGGCGACCCCGTTGCTGCTGCCGACACTGCAGCCCACCAACGCCTGCGCAAGGTCCCTGTCCTCTTGGTTCGTGTTGCCAACGCCTGCGGAGGGTGGGCGCGCATCACTAGGCTTGCGAGCATGGCTAAAAGCCATGCCATCGCCGTACAATGGAGTTGACTGGTAGCTGCGAGAGAACGTGCTAGAGCTGCGATAAACCCGAGGAATTGAGTAGCCGCCCTCCACCGCGGGCGGTGGAGTGCTATCCACCGAGCTGTATCTCTCCGCCGGTTCCGAGTATTCAACCGATGCCGCTGGCGATGCCGATTCAGGTTCGCTATTGTTATCCTGGGTGGATTCGGGTGGCGTGTCAGGCTTGTTGTCACGAGGCTTCTCGTTCATGCCAATCAGCACGGAGGCTGCTTCAAGCAGCTGAACCTGTTGGTGCTTCGAAATCTGATACTTCGAGGTCACGTTCCACTCGGGAGTGTGTTCCCACCTATCCAGTGAAGTCAACAATTCTGTTCTAGAAGATGTCTTCATCCCACACTGGCTAGGAGCTTGGGCGCCACAAGACGCGGGTCAGGAATCGGGCGGGGGGGAAGGGTCACCCACAGGTGTTTCGTCAGGCAGCTGTGATGCTTGTACGCCTTGCCGCACTGCTGGCAGTTCAACTCAACCTTGACGGACTTCTTGGAAGACTGCCCTTCTGAGGCCCGCCTGGCTTTGGCCTTGGTGCCCTTGCCAGCGGCGGCGTCATCCGCAGACACGTCATTGCCGTCGTCGATAGCGCTGCCTCCCAGTGCGGCTGCAACGTTTCCAACGTTTCGGCCAGAATGCGGCATGCTTGCGGGAGGTGTCGGGGGGCTTAGTCGTGACAGAGTGTTCCTCCTCCCCGCGATGGGCCATGCCGCGGACCGCTCGCCTTCGAAGACAGCGGTCACAGCCGCGAGATTCGCGTTCCCAGTATTAACAGACTTGCGACGTGCGACTCGGTTACGGTCGTTCGATGCACCCAGGATCGTGTGGGATGTTTGAGAACCGGTCCGCCCATGGCCTTGTCGTGAAGGAGTAGTCGCCGAGAGATTCGACAAAGGTGACCGGTGGGTCAGTGGCCGAGCAGGTGTCATATCCTGAGGAAAGATGTATGTTAGTCTCACGAATAGCCACACATGGACGATAATAAGGATACGGTGGAAGCAGCGAGGAACGGTTATTCGTTGGTAATGCTTCATGGCGGAAAAATGTCCGAAATTCTTCTTTTGCAACAGGGTTCCAGATAGACTCTCCGCTTGCAATGTTTCTACCTCTTCCGAGAAACGTGAACAATGCTTGGAAATTGTACGTTGCGATAGTAGGAAGAGGCCATCAAGGTTGATCGCTTGCGATTATCCATAACATCGCACGTACCTTGGAGCTGGCCATCACGGCTGCGATATGAAGCGTCAAAACTCTCTTTGGTATTTGTTTGTTTTCTTCTCAAGCCTAGTGGCCCAGATCACACAAAGTATGCGGTGCCTGGTTGGCAGAAGCTTGTGAAGATCGCGTCGGCCGTGGGGGACAGACAGGCTGGTGCTAGTGTCGTTGTAGAGGAGCTTACCCGTAAGGATGGACCGTTGCGAGCAGAGCAATGTGCGAATTGTTCGATGACCAAGATGCGTGGTAAAAATACTGGAAGAGTGAAGCAAACCACAGGAACGCGAGAAATAATATTTTGGAGTGAGGAGTGCTCGGGAAGGACAGACCCAAGGTGAAGGAGGGCGTGTGTGTGTGCCTACGGTTGGGAAGGTACCTGCTTGCGACGCTGCGGTAGGCCTGGTCTAGGTAGGCTGTTGCTCCTCGCTGCGGGGGGTGGTGGGGGGCGTGTGTAACAATCCATAGTTGGGTGAATTCTGGGGGGGTGTTCTGAGTAGCTGGGAGTGGACCGCCTGCCTGCCCTACCTCAGGTGAAGAAGACTGGACTGTGAGGCACCGAGTACGTACGTGATTCACTGTGATAACGAATTTCTAAGCGTCTGCTCAATTTCATATTTAAGCACTCCAATCGTCTGGGCGATGTACCAGAGTCGCAAACCGATTGCGTGTGTCGTCCAGACAGGCGAAACACCGTGGACTCCCTGGCATCCGTACTGGCTCCCGATGGCAGTCCGCGCCGCAACTGAGTGATGCATCGCAGTGTGGCTAGGGTGAGAGAGGCGCATGCCCCTCCCTCACCGGTACTGCACAAGTAATAGAGGGTGGTAGTTGCGACGACGAACGTCTGGTCTATTGGATTGTCCCAATCCAATGGGAGTGCTTTCCGCGAGAACAAAACCCCGTCTATGTCTTTGAAGATTGATTACCGACCGCCGCCCACATCGAAATACCGGTAGACTGCGAGATGCTGGCCATGATAATGATAATGATCCCAAGCTCATCCTCGGTGCAGAGGGAGTTAGTGGTGGGGTAGTCGCAGATGAACTAATGGTCAGCTGGTCAGCCCCCGGTCGATCAGCAGGTCGAACTTCGACTGGGGACTGGAGCGTGTGTTGAGAACGTGGGTGCCTTGAGGCCTCTGGAGCAAGAATAGCACCAAGGGGAGGGGTGAATGCAGTTAGTATTTGATGGAATGCTTGTTGGAGGCTGAGCCTGCGATGATTATATTATCATTACCAAGGAACCGACACGACCTGATTCCGCTTCGGAGCAGCTGACCTGGTCGCGTACGTAGCTTGCTACGACCGCACATATGATTATATGCACGTACTTGAGATCACAAAGCTGGATCATGAAAGTTGTGGACCGCAATGCCTTGTTCGATGCATGGCGAGGCTTCTTGTGCTCGAAGTATGGGTCCTCTGGACTTATAATTGAAGGTTCAACAGTCAACTGTTCGGTTCAGTGGAAGTGCCTCTCACGCTTTCAACACGTCGACAATAAATCTCGGTCGGACAGGTTTACAATGCCCTGTCACAAGCATTATGATATGATAGCATCTCACGTGGTACGTCCTTTCCTCGGTAGACCGTACCTAGCTTTGCGCCCCTCGTGGTCCGCTGAGTAGAAGAGAGGGATTGCCGGTTGCTGGACACTTTTTTTTTCTCCTAGAGTTTGGTCGGGGAACTGCAGCAAAAGGAGGGTCCCCGAGAGAAGTACAAGTCTTGCTGAATGAAAATGCGGAGGCCCTGGGGAAGGTATTGTACATCATCTATAGCGCATCCAAACCAGGATAACCAATTCATACGGCAAATCGATGCGGTCCTATTTGCTGTCGAGAACCGTAGATACGGAAGCGACACTGGGCGCATGTTCGCAGTGGACGGACGACTCGCATCGATGATCATGCGGCTGGTTCCTGTGCCTGGCAGCAGCTTGGTATGCAAGGCGACCAATGGTTGGAGATGGCTTCATGCCCTCATTCTCATTGCCCTAACCTAACCCCAACCCTAAGGTTCCCCAGAAAGAGGAGGGCGGCGATGCGCCGGGCAGATCGATTGACTGCAGAGACGCCCAGGTCAGGGCATCGAACATTAAGCAGTGTTATCGGCGGGCGGTCCTGTCCAGCGCACTCCACTGCCCGCCGCCTTCTTCTGGTGGATTCCATCCTGCGCTCACCCCCCCGATAGCCAGTCGCGGTGAACAAGGAGCGAATTCGTGGTGAACGCCCGCGATTGGCGACGAGATGGAGCCAACTTGGAAAACACGACGATGACGATGGAGATGGGCATGTAAGTGATGATGGCATTGTCCAAAATTCCATCACAGAGTTTCTTGATTTGGGCCTCACCGACTCGCCAATAACTAGCTTTTGCAGTGATGGGTCCAGAAAATCATTTTATGTTTTTTGGCCTCGTACACTGCGACACATAATGCCTTCAGTGATTAATACACTTCTCGACGTTGAACTTGCGAATCACGTACCGGTACGCAAAGCACGAGGCATTGATGGACAATGACGTGGGCGCGCCTCGGTGGAGTCGGTCGCCTGATTGCCTGTCCTGATGCTGTCCTAGGTAGCCGGACCGTCTGATATGTACAGTCGACTGACATTTGTGCATACGTACGGTCGAGTCGCGTGCGTAATCAATACGTATCTGTTGCAGCATATTGAAACCTAATATTAGTGGTGTTCCTGGGCAAAGGAAACGGTGCCTTGCGTTATCGCGTCAGGGACTGCGGCGCTTTTCCAATCGCCAGCCCACGTCTGAATCGATTACAGAAAGCCAGTGGAACAAGTACCTCCTGGGTGTAGGTTTATCAGGACGATACGGCGCTATGCAGCAAAACTGGAGCGTGGCCCCGGCTTCGCTTCCTTTCGGGCTTTCCCCTCTTTAACTTCTCAGCTGGGCAGCTGGGCGACAGCGTGGGATCGCTATAATCATGGACAAACAAGTGTGGCTGTGAGGGGAGAACAGTCTCGAACTAGACACCTGCAAGACATCGATCTCCGAGGCATCACGGCTCTCAGCGAAATTACCAGCGTCCATCGCGTACGCTACGCAAAGTGACTATACTCCTAGCACTTGATGCACTCGTCCGAGTTCGGGTCATGGGCAGTGGAGGCCAACCCACAAGCCCACTGTAAGCGGGCAGCTATTGAAATGACCGCGTAGGCTGATCCCCCGCGATCATGTGAAGCTTCACGTGTCGGCCGCATCGACAGATGAGTAACGAGCAATCCCCTCTGTGGCTGGCTCGACAATTGGGGACGGAGCTGGCGGTTGCCGACGGTTAAAGCCAGCTTTGGCTCAATCGTTCCTCGCATTGCCCACAACTGCAACGTTGTGGACGGACGGCGAAGCCCAACTGTGCGTCTGCCGTCCGGTGCCTTTTTAATCAATTTACCGAAACGGCAAGGAGGGGGAGCGGAGGGTCTGGATGATTCGCTGGGTTGCGCTTGGCGACGGTCTGGTTCCGTGTCGCCAATGAAGATGAGTGGCGGCAATGTGCGGAGGATTCTCGTCATGCCAGAGTGTCGACCATGGGCTTGCACTGTCATTAGGCTCCCGAAAGGGATGCAGTACCCTTGAATTAAGCCTCTTGGAGATCTTAAGGGTCCTGCTGCGAAGGCAGACATTGCCATGCTTAACTCAAGAAGGTTGTGGTCGAGTAAGTTAAGAAACACGGCACTTGTGCCTGACTACCAGGACAGCAGCCACGTTGAACATGTCTGCTTCCTTGCGTCCCCTTTCGCCCAGATTAGGTAGGAGTATGCTGATCAGAGCATCGAGGCTTGGAGGCCATGTCCACAGTCCGTCTAGGGACCGAGTCCCCCGGGGGGGCCGTGCGTTGTGAGCGAGTTGCGCAGTGTTCGGTTCCGAGGGCAGTCGTTGCAGAAGTGTGGTTGATTTGCCAGCAAGATGGATGAAAGCGAGGAACTAATTATTGCCGTGGGTAATTGTCATTGAAAGCCCACCTCGCGGGGACCGGTCCCAAAACTTACACAGCCATGACTGTGAGGGTCTGTGGCTCCGCCATGCCTTCTCCGCGATCCGTTTGACTAGCGAATGACCCGCATCGGCAGAGCGGGAAGGACGTCTTGGCAGGTTCCGCCTGCTGGGCGCTGGGTTGAGAGAAGTAAGTCCAATGCAAATCATCAGTCAGGGGAAGGACAGAAATTCTTCATCAAGCCCATCAGTAGAAAAGGGGGCGCGGACAATTCTTGTTCGAGTCGCGCTGTCTCGAGCATTCAGGAGCGGCAGGCATTGTCCAATAGAGTCATGGACAGCCCGACGGCGCACTTTGTGGCTTGACTCTTGGTGGGGGCCGGAGGGGTGTTGAAGCAGTGAGGATGAATCTCGATGACAAGAAGTGGTCTGTGTGTCTCTGAGGACAGATGGCGGGCTTTGAGAGGATGGAACTTTGAAGGGCGGGATAATGGACCAGGAACCTGAATTGGTGCCCTGTGCCTAACTTGTAACTGGCGTTGGGAAGCACCAATTATTGACACAAACATCACTGCGACTCCCAGACATCACCAAGGGCAGTTTTGTTGTTGTCAGTGTTCCGGGTCGCAAAGAGCAGTTAGCAGGCTTTATTGTCACGTGATGGCCACGACTGATTAGTCTCACGGCGCAGTCGCCTGCCGGCGTCGGAGCGCATCTGGCATCATCATCATGACTGGGCCAGACATAGAAAAACGTCAGCTTTGAGTGAACATGTCGTGTTTACATGTAGAAAGTGCGTATTGCTTGAGATGTGGGTTTCTGTTGATTATTGAACGTTTGTATCTGTACTTTGCGGAGAAAAGGCCGATTGCGAAGTTGAACATCGTTGCAGATCATTCGGCATTACAATCTACTGTGATCAGATTCCCGTTTTTAGACCCAGCAAGCCAGAGAGCCCTGGTCGTCGATCACAGGTATTACTCCTGCAAGATGAATTGGAGTGTCGGCTGAATACCACTGCTGGTCGACGAGGAGGGTATCGTGGTCGTCGATCATTGACTGGCATGCCACGGGCCCTAGGGTAGGCTTCTGACCACATTTGTACTGACGATAACTACCGCTGTCTCCCTTGCCCAGAAACACTTGCTTAAGGCTTGGTCATTGACAGGGTACGTGCCCGGTGTTAGTTGTTATCGCCCAGATAAACTATTGATAAGGGCTCAGATAGCATCACGCGATGGAATTCCTAATGATGTTTGGCACTACGGGCTAACCCCCACTATCGAGTGTGACGTCAAGTCAAGGGTCTAGCCTGCCTGGTCCTATCAGTGGATGTCGGCAGCTCCCAGCTCCCAGCCCCCAGCCCAAGATACCAAATAGTACGAATAACACCTCACGAGCTATCTTCAGCAAAACATTCGACCTAGTTACTCATCCAAACCTGTGACTCTTGACCTCAAGGCGATTTATCATAACTAGGCCGTTGCCCCAGCTAGTTGAACGCGCGATCTTCGTTCCATAGCGAAGGCCACCATGTCCCAAGACAGACTACGGAAAGTCGGACGCGGTGGAGCCGGGAATTTCTACTCTGCGCCGTCTAAGGAGGCGGAAGCTGTATAAGCCCCGAGTACCCCGAAAACTAAGAGTACATGAGCTTACGAGCGTTGATCCGCTCAGGATCTCGAGGCACAGACCGCCGCAGACACCGGCACCGCCCCCTCCTCGACCGTACCGTCCGCTGCCCGCGCCGGGCGCGGCGGAGCCGGAAACTTTATCAACTCCCAAGACGCGCAAGCCAACGAGGCGGATTTGGCGGCCTCGACAATGGAGGCGGTAAGGCGGGAACCATCTGCGTCGTGCACTGGGGGCTACTCAGGCCGGGGCGGCGCTGGAAATTGGAAGGCCAAAAATGAGGCCGACGGCGAGGAACGTGACGGCGAGGGCAATCACGACATTGAGCACAAGGTGAAAGAGGCTGTCGACCATGGGTTGAAGATGCCCGAAAAGGTGCATCATGCCCTCGAGAAGAGCAAGGATCATTGAGTGGCTGCGTCTGATACCCCCAAATCATTGCAATCATAAGCCTGATGGCGCCTGTGGTATCTTACATGTATCGTGCGCCTGGCCAATTTGCCGCTGGGATTGCATCGCGAGAAGCCTGCGAGAGCCGCCAAAGAGCGGATGAGAGCTCGTCTTGTGCCATGAACTCATCTTCCAATGGTTTCTGGAACAGATCGTAATCCTGGTCGCATTCGCTCCCCTCATCAGGCAGCACGCCTTTCTCGAGATATTGTTGCACATGCTTCGCCGTGCACGTAGACGGCCCTGCAAAGCTACAATGCTAGTGGGTGTGTCAGCTGTGGGCGCTGGAGAGGGCTCAGAATGTCTTACACCCAAAGAGTTCTGCTGAAGCACAACGGATCCATTATAGTGGGCAGAGTTGAGACGAGCGCCGTATATGGGCGTGACGTTGTCGTATAAGTTGTTGAGGAATAAGATAGGATGGCTGGTCGCCTGCTTCGTTTGTACTGCCATAATGTCAGCCATCTAGCTGATGATGATTTCATGTTACAAACGCACAATCAGGGACATGTCGCCAACTGGACCGCACCGTCCAACCCGCACAAGGCAAGCGGAGCATCAAGCTTGCTGCCCCGGTCCAGCGGCTGGCTTCCCTCAGCTTCTCCAGATATTGAGCCGCTTGTGCGACTGACTTGTATGAGTCTCCAATGTCTGAGCACATGATTGCTGGGAAGGCATCTACTTCGAAGCCGGTCTCCAGAGGCTCCATCGCAGGCGTATCGTCGACGGAACAGAAGAGCTCGGACAGTGGACTATTATCGCCTTCAATAGCCTTCCGTGACTCAAAGAATGGCAGACCATCCCTATTCTCTAATCCGGCAAAAACAAGTGCGATATCTTCCGCATGAACGAGGGGTTTGTATATCGCCACTCGCACGTATCGCTGAACGTCAGAGTAGGTGATGACCAGGGGCAGCTCAGGCCCAGATTGTGTAGAGTGAGCGGGCAAAATCACTGGGTGATCCTTGAGACTTTCCAGAATACTCGCTCTGCGGTCACGGATTGCATCTGCCGAAGCCGCCCAGAGGGCACACTTGAATGGTCCAGCATTATGGCATGCCTCATCAAAGACATTGAGAATGTTGTCCGCGTCGTGAAGGAAGCCCGCATGGTCGAGAGTGAACCAACCCTCGAGATCGACATTGCCTTTTAATGATTAGCAGAAGTTCATCCACGCCACTTGCAAAGTGTCTTGCCATCGCTAATCATTCGATCGATCCTGTCGGGGTACATGCTCGCAAATACACCGGCAAGCACCGTTCCATAGCTGAAACCCCAATATCGTAGCTTCTTATGGCCAGTCTTCTCCACCAGGTCGAGGAGATCCCTGGCGGACGAGGCGGTGCTAAGATGATTTAAAATCCCTGTCTCGTTCATAGCGGACTTGCAAGCTCCTGAGTAGGCAATGGCGCGACTGTAGGCATCGTAAATCAGACCGGGGCGTTCATCAGCAACAGGTGTCTGTTGAAGAGACCACATATGCCGTTTCTGCGATGTTCCCCAACAGTCGACCCGAGGAGTGGAAACGCCAACTGGTCGTGTAAGTGTACAACGAATGGGCTGATGCACTGGAGAGGCTTTCTTACTTCCACGAGGATCCCAGCTGATAACGTCCTTGAAAATGTGAGAACCTCCACGATGGCTACCATGAGACCATGGAGGAGACCTACATGATAGTCACCAGCGACAGTCTGAACTTCGGACCCCATAGTCTGCAAAGATTTGATGCCAGAACCACCAGGGCCCTGATTTTGTCAGCCTTTGGGGATTGAAGCCGGCTACCTTGTCACTTACACCTGGGTTGATGAACAGAGGAGGGACAGAGTAGCCCTTGGTCTTGGCCGAGAGTTTTATAACGCCGAGAATCACTCTATCAGTCTCACTGGGATTCTGCCAGTCCATCGGTACCTGCAATGTGTGAGTATCTTGTTCGGCCAGACACACGGCTTCCGACCCACGTCTAATCGAGCGCACTCGAACTTGTCGCCATAGCACTTTGTCCAGACCAAGTCCCTAGAAGGCGTTGCCTCCACTTGAGATCAGAAAATGCTGAATCATTTGTGGCATGAAATAGTCACCTTATGCCACGACCAATGGCCTGTCTCGACCTTCTGCCCACCGGTGGCCTCGCGCAAAGGCCACAGCATCAGTATCACAGACATAAGGAGCGCTGAGAAGACTAGCCATCCTAATAGGAGGCGCAAGCTCATGGCGCTTGAATGCCATCTACGTGGTAGCACCCTGACCAGTCGAGGTGCTTTGTATGGTCTCTGCGTTTCGAGCAGGGATGCCTTCTTGTCCAGACCGGCCGGTCCCATCATTATGTTGTCGATGGATACTCGACGAGAGGAGGGTATGGAGTCGGCAGATGATTTGCCTACCAGTTCGAACACCAGATGGTATTTAAGGGTCCGCGACTCAGTCTGGGAATCGCTGCTTCTTGCAGCGTGGTACCAAACTACCTACCAATGATAGATGACAGGACACGCAGCCCGCTATCTGACTCGTCCAATGGCGCCGTTGCGGCCGTTCACGAAGGCGTCTTATCGCAGTAGCGATCGCCCGTGCAGACGGGGGGAATGTGCTGCACTTGCAACATTGCGGCAGCATTGCTTTCAGCTGAGTGGTTCCTGGTCCCAAATGAGGAAGATGCTCGCCTGCGCCCCAGCTGAGAAGAAACATGTTGAGGACGAGGACAAAGACTGTCGGAGGGCCGCTTTTGTGGAGGATCTGCAAGACCGTGACTGACCGAGTCTGGGGAAAGCTGGTCAAGTAGGTACAGGGTAATCCAATATTCCGGCATCTCACATCGCTCACGGCAAAACCCCGGCTTGATACGCTGCCTCCGGTCTGAACCGACTGGCCTATCGAAAATTCCACCTCTAATCCCGTTCCTTGCCATCATCACCATCACCCTCTTTAGTCCTCGACATACCTCAACAATGGCTTCTGTTATGGCATGGGGCGCCGGCGCTGCCGTCGCTGCCTTTTTGGTACGTTTCTTCACCATCGCATATCACGGCGACCATCCAGGACTAACCCAGCTAGGGTCGCGCTGGGCTGGTCGCATACAGGCGTTCGCGCGGTGGCGTGGGCGCCATGGGCAAGGCTTTCTACAAGGGTGGTTTTGAGCCCAAGATGACCAGGAAGGAGGCTTCTCTCATCCTCTCTCTAAGGTTAGTTGCTCTTCCCACCTGTGCCGATCCAAGCTCGCATGATACTGACTCTGATCAGCGAACGCACCTTGACCAAGGACAAGGTTCGCAAAGCACACCGAACGAACATGCTCCTCAACCACCCCGATCGAGGCGGTAGCCCATACCTGGCGACAAAGATCAACGAGGCGAAAGAGTTGCTCGACAAGCAAGTCTCGTAACGCACGATGGCACGATTTGTACAATATAGGGACGGAACTGTTGTATAATATGGTGGTGTTCCCATAGCGTTGGCGTTCATTTTGGTTTAGAGACGGGGAAACATCTGTTGCAAGGTACGCAGCAAGATGCAAATGCAATGACCCAATCCTCTCCTCATTCCTGTCTTCCCTCAAGGGGGATCAGTGCCCCAAAGCTCGGGGGTGTACTCGCTCCCCTCTGCCGTGGCTGACTCCTCCCTGATCTGCTCCATCGCCACGCCGATCAACGCCCTTAAAGTAAACACGGCATCGTTACCTGCGTTGTGGAGATTTCTGCTGGTGATACCCAGCTCAGCCAAGACACTGGACAGACCGCGGCCCTGGTCCCTATCCTGCCAGGCCTGATGAATGGCTTGGCTGTCTAGCATGCGGGCGACGCATTTCATTGCATGTAGGTCAAGACCAATCGAGGCTAGATACTGGACATCTTGCTGAGTGTCGTGGCCTACAAGAACGAGCTCGCGTTTCGCGTCGATCAAGGGCTGAATGATGTCGAGTATCGCAGCTGGCATCTGCTTTATAGTGGGAAAGGTGCTGGTTCTAAAAGTCGTCAGCTTATATCTCTGCATGGCACAAGCACGCGCACCCAAAGTCGAAGGCATCGGGGCAGCCCTTGATGAACTCAAAGTTACAAAGACCAGAGTACTCTTTTGTTCGCAAGTGGTGAGGTACAATCATCGGCCACCAGTTCTGGCCGCATATACCGCGAGGAACGTTTTGGATGTCTTTCATATCGAGTATCGCAACGCCGACCTCCGACACCGGGTTCGGTGGTCGCTCAAGAGCCTCAACGTCGATGGCAACAAGAACCACTGGTTGGTCGCCCTTTATACCGACGGGGGTGCCTGGCTTGAGTCCGAGCAGCTGCTGCGTCGTGCAGAGTATGTGCTGTCGATCGGCTCTCCTCTCCGCGGTCCTAGACTGGCCCTTGTCTCTGTCCTTTACTTCGGCCGCATTGAACAGCCTCAGCTTGCGCTCAAACTCGGCTTGTTGGACCGGCGTAGACGCATGGAATAAGTTTGCGTCATGTTCATCTGGATCGGGCCAAGCAGAGCCATCGTCGATATCTTCGCTCTCAGAACTGCGACGTAGATAGCGAGGCTGGGCGACGTCGTTCGTGAATCGTAGGAAGAACCAGTCAGCGTTAACACCAGCCGGGATAGAAAGGGATATCTTGAGTTCTTCGTTGATTTGATCGAGGAAGAGCTGGAACTGGGAAGTCGGCACGAAGAGGTAGGGTTTGTCGGCCGGATTGGATGGGTGGTATAGATAAAAGCTGATGATATCAGTACGTATGACCGCGACTAGCACAGTTTGTACTCACAAGTCCCAGACTCGACCCTCAAAGATTCTCTCAAAGTACGGCTCTACGTGCGGTCGGTTTGTTTTCCCGATGAACGAGCTAGGGTAGTTCATCACAACGTTCCAAGGACAGAGATCGATGTCGTCCTTGCTTGGCTTGTCCTTGTCGAACCTCTCGGGGTCGAAGGCGCCCTCCGTATCAGGGAGAGGACTGGCGTCGTGGTTGAGAAACTTCTTCGGAGCATCGTCAGCTACAGGCTCTGGATGAGGTTCCCAGGGCTCCGTAGGAAGGGCGTGTTCCTGAGTCAATGGTTCATGTTCGCGCTGTTCTAGATTGTCATCTGCAACCTCGACAATTGAGATATGCTTGCCCAACAGTTGAGATAGCGTCTGTAGCCGTTGGTTGAGATCATCGTCCGCCATGCTCAGAACTCAGCGTTTGCAGAAGATTTATTTGGCAATTTGGTGTCTAAAGTGAAAAAAGTAACGTTTCGTGATGAGCCTGAAAATAAAGATCATCGGTTCGTGAGCTCGGAAGAGGTGAGCAGGAAATGAGGCCCTGCGATTTGCCATTCCGGATGGATGCATCAGCACAGCAAACCAAGCAAGAACGGGGTGATTGAGCAAACGCGGTCGGAGATGGGACAAACTCGCAATTATTTCAGACATCTTTGTTCGATTTTGAGGATTGCTAGCCCTATTCGCATACCCTCTAAATTGAGAGTTATCTATCAATAACCACCTTTGCCTCAAAAAGCTTGGAGATTGACCCGGACAACATCGGTCTCGGGCTGGTCGCACGCACATCACACGCAGGCAAACGGCCTCAGAGGCCTCACTTTGCTTTGTAAAACTGGTCAGGGTCAGTACTGCTCTGACCAGCGCCAATGCTCACTCACCTCGTTTACTGCATCTGTAGTCACATCTGATGACTCCGACTGACTGCTGTCTATCAAGCCTAGTTGCGCCCATCTAAGCTTGAACCAAAAGTCTCGCCGATCGCCCCCTAGGGTTCCGGATAGCAGCTGCTTCTTCAAGTCTACGACAAAGGTGTTGAACAAGCTTGGCTCGTCCATATTGATCAACTCTTCGCGCATGACACCGCAGCATTCAATGGCTCGGTTGTATTTGCTGTCACCAAAACTGTCCGTGATCAAGGAACGAACGATGGCACCCATCTGCTTGGAGGCGTCCTCGAGAGCCTCCTCTGAATCTGCGGTCTCGAGCGCGTGCTTGAAATCCGGTACGGCGTTTTCGGGTGATATTTGACCTCGCCGGGTGTTGCCGAGCAGGGCATCCACGTCGAGGCCGGAAATAGGCTTGACAGCATCGCGACGACGTTTGCCCTTGGCTTTTGGTGGTACTTGACAACGTTAGGAGAGACTCGGGATTTTGCATAGCGCAGAGCGTACCTTTTTTGATTTCTGCTGCACCAATCAGAGTATCTATCTTCCTCTGGACTCGCTCGACCAGTTCATGTGGCGGCTCGGCGAAACGAAGCAACTGAGGTGGGATTTCTGGTACGGGACTCTCGGGGTGCACAGCTCGATTTCGAACGGCGTGATTGATGCGATGTATCGAGGGGTTGTACGTGTCGTCAATGGGCATGTATTCTGCCGGCGCTCTGAGATTCTGTCAGTACATTAGTATGCGGTAGCGCGTCTACCAACTAACCCATCTTCATCGATCCCATAATTTGAGAGGTCCATTGCGTCGACATATGCACCCATGGCAGCATTGAGATCATCAGAAGGGATGAATCTGTGCTTGCTCAGTGTTTGCCCACTGACCGTGATAACACGATCCAACGGTGGGAATTGATAGCTGCGGACATCTTCCGCAAAAGGGAGGGGTACGTCGTACAGGCACTCAAAGCCCGGTTCAATATGTGGTATCAACAGTACAAGAAGAGGTTCTTTGCCTTCCTTGATCACGAGTCTCGCCACAGCATATGATTGTACCTCATGAAGGGCCCAGATCAGGGCTGAGAGAGCCACTTCTGAGGCCTCGTCGAATTTCTTCGCGTGGGTAACGCAGACCTCGCCCATGTTGAGGAAGGCTTCATACTAGGTCAGTCAGTGCAGTTCTCGGACGACGCTGGCGCACGTACCCTGTCCCAAGGAATGAATCCCAGGATCGTGAAGCACTTTTGGGTTTCCAGCTTGGTGATGTTGTGTTCCGACTCGGTGATATGGACAGCTGTTCGTCCATACTCAAACCCCTTGGCCAGGGACTCAAATTCGACGTCCCGCTTACCACCAGGTGCATCTGGGTCGTTGACTTTGTACGTCCGTGCTTGTTTGACGCCTGTAAACTCTACACCGTCCATCATATCATTGCCCTCTACGGTCTCAGTCGTTTGTGAGCCGGGTTGGTCTTGCTTCGTGACCACAGTGCTGGCTCCAAGTGGTCGTGCCAGATGTGTCTTGAAATACCGCTCGACATCAATGTTCATTGCGGCAGGGAATGTGTTGGGGTCGCCGAGTGTCAATTTGCCGTCGTAAGTTTTGTAAGGCTTAGGTGTTTTGACGGTAGGGGTGTCCAGGCGATCGATTGCATCTGCCATGGTGCCGAATCTGCCATTGTCGCAGGCTTCCACTAATTTGCGCAAGGCCCGCTCGTTTTGTTTCTGTTGATGATTTGTGAGCAAGGATACAGCAATGTCAGTGCTTTGTCTGACCTTGTGTGGCGGCTTGTCCTCTTCCTTGAAGCCATACTCAGGATCGTCAAAGTCCACGCCCCTGCTTTGGTTAGCAGCGCTAAGGCACAGAAGGATATGGCACAGACAGGACAGTCAGCTCGATGCCGGAGGCATTCATTTTCTTGCCAATGTCGTCAATGTCATCAACGTCCATGCTGCCTTGGCCGTCCGTGACTAAGTAAATCTTGCGAATGTACTTCAACTTCTTGGTCTTTGTCTCGATCATGTCGACCGCAATGACAATTGATGAGATGGCATCGCCAAATCTGGTCTGATTCGGGACTATGGAAGCTTGGAGCTGACGCAAGTCCGTCATAGTCATCGGCTGTAGTCCTTGGAGGACAGAAATATTCTCATAGCCCTCTGTGCTGTCCAGCTTGTTGTTCGTGTCATCAGTCTTCAGGCCAATGACACCCACATTCAGAGTCTTGCGGTTGGACGCGACGGCATCGGTTATTTTGTCCCAAACAAATCGCATGCTCCAGTCGAGGTCCGACTCTTCGCGACCATTGTGAGCTTGGCCCATAGACGAGCCGAGGTCGAGGATAAAGACTGTCGCTTCTTTGTCGGCCATGGTGAATGGCCTGGTTTGATCACCTCAATGACTGAGAAAGACGCGCGTATGCTTCAGTTCGTTGTACGGATATCTTGGGACAGTCCAGTGCTTATATGTAGGAGAGGTCAAAGCTCCACAAGCTCAGTGTCGCACCCCTGGGTACTTTTTAGGCAGAAGAGTGGAGCTGACAGCATTGAAATGGTTGAAGCTTGGTTGAGGTGGGGTGGATGCCTACTGGCTCTAGACGCGACGCCGACACGGGATCACGTGGTTTATCCATGATCTCATGCGTGGCTCCATTCAAGTCGCGGACGTCAGGGACTCCTGACTACAACAATTCTCAGTCAGCTTCATTGCTGGGCCAATACACCAAGAATATCCATCATGGCGAGCTCAATCTTCTTCTCAGTGGCTCCATACCACATCGTCACGTATATTGAAACCCGTTCCGCAATGGAGCTTCCACGCAGCTAACAATGTTCCTAGATACGGGACGTTGTTGGGCACGTCGGTCTTCCATGTTAGTCCACGCAGAACTGGCCAGAGTGCACCTGTACTGATTGTCGTACTCTAGTCCTTTGTTAATGGTCCCGTCATGTGGAAAACCGTTGAGCGCCCCATCTTCTCTTCCTTGCAGCAAGCGATCTTCCCCATCTACTTTGGCATTCAAACAGCTGCCCCTGTTCTCATGGCCCTGACATTCCCCGGCAATGCCCTCTTCGGGCTATCATCAGGTGTGCAGGGCTTGTTGAACCAGTCGCAACTTTATCAGTCTTTGCTTCCCATTGGCGTCATGTTCGTCACTGGTGCCACTAACCTACTTCTGCTACTCCCCTTGGTTAATGGTGTGATGAAGGAGCGCAGGGGTCAAGGTAAGCAAGCCTAGCAATTCAAATTTACTTTCAGAGGTGCGAAGCTGACGGTAATTAGCCAAACGTGACGGCAAAGAGTGGGATGCCGCGGGTCCTCATTCGGATGAGATGCAGGTTCTCAACAGGCGATTCGGGATGCTCCATGGGGTATCTTCTCTTTTGAATCTGGGCACACTGATTGCTGCTGTCGCCTATGGTTTCACTCTTGGGGGCCGCATTCAGTCAATTGCTGATAGAGCAGCTTAATGTCGAGGTTTCAACAGTCTAGCAGCACTTGTCATCGAATCCGCCCACAACGGTGTTTCGATACCGTGTAGGCCAGCAGCGAGAACGATAGCACTGCCTCTGAATTTGAATCTGCGCATACCTTGGGGGATTCAAGTTCGCTGCTCTTCTATCTTGGCCCGAACACTGAGCTTGTCAACGATCGTACGGCCACCATGTATGTCATTGACAGCTCTCTTCTCAGCCTTTGACAGCTCTCTTCTCAGCCTTTGACAGCTCTCTTCTTAGCCTTTGACAGCTCTCTTCTCAGCCTTTGACAGCTCTCTTCTCAGCCTATGCTAAATGCCAACCCGTCAGTGAAATTGCAAGAAAACTACATTGTGATATACCTGTTCTTCCAGGATTCGGGTGCGATCTATGATGCGACTCTACATGGTCTGGTTCGTAATCGTTCGAATGGGAAAGTGGCGAGTGGCAATCGGCTTTCTGTCCGCGATGTTAGTCATCCATCGGGGATTGATGTCAAAAGCCTCAACACACAACTTGAGCACCTGAAACCCCCGTCAGCGTAGACCAACTATCAGATTTGCTGCTTCCGCTGCAAAACAGAATGGCGGTGACCTACTTGAGCAATGACCGCGCCGCGGTGGACTCTTTTCTCGACAAGTTCGACGTAAGCGTCTCAAAGCCCCAACGGACGAGAGCGCCCCTAACATGACCCCTGCAGGTTTTCCTCATTGACTGCGATGGTACTTTGCATGACGAGCACGTGTTGGCAGAATCTTACTCTTCATAAGGCGTTCTTTGGTCCGGCGATCACGTCTACGATGGCATCCCCGAGACGATTGCAATGTTGCGCGCCAAAGGTCAACTTCTACCCCTCCCCTCCCCCTCTGTGAGAGGCCCTATCACTCACCCATCGGAATAGGCAAACGCACAGTCTTTGTGACGAACAATTCCACAAAGTCCCGAGAGGAGTACCTGAAGAAACTGTCCAAGCTCAACATTCCTGCCGATGCGGATGACATCTTTGGCTCGGCGTATTCCTCCGCCGTGTACATCTCGCGTATCCTCAAACTGCCGCAGGGGAAGAACAAGGTCTTCATTCTTGGCGAAAAGGGCATCGAGAGTGAGCTCGATGCTGAGAACGTACCGCACATTGGCGGCACGGATCCCGACTTCCAGCGGGACATTACGGACGCCGACTTCAAAGGCCTGGCGGACGGTTCGCTGCTGGATCCCGAAGTCGGAGTTGTGCTCGCCGGCCTGGATTACCACTTCAACTACCTCAAGATGGCCCATGGCCTGCACTACCTGAAGCGGGGAGCCAAATTCCTAGCCACAAACACGGACTCGACTCTCCCCATGCACCACGATTTCTTCCTCGGCGCAGGGTCCGCCATGGCCCCTCTCGTCAATGCCTCGGGTCAGAAGCCTCTTGAGCTGGGCAAGCCCAGCCAGGCCATGATGGACGCCGTTGAGGGCAAATTCCAGCTTAATCGCCAAAGGACGTGTATGATCGGAGACCGTCTCAACACCGACATCAAATTTGGTGTAGATGGCAAGTTGGGAGGTACACTGCACGTCTTGACGGGCGTCGACAACAAGGCGGCTTGGGAGAAAGAAGACGCGATAGCGGTACCTTCATTTTATGCGGATACGCTGAGCGACTTGCGGATTGCTGAATAGATAATAGATGGCCAAACATACACACAGAGATACATCTATGATTTGCCACGCCGTAACCCAGTGATAAACGCACCATCAACCCCCAGTCCCCGTTCCTGGTCAGCCCCCCGTGTTGTGTGTCTACTGAAATTTGCCCTCGATTTGCTCCTTTGGGGGCTGGTACGCCGTAAAGGAGGGGAAGAACATGCCGACCTGCTTCTGGTATGCCTTGTACTCGGGATACTTGTTCTGCGTGATGTATTCAGTCAAGACCGTCGATCCCTGGAAAAGCAAGAACAGAGACCCTGCGCCTAATCCAGTGTAGCTGTACACGTTGTTTGTGGCATAGCAGCTCCATTGGTACAAGGCGAACCAGACCATCTGCTCGGCGAAGAAGTTCGGGTGGCGGCTGTAAGCCCACAGGCCAGATGTGCGAAAACCACGCTGTAGATCCTTCTTGGTGAACCCGCCGCGGACTTTGCCGTCGTCGCGGTACTGGTATTTAGCAGTCTGATAGCCTGTGATGACGCATGAGCACCCCCGTTTGATCAATTGAAACTGCGATTGAGGGAAACCTTACTCCACTGCTGACCGTCGCTGATGAACTCGCTGACAACAAAAGCAACCATGATGCCTGAGTAGACAAAGTCCGACATTTGTAGGCCAGGTTCGAACTTTGTGGCCAAGAGGATTCCGTAGGCGGGAACGGAGGAGAAAGCAAAGAGCAGCACGCTCTGAATGGTCGAGATGAAGGTGACGTTGAAGATGAACCAGATAAACTTGGGAACATATTTCTGAAGGATGGCCCTAAATCGGTCAGTATCATTTACACAGAATGCGTATCGCCAACGCTTACCATCTGTAGTCTTCTGAACCCTTTTCATACCCTCCCCTGCGCCAGTAGTTGAACGTAAGACGGATCTGGGGAACGTCAGTCGGATGGCCGCAATAATTACACGTACAAAGCACCTACACTCCAAAGTGTGGTCGTCAGAGCAGACAGATCTGTGCGCTCATGAGGCATGCCAGCCGCCCTCGCCCACAATGCGATGTGAACAACGTAGAGGTTGGGAAGGATACTCCACATCCTATCGACCTGCGAATAGTTCCTGTTGATCTCCGAAACCACCAGGAAGATGGGAGCCAAGAACAAGGACACCGCCAGGCCCGACATGAGTGGGTTCGTATCGATATAGAGCTGCTTCACGCGATCCAGGCTGTGGTAGCTGTCTAGGAGCTTGTAGGGCAGCTCGTACAGCTGTGGCCAGAATGGCTCAACGGTCTTTGCGTATTCGCCGCATTCTTTGAGGGATTTCAGTAGTGGGAGCGCCATGTCGAATATCCTCGAGGGATGGATGGAGCTTGGCGCAAATGTTTACCTGTCGCAATTTGGGGTGCGCTGTGGGTTTTATGCGACTAGGCGATCCAAATCATCGCGTGGTTCATCGTCATCGACGCGCAGCTACAGTTCTAGACTACGTAGATTCGGAGGGGATGTGCACTACTTTCTGCAAGGTCCAGTCCCTAGCAGGCAATGATTTACAGTGGATCGGCAGGGCAGCTTGGTGCTCGGAATGCGGGATCTTGCCGTGTGTGCCCGTTGATGATTGGCTCAAATCACGAGCAGGCGTGCACTGTACCGTAATTCGTTGCCGTGCCTGCGGCATCGATAATCTCACCGCCGTCCATTGCAAGCAAAGGTTGACTTGTCGCTTTCGAACAGAATAACCCTGAAATTTGATTCGCGATCTTCTCGCGATCGCCGTGCATGAGGCCTTGGACCATCCATAAGTGGCTATCGAGGCGAGACTGGATTTTGTGACGATGATACGTTAGTTTTGCGCATCGCGCCTGCCCTAACTGTCCGGTTGCAAGGTCGATCGTTGCGCGTCGGGACATCGATGAGCATCAGCATTCCTTCGCATTCCCGACACCAGAAAAGCAGTGTGAAAAGATCTAGCACAGCGTGTTCGTACCACTGACACTGCACTATGAAGGTCCTGTGCGTGGCCGAGAAGCCATCCATCTCCAAAGCTGTTGCAAAGCACCTGTCTGGAGGTTCATTTCAGACTGTAAGCCTTTTGAGGAACATCACATTCAGATCAGGCTGCTCACAGCTATAGCACAACACACGCTCGCAGTACATCAAGAACTACGCGTTCACTTTCGACTTTGGTCAGCCATGGGGACAATGCGATGTGACAATGACGGCCGTTGTTGGCCATCTGACCCAGACTCTCTTCGCCGACGGATACAAGAATTGGGAATCACCTCCGCCTGTCTCCCTCTTTGGTGCGCCCACCATCACCACGGTCCATGATGTAAGTGACAATTCAAGCAGGCTGCTTATGTGGTACTGACACTGTCAGGATAAAAAAGCCATTGCCAAGAACATTGCCGACCAAGCACGCTACGCTCGCCTGCTAGTCATATGGACCGACTGCGATCTGGAGGGGGAATATATTGGCCACGAAATTGTCGAGGCGGCCAAGGTTGGTCGCCGCGATATCACCGTCAAGCGTGCGACCTTTAGCAACATTGAACGAGCGTGAGTCATGTTTGTTTTTGCTTTTCCCGGTCGTGTGCCAGAAAAGTCTGACATTGTGCCTGGTCACAGACATGTCCTCAATGCGGCGCGAAGGTTAGGTAACCTAGATGCAAAGCTCGTCAACGCTGTAGCGGCTCGCATTGAGCTCGATTTGCGTGTAGGATGGGCTTTCACCCGCTTTATCACCAACAGTCTTCGACCCATGGGAGGTCCTGTTGAGTCTTTGATGATCAGCTATGGTAATTACTCTCCCTCTCTCGAACGCAATACCCCCTGGCTAAGGTTGCGCAGGATCTTGTCAGTTTCCCACACTCGGCTTCGTCGTGGACCGCTATTTCAAAGTCCGAAACTTCACCCCTGAAGCGTTCTGGAGCATCAGAGTTATGCATAAGAAGGACGGCAAACAGGCCAATTTTTCGTGGGCGCGGAACCGGGTCTTTGACCGTCTGTCGGCCGTGATACTGTACGAGCGATGCCTCGATTCGAACAAGGCAAGGGTGACAAAGGTCCAAGAGAAAGCAACTCGCAAGTTCAAACCGCTGCCTCTGACCACCGTCGAGCTGCAAAAAGCCGCTACTCGCTTGCTCCGCATGACTGGTCAACAAGCACTCAACCTTGCGGAGGGACTGTACAACAAGGGCTTCGTCAGCTATCCAAGAACCGAGACTGATCGTTTTGACAAGGGCATGGATCTCAAGAAATTGGTAGAGAAGCAAACGCCAGATCAGCGTTGGGGCCCTCACGCTCAGGGGTTAGTTCAGGGAGGCTTTCGACAACCTCGTGAGGGCAAGCACGACGACAAAGCTCATCCTCCGATTCACCCTATCACGTATGCCTCGCCTTCGGTTCTGAGCCCGGACGAGGCCCGCATCTACGAATACATTGTTCGTCGTTTCTTAGCCTGCTGCTCTGAGGATGCCAAAGGCATGGCTACGGATATCGAGCTCCAATACGGCGAGGAAATCTTCACGGCCCATGGTGTTGTCGTCTTGGAGCGGAACTACCTCGAGGTGTTCATCTACGACAAGTGGGAGGATTCTGCAGAGCTGCCCAACTTGAGAGTCGGCGAGCAGTTCGAGCCAACGGAAGCCCTTTTAAGTGAAGGCAAAACTTCGCCGCCCAACTACCTCACGGAAGCAGATCTCCTCGCGCTCATGGACGCCAACGGCATTGGCACAGATGCGACCATGGCTGAACATATCCAGAAAATTCAGGATCGCGAGTACGTGCAGACCACAGAGCGGGGCGGACAGGCGGCGAACGACGACGACGACGACGATCCCGACTATGCTCCAGTGGCCCGCGGCACCCGCGGCCGCGGGCGTGCGAGAGTGGCTCGCGGTGGCAGAGGTGGACGGACGAGTGCAGGTGGTGGGAGGAGGGGCATCAAGGTATTTGTGCCGACGCGACTTGGCGTTGCACTAATCCTGGGGTTTGATCGGATGAACTTTGAGACCAGTTTGGGCAAGCCCTTCCTCCGAAAGCAGATGGAGACGAAGATGAAGGCCATCTGCGCAGGCCAGACTACCAAGGAAGTGGTGCTCCGAGAAAGCGTTGCGCAATATCGCCAGGTCTTCTTGCAGTCACAGGAAAAGCTCAATGTTCTGAAAGCTGTAGGTGGCCCCAATGCAGTGCCGTCGTTCTATGACCACGCTGATCGAAGATTACAGGCATGCCGAGAGTTCGTCTTCGCAGGGTGAGCCACGTCAAGATACCACCTGCTACAAGCACCGTGCAAGGGTGTCGCGACAATATCCTCGGACAGTGCAGCTATACTCTCCGAAGGGTACTTGTACTACGTACAACAAACTGGGCGGAATCTATCGGAGCCTTGACGATGTGCTGCCCCGCCGAGGAGCACAATGCCTAGCCCTCCACTGAACGTGGGGTCTATCAGTGGTTGATAAGACACACGGATCAAACGCCCCCTCAATTTGATAGATACCTCACCAACAGACTCATCAATCAAGAGGAAGAGGGAAGAGGGGTGCAGCTTGAGTCTTTATCCAGCCCGCAAACGGAGCCAGTGGCGCACCGTTCAATGATGGAGACTCGGGGGTCACCTGAGGGATGCTGACTAGCATGTCCCCAATCAGAGACTCGCTTGCCAGCAACGTGATGGTTGCACAGGAGCCAGCTCGCCGGTACCACTGGGGACTTGCGACGACCATCACGACGCGGCGCTGAAGGGGGCGATGGAGGGGAGGGGTGCATGGGATCTATTGCGCGAATTTGACCAAGTCGCGCGTGTGTTTGGCGTCTCCGCGATGGGAAATCTGCACAATACGCAACCACATTGCACATGTCTCTGCGAACATTGGATGGCGAACAGGTATAAGTGCCGCGAGTCAACAGAGGCCGTTCTAGCGGCACCAGGATGAGCAGACCTGCATGCGCGCGGAACAGCCCGCTCAGTAGACACAACCTCCTCAATAGTGACACATCCTCTTTTACTTGTGAAGTACGTATCTCTCCGTCGAGTACCTAGGGTTTGCCGTGGGGGTGGGGTGGTGTAGCTTAATGCCACCACACAGCACTTTAGAAATAAACCGCATCCGGCTGCGGGACATTTCGGCCGTGAATGACGACTGTCTCCATTAGGACCCGAACATCGCAGGCGTGGCCAAAAATTCACTGCGCAGTCATGATGTATTTGATAAATGGTCTTTGATTGATTGACGGCTGGTTCTGTCCAGTCGTAGCACGCGCACTGTATCGCGACTCGCATTGGTGGTTGTTATTAGGCTAGGTGACGCCATCCTCGGGCAGCCTGACAATGATAACGCTAATCGGTTGATACCTGGACGAGGTGGTAGGTATCTTATTAGTACTTGTATCTTTACTGCTGCAGCGCGGAATTTTGTATTTTGGCAAACGCATTTTGGGCTGTGATTGTGCGCTGCCAAGTTGTACGTAGTCGACCCATCGCCAGGCTGTGTAAGTTGTTAGCTCTCCCCAGACGGGAGTGCCACTGTCCGTGTGCGGTTCCGCTACCCCGGTGGATCTCACGGCCTCGCTGAGGATCAAAGTGCTTGCATGCATGAGCCTTCGTGATGGTGACGCGTGCACGTTATTAGTCCACTGGCGTGCCCAGTCCTCCGAACATGCTATTGCGACGATGGTGTTACTTAAGCAACATTATTAGACTAAGAAGTATCCAGTAGACTAAGCGGACGAGAGTCTTAACGCGCCGCCGCCGCGCGTGCGTTGCAGCCGAACAACTAAGTGAACGATAGATAAAGGTCATATCAGGGTAGTCAAGGGGTCAATGAAGTATTTTCGGCCCTTGGGCCCCTATTCGATCGCAACCCTGGCAACAAGATTAAAGGGTAAGCTTTGACAAAATAATTTTTTTCCCTTTTTTTTTTCATCTTCTCCTAAATTTGAAAACACGGCGCATCCGCCAGCCAGCTGGCCCGGGGAGCCGGATAAGCAACAAGGTCGCGAGTCGGCAAGTGGTTCTTGGAGATGAGGTTGGCTGGGGCCTCAATCTTACATGTTTGTGCAAACCACAGACAAGAATGCACAAAGGTGGCGGCGGCGCAACTGGCGGTGTCATCAGGCACTTGGTCAAATACGTAGACAATCCAAGGATTCTCCGGCGAACAGCATGGAAGCTACCATGATGATTCTGTGCATGTTGATTGATGGCTGACGTGCGTTTGTTCCTGACCAGCCAAACATTAACTGCATAACCGTGTTGCGAAGTATTAGCCCGGCCAGGGTCCAGGGCTAGTGTTGCACAAGTTGGGATGTAACCTCGCGAGATCCAGAATCCCAATACCGAACGCGTACTATAACAAACGGTCTGGTCTAGATGATTCTGAGACGTTCATGAAGAATAGGTAAGTACTTGCGCGGTCGTTGAGAGCCAGGCCTCATGGTGGCACCATGAATGGATGCCGACCGCTGCTGCTGATCAGTACCTACTAGTAGGTATCCCACAATCAAGCACACTGGCACATCTGTGACGATAACAATACGGTCGGGGCACTACCGCTGTAGCGTAGCCACGGTGCAATCATGCCTTCGGTGCGTCCGTATGCACGCACACTTGCGCAGATGCTGACGGCGTCATAACTTCACCCTTTGACCAGCTGATGCACAGCCACTAATTCCACGCCCTCTGCTGCTGATACGGGCTACTTGCTCGACCGCGGGCCTGTGGGATTTGGGCCACGAGGCCGCTAGGGCAGCCCCTATGGGGTGCGCACATCAGTCTGTAGTCTCCCTTGGCCTTGGTTTCCGTGGCTGTACCCGTACGTACCTGTAATATCCCGGTGCGAGCCTGGCGTTGCTTGCTACGCCCTGGCCAGGCCGCCAGCGCCTTGGAACACGCCGCCAAATTTAGCGGGCGTGGATGGCACAAGCTGGCACAATCGGCCATTCATTCAGTCCATGCATTCCATGCGCTCCCATGCCGTCGCCTGGCTGGCGCACGCACACATCGGAACGGGTTGGGTTGTCATTGCGATGGATGGGTGGGTGGACAGATGGATGACTGTTAGTTGCAACCCTCCAGTCCTTATCCAGATATGACTCCCTCTTCCCTTCCCCTTCCCTTCCTTCCTCTCTCAAAGCAACAACAACAGACAAACGATCAAACAAAATACTCATTCGAGAATCCTCTGTCACCAGTCACGATCATCGTGCCAGCTTTGCCAGTAACCCGCCGTCCATCGATTTGCACCCGGTCAACTTCGCTGCCGTTGCTTCAGAGTCCAGGTACGTACCTACATACGTGCCGCGCTCGGCCTCCGGTCCTTATCAGTTTCGCGACCCGGGCAACAGTACCTCAGCCAGCAAGGCAAGGCAAGCAGGACCGAGGTGTCGCTGCAGACGTCGCATCTTCTTGACCTGTCCATCTCTTTCATTCATTCTGATCAACCTCTCATCAAACTGCAACGAAACCCCAACTGATAACAGTCCCGTCGCAGTACTCCGAAGCACTCAAGACCCCTACCCGGCATCATGGCTACCACGGCATCAGCTGCTCGCGATATCCCCCAGGCCTCCTTGAACCGAGACAACTTAGCTGTTGTAGCGGATCGGAGCGAACCTGCGACTGTGGCGAGAACACTCGACCTCCCGACTCCTCCCAACTCCATCTCGCCAGCCCTCGCGGCCCACGGCCTCAAGGCCCAGCTGCAGAAGGCCAGGCTCGAGCCCATCGACTCCGACCTCGACCTCCACAAGTCAGCCGACGGGAGATCCGTGTCGCCAGCCCTCGAGGCCGCAGGCGCCATCACGTGCGCCTTGCTCGCCAAGTACCACCTGCCTGACATCCTGCTGAACCATGGCCCGCTGGCCATCAGGCACATCATGGGCTACCTGACTACCTCCGTCCCCGGATTCTCGGGCATCCCGCCTGCGAAGGCGCGCAGGCTAGTCGTTGGCGCATTGGAGGGCCGAGGCACCGAAGGAGGAGGACCGCAAGGAGACATACACTTTGAAAAGGTAGGATGGGGGCGATGGGACGCCTGTCGCAGAACCTCTGGCCCCAGGTCTCGCAAGACCTCGCCCAGTAGGCTGTCACCCCATTCTCCCGGCATCCCCATTGGAGGCGCATCGCGTCACGAGAGACTCAAGGCCCGATCCTCGGGACAGGAGTCTATGCGTTTCTCGTACGACGACAGCGCCGTCTCAATGATGGAGAACGAGGCCGATAACATGTCGCTCGACGGCTCTGGAGCAGCCTCCTGCTCGGAAGCCCCCGAAGACGACATGATCCTGGGCGACGATCCGGACGATGCCACGGATGATGAGGACTGGGCTGCCGTCGGCGCAGCTGCCCTTCGCGCTGAGTCCTACCGCGCTAGCTTCTCTAGCCGTGGCCCTTTCAGCCCCCATTTTGGCGCGCGATCCTGCTCCTATGGCATGATCCGCTCGCCGCAGACGCCCATCGAGTTGCTGTCCCTCAATGGACCCTCTGACGCGCAGGAGCGTGAGGCTATTGAGGGTCTCTTGCGACTTGGTTCTGTATAATACCCCCAACATTGCATACATGGAGTTTGGAGCGCTTTGATTCTCTACCTCTTTGGGGTAGGAGTACAGACATGGCTGGACCACACGCGTGTCGGGTTGTGACCAAGCGGCATACGACATGGTCACAATCTACTTCTGAATGACGACACGCTTTTTACGACAATTTTCTTATTTTTCCTCTTATATATACGCGCGTCAGGACGCGTGGAGCAAAACCCCTTGCTACTGGCTTAGCACGACATTGGTAAAGCTACATGGCCCGCGCTGCCGACGTGCCAGCATCTCGAGGACAGCCCTCGATTTTCGAGGTCATTCATCAACAACAGTGCGCGTGGTACAATCAACGGAAACATGGCTCTTAAGCGCGAGGAGCTCCCTGCATCAATCGCGAATTCAACAGCTCGTGATGGGTATGGACATTTACTGGAGTTGCATTTTGAGTTCTGGGACAGGGATACACCAGAATTACGGTGTGAAGGATGAACATTGGGGCCCGCTCACAATCGGCATTTTTAATATATATCTTGGAAAGGTGTAATAGCGTTCGGTCTTGTGAAGACTTGGGAGACATTGGGAGCGGTTGGCACGGCAGGCATCATCCCCTCTTTCCAAACACATAATCTACATTGGGGAACAGAGGAACGAGAAGATGGGCGCATGCGGGATCGGTTGACTGGTTCAGGTTGCTTCCGAGGTGGAAGACGTGGAGGAACTGGCCATGGGCCTTCTGGAGGCGGGGAGGGCGGACATATGGTTAGGGGCTGATGTTCGTCAGTCCCTCATAACAACAAACTCACATCCCTCCCATTTGTATACGGTCGGTGTTCTCTGTAGCTGCTGGCTAGTCTTATGTGATTGCGAGTACGTGTATATGCATGGTGAGGATGAGTCACCCAGCAATAATCCCGCGAGACCGATGATCGGACTGGGGACAGTGTGACAAGGACGGTTTCCTTACCCTATACCATGCTAGGAGTAGACAAAGGTGAACACTTTGTTAGTCACACGCTCGGCGGCTCGCAAAGCAGTGATGGCGGATTGCGATATATCAGGTTATCGTATCTACGACGAACTGGCCAGTTCTGACCAGGTTGTGTGACGGGATACTTGGCTATCACTCTTTGTTGGTACGTATGTTTACCGTCAGTATGGGGGTCTCTGCTTTTACGATCAATTCGAGATGCATGTTGCACCGGCATTAT